TGCTGACTCCCAAGCAGTTGTGAAGAGAAGAAGACTTAGCCGAAGTACAGGGTTACATTTTGCACCACATGGGATATGGGTTCTTGCCTCCGCCAAGAAAGGCTCATCCTAGAATTCTCCATTTTGCCTGCAAGTACTCCTTTGGGCCCTGAAATATTCACCCATCCCGCCGCACCTAACTTTAGCAACCGGAAACGCCCCCCTCCGATGACTCATGGAGTGGTTTGTTTTCAATCTGAACCTGCCCTGCGAGTGATTTTGCGAACGGTTCCCAGTGACTTGCATAGACCACAGCTTATTTTCTAGTATGCTCTTTCTGAATCATGCTCAATTCAAGTCCTAGGGGTGGTTGACGACCCAAAAATGCCAGTGGGACCCCGATGCTACAGTGTCTGTCAGGAATCAAGATCAGACGAACTGTCGGTCTGGCCCCAGAGGCTAGACGACTCGATATTGGCTACCTTTCTCAGGCCATCATTTGCGCCATGTGATTCCCCAACTTCTTCTTCGGAACATCTTGAAAGGGTCCACTAGTTGAAAAAGGGCGTTCCCTCCTGGCAATTTACCCTCGTTCAATAAGACATGGAGTGCGTGTGGGGTGGAAAGGAGACAACACCATGCATGGATCGTGGGGTTCTCGCAGTGTTCCCCCGCGTTGTGTTGCAACGGACCACCATGTGTGTACGGCTAGTCAATTCAATCTACTGGAATGAAGCTCAGGACGACAACATGTAGCTGAGACCATGCAGAAATAGAAATGATACATACACTTGAAATTATATAAGAAGAAGAAGTCTCGGAGAGATGAAGAGAATTGAAACAGTAAATTTGCACTTCCAAAATAATTGAGATCGCTCCTGCACACCTCGTTTCTTGATTCCGTCTTCAATTTTGCCTTCTTACCCCCTGACAAATTTGATTCACAACACCTAAGGCTTCTATCTTCAACATCACCATCACGAACTATTTCAATGGCATTCAACACAAGATTGGTCGCGGTTCTTACCGTGGGCTCGCCGCGGTTCACGGTGCAGTTCCAACAATCCCGGCTTCAGTCTGACGTGGAGTGACGACTTTGTGGGATCTGCAAACAGCTTGCCCAATACCGGCAACTGGATCATCGACACCGGTACCTCCTACCTGGCGGCCCTGCCAACTGGGGCACCGGAGAGATCCAGACCTATTACCAGCAGCGTCAATAATCTTCGTATCAACGGAAACGAGAGCTCTCCAGATTACAGCCATCAAAGCTTCATCTTTTCTTGGACATCTGCTCGTATTGAATCTCAGCGCGGAGACTTCATGGCCCAGGCTGGTGGCAAGATGCGCATCCAAGCTAGTCTCAATCTTCCCGTTGTTGGTAGCAATGGCATTGGGTATTGGCCAGCATTCTGGACTCTTGGGAATGCATACCGCGGCAACTATTGGTGAGTCACGATAAGAAGCGCACGAGTACTAGCTATGTGCTGACACAAGTTGGAAGGAATTGGCCTGCCATTGGTGAGTTTGTATCATGGAGACACGTCAACGGAATCAACCGCGTTTGGGGTGTCATGCACTGTGTGTCAACCCCGGGGTTCCCTGCAAAGAGACTGACGGCCTCGTCGGAAGCCGCGAATGCCCCAACACCGCCTGCCAGGAGTAACTTCCACACCTACACCCTCGAGGTTGACCGCACCGCTGAGCTCGAGGCTGTGAGGTGGTTCGTTGATGCATTCTATTCTGGCAAGTCGTTGAGACCGATTTGCCCGCAGACGTTTGGACCCAGGCGGTCCACTCGCCTCACTTCATTCTGCTGAACTTCCCTCTCGCCTAATTTTTCTTGGCATCTGCTGTTAGTGAATGAGTGAGCCTACCACCAAATTACTAACAGCCGAAAACTCTTCACCTCCCCTTGCCGGAGCCCGCATCCGCGATGGCCTCACAGCCGCCGTCGGGCACCGGACTGATGTCGGCCGACCAAGCCGACCCCGAACCAGGCTCCGGGACACCTCCGGAGCCGAACCCCACCTCAAGAGCTAAGCGACGCCGCGACGCCGAGGCACAGCCGACCCGGCCCAGCCTAACGGGAAGCCAGCTTGATGCCACCACCGACGCCCCTACCTCGGCCGAGGGGCCCGCAGCCTCTACCGCATCTGCTCCGAGCGGATCTGCCACAGGGTCCGTCTTGACAGCCCTTGCAGAAGAAGCTAGACAGTACGAGGCACGGAAAGACGTCTTTCTGACCATTGCACGGTCCGTCGACAGCGTTGTCGCCAGCTTTGACGGTTCTAGAAAGCAGATCGCGAAAGAAGCCACTGCCTATGTCATTCAAACCCTCAAGAGACTGATCAATCACGAGACAAGCCCAATAGCGGCCCGGAGTTGGGCGGCTGTCGTCGCACCGATGGCGGGCAACACCACTGCGGCGACCCGGAGCGGCCAGAGCTGCCAGAGCTCTGCCCGCCCGAAGGCCACACTCCCCGCCGAGGATCAGCCGCAGGCGCAGCCGAAGGAGGACCTCCGCATCTTTGCCCGCGTCCCGGAAGAAAGCTTAGCGGCCGCTCGGAAGATCGCACCGTTCGCCGTACGACAGATCGTCTGTAAGGCCGTTGGCCTGGGGCTAGCGGACCTTCCCCACGTCTACCATATCAGCACAGGTTACTCTCTGAAGCCGCGAAACAAGCAAATACAGGAAAGACTACTTGCAAGTAAGGCAAAGCTGGCGGAATGCCTCGGCGCCCACCAGGTCGAGACGCCTATCAAGTGGTACACTTACGTTGTGCCGCGATGCCCAACAAAACTACACAGCATTGGCGGGGACGTCCTGGACCCAGCCACACTCGTTGAAGATGAGGTCTTCGCACAGACAGGACAGAAGCCTGTCCTTGCTCGACCGTCCCGCCTTGGGCCCAACCCAGTCACGAACGAAATATCTTGGCTCATATCATTCACATCAGAGGTCACGCCCTTCAGGCTCTTCAACCAAAGCGGCAGATCTCTGCCCGTCAAGAAACGAAGGACGCTCATCCGACACGACCCCGGCTGCCAGGGCTACCACTCCAACCGGTTCTGCGGACGACGACCGATCTGCAGCAACTGCGGAAGACCTTCCGATTCACACGAAACGGGACCCTGCATGGCCAGGCCCCAATGTGCCAACTGCTGCGGCCCCTTCCAAGCCAGCCACACAGACTGCCCAGCGAGGCCCTCGGCCGTAAACGGCGTCGTCTCCCTTCCCGGTCGAAAGGAGCGGGCTCGGATCCGGAAGGCCGGCCAGAAAGCATCGGACACTCTGTACAAGGCTACTCGATCCGACAGTAGCCAGGAGGCGGCAGGCGTCCCTACCTCCACCAGCCAGAACCAGCAACCCGGCGCCAAGCGCGCGCGCACGAGAACGCCCTCCGCAAGCTCGATCGTTTGCCTCGGTGACGGAAGCACTGACAGCAGCAGCATGGATGAAGACGAGGCGGACGAAGGCGAAGGCGAAGACTCCCCCGACAACACCTCCATCGACCGTCCCGTGCTACCCATGCCAAGCAGGAGCCAACGGGCAGCACAGAAGCCAAACTACAACGTCGCGAATGCCTACACCCACCTCGAACTCGACTCGGAGACGTAAGCCGAGAGCGGCGACCCCACGGATGCTACGCGTTGCGCAGGGCAACGTCGGAAAGATCTCCCCGGCGCACACGGCTTTCCTGCAGCTCTGCTGGGAGGCTCAGATAGATGTGGTCCTCGTCCAGGAACCCTGGACGGGCTGGAAGGACGGAAACGTGCAACTGAACACGCACCCGGGTTTCGACTCTTTCGTCCCGGTCGACTTCTGGGACAGCGAAGGAACCAGACCAAGAGTATTGACCTACACACGCAAAGGGATAGGGATGACGGTGGAGCAGCAGAGGCCTGTCCACACGAGAGACGTACTGTGGCTGGTGGTCGACAAAACGACGACTATCGTCAACGTGTACAGACAACCCCGCGACCCCCACAGCCGCACAACAGGGATACTGCTAGAACTCAAACCCCCGGAGCGAGCTTTGATCGCGGGTGACTTCAACGCGCATCACTACTCTTGGGAGCCCGGGACGAGGAACGGGAACCGGGGAGATGACATCGCAGGCTGGGCAGACGGCCACAATCTCTCTCTTATCAGCGAAGTTGGGGTGGCAACCCAGGATTGCGGACATGTCCTGGACCTGGCTTTCTCTAATATCCCTTTTGCGCACGCGCAGGTCAGCCCACAGCTACACCCGGGAGCTGACCACGAGGCCATCGTGGCCGTCATACCACTACTCAAACGCCCAGTGTCACAGGGAGAGGGCCACCCGCAGCCACGGCCACTGTCAGTGCCCGACTCGGCGCTGCCTCGGCTGAGAGACCTGATCGAAGGGGGGCTAGCTGCGATGCCCAATCTGGGGGATCAACCTACTCCGGAAGACCTGGACGGGCAGGCAAGTCACATCGTCGAGCTCTTCTCCCGAGCCATTGAGGCGGTCGGCAAGAAGAGAGGAAAACATGGTAAAGGCGCGGCTTGGTGGACGGAGGAATGCGCAGAGGCCCACAGAGCATACCGTGCTGCCCGCAACCAACAAGCCTGGGAGACGGAGCAAGATGCGCACCTTTATCTAATGGAGAAACGAAAGGCGTTCCTGAGCACGGTGAGGAAGGCTAAGCGAGCATACTGGGCCGGAAAGATCGATGGAGTCGCTTCAGACCGGGACCTGTACCAGATCATGGGTTGGCGGAAGGCGAGCCTACTGACCAGAGCACCCCCATTGGTTGTGGACAACCAGACGATCGAGGATACTAACGAAAAGGCTCAAGCGCTTCGGGGAGCCCTTCTCGACAGGTTTAGTGCGGAAGATGACGCACCGGGTGACCCGTTTGACGTACCCGTCGTCCCGAGGCGAGCGATTACTTGGCAGGACAATGTTAGCGGAGAAGAAGTGAAGACGGCCACCTTAACAAAGACAACGACCCCTGGTGTGGACGGCATCACAACACGCCTCCTCCAGGCATGCTGGGATGTCATCTCGGAACCGGTCAGGCAGCTATTCCAGTCCTGTATGCGGGCCGGCCACTTTCCTCTGCCCTTCCGCAGAGCTGAGGTGGTCATGATCCAGAAGGCCGGCAGGGATGCCTCCAAGCCCGGGTCCTGGCGGCCGATCGCGCTCCTCTCGTGCCTGGGCAAGGGACTAGAGCGACTGATAGCCAGAAGGATGGCGTCCCTGGCGATTGTCGAGCGCATCATCAGTCCGCAACAGATCGGGGCTCTACAAGGCAGGTCAGCCGTCGATCTGACGACCTGCCTCACCCACGACATCGAGATGGCCCTCCTAAAAGGACTCACGGCGACACTTCTGACTATGGACGTAAAAGGGGCGTTCGACTCCGTCCTTCGGAACCGGCTCGTCATTAGACTGCGTCAGCAGGGATGGCCACATGGCCTGACCAGACTGATCTTTAGCTTCTGCTGCAACCGCACCGCTAGAGTCCGACTGGAAGAAAGCACAACGGAGTACTTCCCGCTGTCATGCGGGCTGCCTCAGGGGTCACCACTATCTCCCATTGCCTTTCTGCTCTACATCGCAGAGATACTTGAAGACGACCCGAACGCGCGATTCGGGTACGCGGACGACATCGCCACTCTGGCCATCAGCCCCTCCCTGGAGAGCAACGTCGCAATACTCAACCGAAGCGCAGCCGGCATTCTCAGATGGGGCTTGGAGAACAAGGTCTCCTTTGACCCGAGCAAGTGCGAGGTCATCCACTTTACTAGGAAGCACGGCCAGCCAGCGGAGCTGCCAGAGGTCCGGGCGGGGGATTTGGTGGTCAAGGCCTCGACGAAACCTGTACGCTGGCTGGGTGTCTGGTTCGACAAGAGACTGTCCTTCCGGCACCATGTCGACGCAAAAGTAGCTGCAGCAAAGAGGGCAGCTCAACATCTGAGACAGCTTACGAACACAAAGAGGGGACTCCCAGCGGCCGCCGTGCGAAAAGCCGTCGTCTCCTGCGTACTGCCGATCGCGCTCTTCGGCGCCGAAACATGGTACGCAGGTATCACGAAGCCGGCTTCGAGACGCCAAGCGGAGACAGACACGAATCCGCCTCTCCAAGGAAGACCCGTCAACACAGGCCAAAAGGGGCTCGTGCAGAAGATCGACAGCGTCATTACAGCGGCAGCAAGGGCCGTTCTGCCTGTCTGGAGGACAACGCCAACCAGTAGCCTCCTCCGAGACGCCGGCTTACCGTCAGCCAAAGTCGCCTTAGAGGGCGTCCGCTTACGGGCCGCAGTCCGACTACAGAGGATTGATCGCCGACACCCGCTAGTCGCGCGGCTCTCCCAGCAGGGACAGCAACAGACGAGACTACAACGGACGGCTGAACTTCTGCCAAGATGCGGAAGACCAGCGTTCCTTCAATCACAGTACCTGCCAAGCTCACAGGATCAGATAGTAGTTCAATGCAAAGAAGAGGCTGCGAAAGCTTTCGAGCCTGCTAGCATACGGAAACCACTATCTGATCCTGTGAGCTTGGCAGGTACTGTGATTGAAGGAACGCTGGTCTTCCGCATCTTGGCAGAAGTTCAGCCGTCCGTTGTAGTCTCGTCTGTTGCTGTCCCTGCTGGGAGAGCCGCGCGACTAGCGGGTGTCGGCGATCAATCCTCTGTAGTCGGACTGCGGCCCGTAAGCGGACGCCCTCTAAGGCGACTTTGGCTGACGGTAAGCCGGCGTCTCGGAGGAGGCTACTGGTTGGCGTTGTCCTCCAGACAGGCAGAACGGCCCTTGCTGCCGCTGTAATGACGCTGTCGATCTTCTGCACGAGCCCCTTTTGGCCTGTGTTGACGGGTCTTCCTTGGAGAGGCGGATTCGTGTCTGTCTCCGCTTGGCGTCTCGAAGCCGGCTTCGTGATACCTGCGTACCATGTTTCGGCGCCGAAGAGCGCGATCGGCAGTACGCAGGAGACGACGGCTTTTCGCACGGCGGCCGCTGGGAGTCCCCTCTTTGTGTTCGTAAGCTGTCTCAGATGTTGAGCTGCCCTCTTTGCTGCAGCTACTTTTGCGTCGACATGGTGCCGGAAGGACAGTCTCTTGTCGAACCAGACACCCAGCCAGCGTACAGGTTTCGTCGAGGCCTTGACCACCAAATCCCCCGCCCGGACCTCTGGCAGCTCCGCTGGCTGGCCGTGCTTCCTAGTAAAGTGGATGACCTCGCACTTGCTCGGGTCAAAGGAGACCTTGTTCTCCAAGCCCCATCTGAGAATGCCGGCTGCGCTTCGGTTGAGTATTGCGACGTTGCTCTCCAGGGAGGGGCTGATGGCCAGAGTGGCGATGTCGTCCGCGTACCCGAATCGCGCGTTCGGGTCGTCTTCAAGTATCTCTGCGATGTAGAGCAGAAAGGCAATGGGAGATAGTGGTGACCCCTGAGGCAGCCCGCATGACAGCGGGAAGTACTCCGTTGTGCTTTCTTCCAGTCGGACTCTAGCGGTGCGGTTGCAGCAGAAGCTAAAGATCAGTCTGGTCAGGCCATGTGGCCATCCCTGCTGACGCAGTCTAATGACGAGCCGGTTCCGAAGGACGGAGTCGAACGCCCCTTTTACGTCCATAGTCAGAAGTGTCGCCGTGAGTCCTTTTAGGAGGGCCATCTCGATGTCGTGGGTGAGGCAGGTCGTCAGATCGACGGCTGACCTGCCTTGTAGAGCCCCGATCTGTTGCGGACTGATGATGCGCTCGACAATCGCCAGGGACGCCATCCTTCTGGCTATCAGTCGCTCTAGTCCCTTGCCCAGGCACGAGAGGAGCGCGATCGGCCGCCAGGACCCGGGCTTGGAGGCATCCCTGCCGGCCTTCTGGATCATGACCACCTCAGCTCTGCGGAAGGGCAGAGGAAAGTGGCCGGCCCGCATACAGGACTGGAATAGCTGCCTGACCGGTTCCGAGATGACATCCCAGCATGCCTGGAGGAGGCGTGTTGTGATGCCGTCCACACCAGGGGTCGTTGTCTTTGTTAAGGTGGCCGTCTTCACTTCTTCTCCGCTAACATTGTCCTGCCAAGTAATCGCTCGCCTCGGGACGACGGGTACGTCAAACGGGTCACCCGGTGCGTCATCTTCCGCACTAAACCTGTCGAGAAGGGCTCCCCGAAGCGCTTGAGCCTTTTCGTTAGTATCCTCGATCGTCTGGTTGTCCACAACCAATGGGGGTGCTCTGGTCAGTAGGCTCGCCTTCCGCCAACCCATGATCTGGTACAGGTCCCGGTCTGAAGCGACTCCATCGATCTTTCCGGCCCAGTATGCTCGCTTAGCCTTCCTCACCGTGCTCAGGAACGCCTTTCGTTTCTCCATTAGATAAAGGTGCGCATCTTGCTCCGTCTCCCAGGCTTGTTGGTTGCGGGCAGCACGGTATGCTCTGTGGGCCTCTGCGCATTCCTCCGTCCACCAAGCCGCGCCTTTACCATGTTTTCCTCTCTTCTTGCCGACCGCCTCAATGGCTCGGGAGAAGAGCTCGACGATGTGACTTGCCTGCCCGTCCAGGTCTTCCGGAGTAGGTTGATCCCCCAGATTGGGCATCGCAGCTAGCCCCCCTTCGATCAGGTCTCTCAGCCGAGGCAGCGCCGAGTCGGGCACTGACAGTGGCCGTGGCTGCGGGTGGCCCTCTCCCTGTGACACTGGGCGTTTGAGTAGTGGTATGACGGCCACGATGGCCTCGTGGTCAGCTCCCGGGTGTAGCTGTGGGCTGACCTGCGCGTGCGCAAAAGGGATATTAGAGAAAGCCAGGTCCAGGACATGTCCGCAATCCTGGGTTGCCACCCCAACTTCGCTGATAAGAGAGAGATTGTGGCCGTCTGCCCAGCCTGCGATGTCATCTCCCCGGTTCCCGTTCCTCGTCCCGGGCTCCCAAGAGTAGTGATGCGCGTTGAAGTCACCCGCGATCAAAGCTCGCTCCGGGGGTTTGAGTTCTAGCAGTATCCCTGTTGTGCGGCTGTGGGGGTCGCGGGGTTGTCTGTACACGTTGACGATAGTCGTCGTTTTGTCGACCACCAGCCACAGTACGTCTCTCGTGTGGACAGGCCTCTGCTGCTCCACCGTCATCCCTATCCCTTTGCGTGTGTAGGTCAATACTCTTGGTCTGGTTCCTTCGCTGTCCCAGAAGTCGACCGGGACGAAAGAGTCGAAACCCGGGTGCGTGTTCAGTTGCACGTTTCCGTCCTTCCAGCCCGTCCAGGGTTCCTGGACGAGGACCACATCTATCTGAGCCTCCCAGCAGAGCTGCAGGAAAGCCGTGTGCGCCGGGGAGATCTTTCCGACGTTGCCCTGCGCAACGCGTAGCATCCGTGGGGTCGCCGCTCTCGGCTTACGTCTCCGAGTCGAGTTCGAGGTGGGTGTAGGCATTCGCGACGTTGTAGTTTGGCTTCTGTGCTGCCCGTTGGCTCCTGCTTGGCATGGGTAGCACGGGACGGTCGATGGAGGTGTTGTCGGGGGAGTCTTCGCCTTCGCCTTCGTCCGCCTCGTCTTCATCCATGCTGCTGCTGTCAGTGCTTCCGTCACCGAGGCAAACGATCGAGCTTGCGGAGGGCGTTCTCGTGCGCGCGCGCTTGGCGCCGGGTTGCTGGTTCTGGCTGGTGGAGGTAGGGACGCCTGCCGCCTCCTGGCTACTGTCGGATCGAGTAGCCTTGTACAGAGTGTCCGATGCTTTCTGGCCGGCCTTCCGGATCCGAGCCCGCTCCTTTCGACCGGGAAGGGAGACGACGCCGTTTACGGCCGAGGGCCTCGCTGGGCAGTCTGTGTGGCTGGCTTGGAAGGGGCCGCAGCAGTTGGCACATTGGGGCCTGGCCATGCAGGGTCCCGTTTCGTGTGAATCGGAAGGTCTTCCGCAGTTGCTGCAGATCGGTCGTCGTCCGCAGAACCGGTTGGAGTGGTAGCCCTGGCAGCCGGGGTCGTGTCGGATGAGCGTCCTTCGTTTCTTGACGGGCAGAGATCTGCCGCTTTGGTTGAAGAGCCTGAAGGGCGTGACCTCTGATGTGAATGATATGAGCCAAGATATTTCGTTCGTGACTGGGTTGGGCCCAAGGCGGGACGGTCGAGCAAGGACAGGCTTCTGTCCTGTCTGTGCGAAGACCTCATCTTCAACGAGTGTGGCTGGGTCCAGGACGTCCCCGCCAATGCTGTGTAGTTTTGTTGGGCATCGCGGCACAACGTAAGTGTACCACTTGATAGGCGTCTCGACCTGGTGGGCGCCGAGGCATTCCGCCAGCTTTGCCTTACTTGCAAGTAGTCTTTCCTGTATTTGCTTGTTTCGCGGCTTCAGAGAGTAACCTGTGCTGATATGGTAGACGTGGGGAAGGTCCGCTAGCCCCAGGCCAACGGCCTTACAGACGATCTGTCGTACGGCGAACGGTGCGATCTTCCGAGCGGCCGCTAAGCTTTCTTCCGGGACGCGGGCAAAGATGCGGAGGTCCTCCTTCGGCTGCGCCTGCGGCTGATCCTCGGCGGGGAGTGTGGCCTTCGGGCGGGCAGAGCTCTGGCAGCTCTGGCCGCTCCGGGTCGCCGCAGTGGTGTTGCCCGCCATCGGTGCGACGACAGCCGCCCAACTCCGGGCCGCTATTGGGCTTGTCTCGTGATTGATCAGTCTCTTGAGGGTTTGAATGACATAGGCAGTGGCTTCTTTCGCGATCTGCTTTCTAGAACCGTCAAAGCTGGCGACAACGCTGTCGACGGACCGTGCAATGGTCAGAAAGACGTCTTTCCGTGCCTCGTACTGTCTAGCTTCTTCTGCAAGGGCTGTCAAGACGGACCCTGTGGCAGATCCGCTCGGAGCAGATGCGGTAGAGGCTGCGGGCCCCTCGGCCGAGGTAGGGGCGTCGGTGGTGGCATCAAGCTGGCTTCCCGTTAGGCTGGGCCGGGTCGGCTGTGCCTCGGCGTCGCGGCGTCGCTTAGCTCTTGAGGTGGGGTTCGGCTCCGGAGGTGTCCCGGAGCCTGGTTCGGGGTCGGCTTGGTCGGCCGACATCAGTCCGGTGCCCGACGGCGGCTGTGAGGCCATCGCGGATGCGGGCTCCGGCAAGGGGAGGTGAAGAGTTTTCGGCTGTTAGTAATTTGGTGGTAGGCTCACTCATTCACTAACAGCAGATGCCAAGAAAAATTAGGCGAGAGGGAAGTTCAGCAGAATGAAGTGAGGCGAGTGGACCGCCTGGGTCCAAACGTCTGCGGGCAAATCGGTCTCAACGACTTGCCAGAATAGAATGCCATCAACGAACCACCTCACAGCCTCGAGCTCAGCGGTGCGGTCAACCTCGAGGGTGTAGGTGTGGAAGTTACCCTGGCAGGCGGTGTTGGGGCATTCGCGGCTTCCGACGAGGCCGTCAGTCTCTTTGCAGGGACCTCCGGGGTTGACACCACAGTGCATGACACCCCAAACGCGGTTGATTCCGTTGACGTTCTCCATGATATCAAACTCACCAATGGCAGGCCAATTCCTTCCAACTTTGTCAGCACATAGCTAGTACTCGTGCGCTTCTTATCGTGACTCACCAATAGTTGCCGCGGTATGCATTCCCAAGAGTCCAGAATGCTGGCCAATACCCAATGCCATTGCTACCAACAACGGGAAGATTGAGACTAGCTTGGATGCGCATCTTGCCACCAGCCTGGGCCATGAAGTCTCCGCGCTGAGATTCAATACGAGCAGATGTCCAAGAACCAGATGAAGCTTTGATGGCTGTAATCTGGAGAGCTCCGTTTCCGTTGATACGAAGATTATTGACGCTGCTGGTATAGGTCTGGATCTCTCCGGTGCCCCAGTTGGCAGGGCCGCCAGGGTAGGAGGTACCGGTGTCGATGATCCAGTTGCCGGTATTGGGCAAGCTGTTTGCAGATCCCACAAAGTCGTCACTCCACGTCAGACTGAAGCCGGGGATTGTTGGAACTGCACCGTGAACCGCGGCGAGACCCACGGTAAGAACCGCGACCACTTTGTTGAATGCCATTGAAATAGTTCGTGATGGTGATGTTGAAGATAGAAGCCTTAGGTGTTGTGAATCAAATTTGTCAGGGGGTAAGAAGGCAAAATTGAAGACGGAATCAAGAAAACGAGGTGTGCAGGAGCGATCTCAATTATTTTGGAAGTGCAAATTACTGTTTCAATTCTCTTCATCTCTCCAGAGACTTCTTCTTCTTATATAATTTCAAGTGTATGTATCATTTCTATTTCTGCATGGTCTGCAGCTACATGTTGTCGTCCTGAGCTTCATTCCAGTAGATTGAATTGACTAGCCGTACACACATGGTGGTCCGTTGCAACACAACGCGGGGGACACTGCCGAGAACCCCACGATCCATGCATGGTGTTGTCTCCTTTCCACCCCACACGCACTCACATGTCATTATTGAACGAGGGTAAATTGCACAGGAGGGAAACGGCCCTTTTCAACTAGTGAGACCCTTTCAAGATGTTACCGAAGAAGAAGTTGGGGAATCACATGGCGCAAATGATGGCCTGAGAAAGGTAGCCAATATCGAGTCGTCTAGCCTCTGGGATGCCCAGACCGACAGTTCGTCTGATCTTGATTCCTGACAGACACTGTAGCATCGGGGATCCCACTGGCAACTTTTTGGGTCGTTCAACCACCCCTAGGACTTGAATTGAGCATGATTCAGAAAGAGCATAGCTAGAAAATAAGCTGTGGTCTATGCAAGTCACTGGGAACCGTTCGCAAAATCACTCGCAGGCAGGTTCAGATTGAAAACAAACCACTCCATGAGTCATCGGAGGGGGGCGTTTCCGGTTGCTAAAGGTTAGGTGCGGCGGGATGGGTGAATATTTCAGGGCCAACGGAGTACTTGCAGGCAAAAATGGAGAATCTAGGATGAGCCTTTCTTGGCGGAGGCAAGAAGCCCATAATCCCATGTGGTGCAAAATGTAACCCTGTACTTCGGCTAAGTCTTCTTCTCTTCACAACTGCTTGGGAGTCAGCACCTTTATAGGTGGATGTCAGACTGCCGTAGAAAGCTTGGGGAACTTAGTGTATGCAAAACGAATGTGAATGATGTACGCCCTGGCATATGCGAGTGTCGATTGAGGTACATATTACCAGGCACGCGAGACCCAGGATATCTACATCACAGGGCTACAGGATGCCCCTTAATCATCCGTCTGATGGCAGTCGGCCGTTTAAGCTTGTTTCCCCGTGCCTGTCGATCGGTCGATTGTCAGTTTCTCTTCCCCTCCTTTCACATGACATGATGACTAGGGACGGTTCATATTCCTCGAACCCCCCAGCTGCCCAATTTGGCTCAACGGCCGACCATCTTCGGTGCTTTGCCGGCATGATTGATTTGTTTACTCTGCCCATGAATGACTTCTTCCTGCTCTCGCTTCTTCGAGTCAGGCATCCCAAGATCACGCGGGGACGCGGAGACGTGAGCTGCTTCGGTGTCAACCAGGGTGTTGAGCAAGGGCCAGCCCCGGCCTGAATTGCGGAGCACTATGCCCACGGGGGTTAGTGCAAAGAACTTTGAAGTATCCTCTGCGCCTCCAGGCCACTAACAGGGGGCAAAGTGATTGATAAGATGAATAAAAAACTCCAACGGAATTGCATATCGAATAATCAGTATGGCAGTAAAATTAAAGAAAGAACTCGTGAAGACCACATAGGTTGGGAGAAAAGCCTCCCCACAACGATCCGAACCTCGGCCTCAAAATGCCGCTGTGCCATTACGGGATCCGGGGTAGCTTCTAGTATGAGATTCAGAGCCGAGACGACCTGCATGAGAAAAAAAATGGAGCTTTGGGGAACATGGGGTAATAGTGTTCATGTTTGACGCGCACCTATGGCGATAGATCAGTCAAGGCGAGAAGTTGGTCCTTTAGTAGGCCTGGGCTGAAACCTTTGACGTGGTATCAATCAAGGTTGTTGTCACTGATCAATTTTCGCTCGGTGACATGTCGGCGACAGGCAGAATATTTGACTTTGGCAGTACGATATCATCACTTGTGTCGGTAGCATACACTTCTATGTCGTCCATTCTCCGTTTACCCTGCCGAAGATCCAGCTGGGCAGATTCAATTGCCCACCCGTAGTGCGATGATGTTGAAAATTCGCCTCTTATTGTTGACATAATCTATTTGCAGGTCGTGCCGAAAAGATTTCAGTCCGTTAGCTCGCAGCAACTTGCCAGAGAGAACGCGAACGAACGCAACTATTCATTTGAGAAGCACCTTCATACCCATCTCCGGGTCTGACTCACACCTCAGTCTGAGTAGGGTTGCAGGCAAATCTTCGACATTCAATGTCGGCTCTACTCAACGAGCATTCCACTATGCGGGCGTCAGGCGAAATTTTCAGGGAAATAGGGTCGGGTTGGTGAGTAAAGGTGCTTCGGTTCGTCCCACACCTGACGTGCAGGTGTGGCGCACGGCTGGATGACATTGTTCTGCCTCGACTATGATTTTCATCCTTGGTGCGGGTTGGGGGGCCGCGATATTCGATAGACTCAAGGAATCTCTTCTAGGGCGTTGCGATTGGATAACTTGGACTCGTTAGACACGTGTCTCCAGGCTGGCTTCAAAGTCTGTATGTCTGACGCAGGGCAGTCCACCTTTAAGCCTTCGCCAACCTGCATTAAAAAATGTCAGCTAGGTAATGCTATCCTGCGTCTGTGCTGCGAAAAGGGGGTCCGAAGTCCCTACGGTACGACCTTCCGCTGGCGCAAATGCCTCACTTATCCGTTTAGAGCAATGACGCGGTGCGAGGGCAGCGGAGTAATTAAAGTCCGAATCCGGTGGAAGTACGGCTGAAAATTGGTGTCGAGTCTTGCTGTACTCCGTAAACTCTGTCCAGGCTATATTAGCGCTTAGTAAACTGCATGTCAAACACCGCCCAGCGCGCAGCGGAATTTGTGGGACTGATCGGCCAGCTTTAGGAGGCTGGGCAAATCTTCGGTGTGGCTAGCAATGAAAACCAACTCAGCCATACGGAGTACCTCGGCACAAATCCCAGACACATCCGTACAGATACGGTGAACGGGCTAATTCTGGTCCGATGCAGTGGGGCTCCCCCGTTTCGTCGGTGACTTGATTTTTGTATCCGTAATCGGTTGTCAATAAAACCTAGACTCAGATGATAGCTTGGAATCTCATCTCCTGTTGTGGGACTGTGGCGGCCTTGCGGCGGTGTTTCGTCCGTCGAAACAGCGGAGTCGAGATTTGATCCGACTGAAGATTTTGATAGAAGGCATCCTTTGAGTCAAACATTAAACAATCACCGCCCCCTCCATTCTTGGTGGAAACCCGGACTGAACTCGTACCTGTCCTTTGCCTCTCTATTCCGAGTGAACCAAATTCACAATTGACTCAACTTGAACTACTAGACAGACAAACAATCGGAACACACGAGCCATGTCAAACTCGGCAATCGCGAAGCCCTTGACGTTAGGATGTGGTCTCACTCTGCCCAACCGCCTCACAAAGGCTGCGATGGCCGAGAACATGGCTGACAGCGAAGGCTTACCTTCCCCTGCCTTCCACGCACCTTATGCCGAATGGGCCGAGGGTGGTTGGGGACTGGTCTTGACCGGTGAGCAGGCTCGTAGTTCAATGTTTATCATGCAAGTACGTCGCAGCAACTGACTAATCAATGAAAAAAGGCAATGTGGAAGTCGACCAGAGGTATCTTGGTTCGGCCAAAGACATTGCATATAACGACTCGATCCCGTACGAGCAGCAGCTGGAGGCCTGGAAGGCCTGGGCAAAGGTTTGCAACAAGAATGGCACCCCGACCATTGTGCAGGTCAACCATCCCGGTCGCCAATCTCCCCTCGGTGCTGGCAAGCGTGGCTTCTTGGAAAAAGCGATTGCGCCCAGTGCGATACCCTTGAATTTTGGACAGGGTATTTTCGCGCGTCTCATCAGCTCTTTGGTTTTCGGTACTCCTCGGGAGATGAGTGTTTCCGAAATCAAAGATGTTGTGCGTCGTTTCGCCCAGACCGCAAAGTTGGCATCGGACGCCGGTTTCGCCGGGATGGAAATTCATGGCGCTCACGGCTACCTGCTAGCTCAATTCATGTCCGACAAAAGCAACACACGAACCGACGATTACGGCGGATCACCGGCCGCCCGTGTGAAGATTATTGTCGAAATCATTCAGGCGGTCCGTGAAGTGGTACCGAAGACCTTCTGTATTGGAATCAAATTCAACTCGGTTGACCACCAGTCCCAATCCGAGCTCGATGCCTGCATTGAACAGCTCAAGTTGATCACTGATGCTGGGGTTGACTTTTTGGAGGTCAGCGGTGGCACATATGAAGACCCCCTGGTAAGTAGCGACTAAACTCGTACCACAAATGCCTTTGAAGTTTGAGATCCCAAGCTGACCCAAATTCTTTTCAAGATGGCTACTGGTGTTGCCGATGAAAAGAAGTCAGATCGTACGAAGGCACGCGAAGCTTTCTTCCTTGAATTTGCCCGGGCGATCCGCCGTGACTTTCCAGAGGTTCCCTTGATGGTGACTGGCGGCTTTCGTAGTCGGCAAGGGATGGAGGCAGCTCTCGAAAATAGAGGCTGCGATCTCATCGGACTAGGCAGGCCTGCAGTGTTGAACCCGGCACTACCAAAGAACACCATCCTTGCAGTCACTGTCAAGGACGAGGACGCTAAGTTGTACGTGCGCAAGATTGAGGCACCTTGGTTCACTAAGAAGTTTGGACTCAAGGCGATTGGCGAAGGTGCTGCGACGGTAAGTCTCAACCCGTACTCCGTACAGATGGAACATTGCTTTTCTATGTGACTCGACTGACGTCCGTACACTTAGGCCTGGTACGGCGCTGAAATACGTAAGCTAGGAAAGGCAGAGTAGGACTTGAAAATTTGAGGTAAAAGATACGAAGACTTTTGAGACCACCGCCACAGGCTGAGAAATCGCTGCGATGTTCTCTTTTTCCACGTGTTTTCCTGATAAGCTACATAATGTGGAAGACGGATGAAACGTAGTTACAGCCTCAATGAAATGCACGATAGACTCTCACCACACCTACTGCCATGGTTTTCGGTATCTTACCTAAGGCAATGAAATATGTGCCGAAATCTGCTGTTCATCAATGAGCAAGTCTCCCTTGCTTCTTCCCGGATGCGCGGATAATGAATTCCAGCGAAGTTCCCCTTGCGGCCCGAGCTAATGATTGCTGGCGGCTGTTCTAATTTGCTGGCCCATGATGTTGCTCCGGCTTTCCCCTCCTCCCCCGCACATCTATGAGAATTCCGGTTTTCAATGGGATACCGGATTAATATCCTACGCGCTGAGGAATCTGATTTCGATACCACCTTCCAGAAACGTATGCCTTCTTTTCCAACATCGTGTTTGTTTGAAGCCGGAGACTGGAGTAGATTTGGCTTGTTTTGGTCTCGGTGGATCGTTGCGCGCTCCAGAAACTTAGACATGCAGATCCTGCTTGCTCATATATTTCCGAGGAGAGATTTCGAGTGCATGTATAAATGAGCTGATGAGACATCGAAAAGCAAGACCCTCTTGTAAAGACTGTGTCCGATGCCAATCATTCAACATGAGGACCAATATCTCGACATTGCGGAATGTTATAGCTTTGGCGGGTTTTGCCCGTGCGCAGTTTCAAGACTTCTTCAATATCACAGAATTTCCAAAGGAGCAAAATATCAACGTCACAAAGTGGATGAACGAAGCACGTACGCTTGCAGGCCTAGATCTCTACCCGTACTTTGCACACCGCTGCATCCTTGGCCAAGTCTACCCTGAGCTTTCCTCCGCTACACAGATACCAGGGTTTATTGCCCCTCACAAGGTTTTTGACCGATTATACTACATTGGACAAAGCGCTGTCTCGGCATGGGCTTACAATACTGGTGATGGCCTGATTGTCTTCGACGCTCTCAACAATGCTGCTGAGGCCGAGGGCATCCTGATCCCCTCTCTCTCGACACTTGGATTCACTGCCAGCGATATCAAACATCTTGTCATTACCCATGAACATTTTGATCATTATGGAGGGGCCCGATGGCTCCAAGACAACTTTTCTTTCTCCACATATGCTTCGGCTGCGGCTTGGGAAACTCTATCGCAAATTGAGGACGGACCGATCAAGGACAAAACCATCTCGGATGGTGACCAGCTGACGATCGGCAACGTTACGTTCAATTTCTTCGTGACACCAGGTCATACGCCGGGCACTGTGTCGACAATCTTTGAGGTATCTGACAATGGCGCAAAGCATATCGCAGGCTTCTACGGCGGTGTTGGCATTCCAAGCAGTGCGTCAGCCAAAGACCAGCAAGTCGTGTCCTTGAATCGGTTCGCAGACCTGGCAAAGCAGGCGGGCGTGGATACACTCATTGCCAACCACCAGAACCAAGATCGTGCGCTCTATCACTTCGATCTCCTGGCTCACAGACAAGATGGTACTGAACACCCATTTGTGATCGGCACAGACGCCTTCGATCGATATCTGAAAGTGAATAAACTGTGTGTGAAGGTTAAGGCTGCTAGAGATGGGCAGTTTCTACAAACCTAGGGATAGCCTAGCACAAAGAATCTCGTTCACAGAGTAAAAAAATATCTTGACTCACACATCTCATACCCTCGATGTTTTTCCTGATAAATTGTACTTGTATTGGTTTGTGTGCTCAAGAATGTAAAGGTCCCTAAGTACATACGAAAACGTAAAATAACGAATGGAATTTGGATGAACCTCTTATGAACCTTTTGGCATCTCATGCAGGCAAGCTTCCGCTGATGGACCAGTACACGTTGTAATTGAAACCTTGAGCATCGTAGAAGGGACCAAGGTTTACACTTTTGCCACCTGCCGTTGCTGTAAAAGCCAATCCAGTAGTTCCTGTCCGCTTGACGGTGGCCAAGTTCAGCGCTGGAGTGGTAGAAAGTGTTTCACTTCCGTAATTTCCACTCAGAATGACAGGACCGTAGGCGAGTGCGGCGATGGTGGGGTTATCATTCGCAGGGACGACTTGTAGCTTCATGGGCAGCTTCACAACCACAGTATCGCCGGAGACCCAAGTTCGGTCGATGGACGCGTATGTTCCGGCGACACCGCTTATCGCTTGGCCATTCACGGCCACTTGAGCTCCCGAAGCCCATGCTGGAATACGGATACGCATGATCCATTTGCCAGCACCAGTGACTTTTAGAGTCGTTGTTTCTCCGCGGGGAAAGTCGGTTGTTTGAGTGACAGTGACGCTGCGCTGTGTCCATGTCAGAACTGAGGGAATGAACAGGTTAATATAGAGCGCATAGTTGTCGTAAAAGTAGATGGAGTCCATGAGCTTCGTGTTTGTTTCCAATCCAGTTCCTTGGCAACACCAGAAGGAGTCATAGTCGGTACTCCAGGTTCCTCCACCCCAGGCTGGGCCGACGCCACGACGTCCACCGGGGTTCAAAGGAGTGAAGTACGTGATATGGCCATGACCATCAGATGGATTTTGCTGGCCCAGCAAATGGTTGAGTAAAGCACGCTCATAGAAATCAAAGTAAGTTGTCGCGCTCGGCTTCGTCAACCAGAGCTCTCGCGTGAGCTTGAGCATGTTGTACGTGTTGCAAGCCTCACAAGTGTCCTGATTCAAAAACCCAGCAATAGCATTAGGGAGCCTAAAGTGCTCTGCCTGGCTGTTGCCGCCGATTGCGTACGAATGCGCGCTAACGGTGATGTTCCACGCGTTGCGAGCAATGTCTTGGTATCGACTAGTCCCCGTCGCTTTGTACTCGCGTGAGGCTCCGATCCACTTTGGAACTTGAGTGTTTGCGTGCAAGCCATTAAGACTGTCCTGGTTCGAAGCAAGAGGGTCGAAAATGGCGGCATGATCAAATCGCTGTGCGACAGTGAGCCATCTTTCATTCCCGGTTTGGTGGAAGACGTCGGCCAAAACTTCATTCATTCCTCCAAACTCGGTAGCCATCATGGCCTGCATCTGGGCATATGTGAGCTTTGCCGTGCGAGAGTCGACCCAGGCCGCCATCGCGAGGAGTACATCTCGCGCGTTGGTGTCACCGATGTGGCGCCAAATGTCGAGCAAGCCAGCCATGGTCTTGTGAATGGCATAGTAGGGAACGTTCCCGTTGCTGAGAGTGCGGTTTTCAACGGCGGTGATTTCGGACTCGGGAAAGCCAGAGAGATAGCCAGTGATGAAGCCAACTTTGCTGTTGTTGGCTTGGCACTTCTTTAGTTCGGCAGCAAAGTAAGTGGCCCTACTTTTACATTCGGCGTCGTGTAGCTGGGCGTAGCAAAATGCCCATGCGTTCAGAAAGTGGCCTTGGAAGTGAGTTCTGAATGGGAAATCCGGGGCATCCCATCCGCCATTTGTTGCCGCGTTGTTTGTGGACAACCCATGGTTCTTGCGGAAGTTGTACAGCAAGCGCTCAACATCGACCCATTTAAGGTACGTCAGAGTGCGAGCCTGATTATCGAAGAAGCGTCCACTGCTCAATGTGACCTGGCTCATGTCGAAGGCCCAAGCCGAGACACCCTTCTCTTGATATACAGGAGGCACGGCTTGTGCGGTCACGTCCATGATGGACGATTCCACAACTATCGCTAAGGACGCTAGGCCTCGCAAGATTTCTGTCGTAAACCACATGATGGCGACGATTTGAGCCGAAACTCTGTACGGAAGTTTGGTAGTTATTGAAAGTTCAATGAAAGCCCGGAGCTTTGAATGCCGTCAACGCTTTGTCAATGTGAATCAGCCAAGAGGTGCCGATGAATGGTTTATATTTATCATTTGCTAAGTAACATCGGATCAACCCACCGCCCTGATACTATCCCATTGGGAACAACAGCGTCCCGCTACGAGGCAACCCTCGTGATACTGTATACCCCACCATCAACTCGTTCAACGACTGGTGCGCATGGTCGGTAGCGGAGGTGAGGTTACACTCATGAACTGGTGGTATGTTAATAGTAGTAGGCTTGTGCAGGCTGGCCCCTGGTTCGCCTTCCCCGCACGATAGAGTGGCACGAGTGGATGCTGGGAACAACTCGATTGGCGCGGTACCTTCAAGCTTTCCTCGTACTGAAGGATCTGCCAAGGAAGATTCTCAGCCTATCAGGTGAGCCGCGAATGAATAATTGAGTTGAAATCATTGTTCCTTTGTGACCACCACATTCCAGGCGTTGAAATCACAAAGTGATGATGTAGCGCAGGCCGTCTTGAGGGCGCATCGTGTAACATATTGGCCGAAAGTAGATCTGCCCATTACATCAAATTGCTGTGATTCACGGCTATTCGGTCGACTCACCGTGCCGGCGTAGCCGATTCAGTGATGGGATGAATGCTTCAGACGAACGATAATTGGGACGCATGACCTTGGTATTTATCCTCGAGTTAGCCGCTTTGTATCAAGCCTACTCGGCTGAGTACTTGATGCAACTTCGTCCCCACAACCTCTAATCGGGTTGCTACGACCCTAGACCGGTCAGGAGAAAAGGTTTGGGTTGCAAGTCAAGCGTGTTAGAAAGGACATCTCTTTCGGGAGACTGGTGGTGCCCTTCCTGGGCTGCATATCTCACCGAGGGCACGTGCAATTCCAACAAGACCAGAGCGAACCCCTGACAGCCGGCACTTGTGAATATGATACTGACGAGCAAGTTTCGCCAAAGTCCTCACATACCGGCTGCACACTCAGATCATTCTTCCCCGCCAACCCCTCAACTTGATGCGTGTCCAACGATATTAATGACTGAGACAACACACATGTTCGGTATACGGCTTCTTCAATTCACTGTATCACTGTATCATGAATTGGTAATTCTTGCAAAGGCAAGGACGCTAACGCTCCCAAAAATTGGAGTTTTACCACACGCCAATGACTAGGTGGACATTCTGGGGTATGCTTTCAAAGAATAGTAAGCCCTCAAAGCTGCTTGGTGGAACAGCTCATGTTGCTTGGAAGATGTATCAAAATGCAAGATATGGGATAGAATATGTATGTAGCACAATGTGGCATCCTTTATTCATCTGCGTAGAAGAACCAAAGAGGGTTTTATGCATAGATTAATGTAAATGATAAGCTCTCGAATCGTATTCTATCGCAAAAACGACGACGTTAATTGTGGGCAGCAATCAACGCCACATATACCCTAGAACATCTTCACCGTTGTCTTGTGATATTGGTTCCCTACCTTAGTAACTAACGTCGCGCCACATGCAGCGTGACAACAACTCGCAATATCGTAACCCCTAAGTGGCAGTATGTGCTCGCAACGATCCCATTAATTGGTCGTTGATAAACCAGAGCAAAGACTTGGATGAGTCAAGTTCGATCCCAATTCCAATTTACCTCCCAGTGAGATGTCAATGAGATGGTCACACTGTGGCAACGCGAGACTCGCCGCCCGCCATCACAAAGCTACTGCGCTTCCAACTCATCTATTCATCTGATAACCCTCTTTCTTGCTTAAGAGTTGAAGCCCATGGGCTCTTAGATGATGTGCTTAAAAAATTGCCTGCCATCAACGTAACTGTTAGTGCACTTGTAAAGTGTAATGCAAGGTGGTCTCAGTGCCTATTTCTTCCAAGGGCGGTAAATTCACAGGATAAGGCCCCAAGTAGGCTACGTCAATAGTCACAATATGAGCTAGTATTCAATGTTGTGTGAGGGCTTGGCTAGTGACATTACGTCCTCCAAACTTTATCCACCTGTACTAGAAACATTTTTTAGATTCTGCGCCAGCGGCCAACGTCTTCTTCAATGCCTTAGAAAATGCCGAACTGGTCTTTCATGGTGGTGATCAAGCACTAAATGATGTCAACACGTCATTTCAGTAAAATAGCTCATGGATTCACGCCCCAGTTGTCGGCAAATGTCAGAAAGTCTACAGACAGAAGAAATTAGGGGAAGGCCCTCCATGAAATGGAAATTACATGCCAGGTCAATAAACCGAGGATCTTCTGATATTTCTGCATAGCTGATTCACCCTGATTCTAGTGGAGACAACAGGGCATCAGCAACCAATTGTTTGACTTCACTTCCCTCTCGGCATTAAAGTATCTCCAGCAAATGTTAATTCGCTATGCAACAAGGGACGTACGTGCTCGGTATGAACTAAACCAACTTTGTTCGGTTCCTCGATTCGCCAAACTCAAAGGCTTAATTAAAGCCTGGCTGAGAATGAATATGCTACATGAAGGTAATGTACTCTTCTCTTCGGAATTTTCATTCAGTTTGTTGTGCCATTCTACCCGACGTCTCAAGGCATCGGGGAAAGACTCTTAGTGAAGTGTCATTGACATGCGGAATCCCGAGGATCCTCCTGCCTTATAATGTATGATAACAAAGCGAAATGTGGTAGATCGATGCCATGCATCCGCATTCGAGCTGCTAGGTTGAGCTTCGTGGATGGCCTCTTCTGCACATTATTAGCCCGGGCTCTTGAGTCCTCCCATAATCACAGAAGTCGACCGGCATTATGCATATAGCCAGCGAGACAGCATACTTACCCCCATCCCCATGAACCCTGTTGTGGCTTTCGGTGCTTGCTTGGCCGGAAACATCCATAGAAGTAGCACACCTTGACCGTGGACGATTGACATGGTTAGTGAGTGGCTCGATTAGAGTTCGCCGGTCCACCGAACCGAACCGAGCTGAAGACCCGGCCCGGCGGAAACCAATCCCCGACTAAGGTATCTTTCGGAGCGGTCTTGAAGTGTGTGTGGAGCCGGAACTTTCTCGATCTAAGAACATAAAGTGATTTGGCCTACATCTAGCCATCCAACTCAGAAGAATACTGCAAAAGCTGATGAACAGATCGCGGTCACTGTATCCTTCCGCTGCCTTAGTAAATCAGATTCTAAACCACTACAGAACCCGCGCCGAACACTGAAAGCCTTAGAAGCATACAGTCAAACTCGAATCATACTACCGAAAATTGATATGGCAACGCGAGCACGAGCCATTGATCCAGTGGAGGTTAAGAGGACCTTTGCTGCTCAGTTCGAAAGCAACGATATTGTCACATTTGAAGCCGGCAAGCGCTATGGAGATTGGCGCGACGACTTTCACCGAAATGGCTGCGCTGTCATCAAGAATGTCATCAGTAAAGAGCGTGCCCAATACTACTGCGATAAGCAAATCGAATGGTTGAAGAAATTCGAACTTGGCTTCGACGAAAAGGATCCTACTACATGGACTGCGGATCACCTTCCAATCTGTTTCAAGGGAGGGTAAGTTGAAAACCTGATTATCTGATGAAGGACGGTCGGGACTAACATTGTTTCCTTGTGTAGTATGTATTCTGCATACGGTGCGTCCCATGAGCAAATGTCATGGGAGGCTCGTACGGAGCCAAAAGTCATTGAAGTCTTCGAGAAACTTTGGGAAACCAATGAACTTATAACGTCGTTTGACGGCATGAACATTTCTCTCCCGAACCGTAACGACATCACGTGGAGTCCATGGCCGCACTGCGACCAGAATCCTGAAAGAAAAGGGCAAGTTACATCATGATATAATTTGATCGTATGAAACCTCACACTAATGATTATTAGCATGCAAGCTGTTCAAGGCCTTTTGAACTTTGCGCCCAACGGCCCAAACGATGGTGGCCTCGTTCTGATGCGTGGCTCAGCTAAGCTTTTCGATGAATTCTTCGCCCACAAGCGTGAATCCGCCGATCATGAGGACGCTCCGCCCCCAGAAATAAAGTTCATGGACCTTTTCCTCTTCAACGAGAAGGATGTCCAGTGGTTCGAAAGTAAAGGGTGCGAGCTCTTCAAGGTGAACATGGAGCCCGGTGATTTTGTGTTGTGGGATTCGCGGACTATGCACTACGCCCGATTCCCCGAAGGTGATCAGATCAGACATGTGCAGTACATTTGTATGACACCGCGGAGATTCGCTACGGATGAAGCTTTGGAGGCAAAGAAATATTGCTTCGAGAATTGGTTTGGCACGACACACTGGCCTCACTGGTAGGTTCAAACTATCCAAATCTCGAGATGCCCTCCTGCGCACTTGCTGACCAGGATCAGCAACATTCGCCCGTCACAGGACCCTCCTAAAAGGAATGGAGAAATCTGTCCCAAGCACCGGAAAGAGCCATTTGAAAAGCCCCAGATCACAGATCAGCTGTTGAAGTTGGCTGGGATCAGGGACTACTAGTTATCGCAACCAGAGTTTAAGTTTGCGACAAGATTTTAGTAACTCGGTGTACCCTGATGTAGCATAGCTCAATCTTTTCTGCCAGGCTACCCGAGGAACAACGTATTGGACAGACAGAATGAGAATGTGCTCTAGCAACCGTATCGTTCTGAACAATGGCTTGATACGTCTTGCTGCGACAGCGAGCCCGTTGAAATCGAGATGCCAGCAGTGCAATTATCAGAGTTCGTCAATTTATACCGACACTTGTGGGCACAACACGCGAAATAGGTATCTAGCAATGTTCAAATTGGCGAAGTGCTCTAGATGACTATCCCATCAAGAAAGGTAGCACGGCACGGGTAGGTAAGAAGGCATTCAATTTGGAGGATAAGAGGAACAGGCCGACGGACTAACGTATGTATGTCTCGCTGTTACCCCGCTGTTACCCCGCACTCGCATGCATTATCGTCTTAACGCCGTGCCGCCCTCGATGGAATACGGGATTAAGATCTTCTGATGAATGCTAGCGACAACAGAAGCCTCGTGTTCAGTGTCGAGGCCGGGACAATCCAACGCTTTAAGTTCATTAGTCTGGCGTGTATAGCGTCTTATGGCACGTTCTGCGCAAATCACATTCAAGCTTGCGGCAGTCTAACTTGCGGCAAAAACTAAGAAGACTGGAAGTGCATTGAGAGAAAGATTCGTACAGTTTCCTTCTATGGACCCGGTTTCAATTCTTGGGCCAAGATCCAACAATTCGAAGAGATATGTGCCTGGGCAGACCTGATACTGGGAACACCAACAATGACCTGCTCCAAGTGAGTTTCAATCGAAGAAAACCGAAACTGAGAATGCCAATACATGATATTGGTCCGTGCAGCCTCAACCTTTTGCCAAACACAAAAAGTCCTTGCTCACGCCGGGGACAACGTAAGACACGAAACCGACTTAGCAGTAAGTATCCCTAGATGACCAGAACTGCGTGGTCGGCATGCTAGGCTTGGCGCCGTCTAGGGCCCTGCATAGCTCCGATGAACGGAAGAATAGCGGAGAATTGTAGTCCACCAGTTGGAACTCAGAGTTCATCACAAATGGCGGGTAGAAAGTGCGAATGCGTCGAACTATTATCCCCACAAGCCCTTAAACCCAGAGCCACCATTTCCCCACGGGCAATAAGCCGGAGAAGTCGCACCGCGGTGGGAACCCCGCGTTGCCGAAGTCGACGGATTTTAGAGTGCTGAATAACGCGACAGCAGGGGTCCCAGGCTTAATAACTCGACATCATATGTCTCTGAGTGTCTACGAAAATCTGTATATTTGAAACTACTTTGGGTGTCGTTCAAGACTGTCACGAGCTCTTATCGGCCCATTCAGACTTGCAGAGCACGGTTTGTGCTGCAGAGCTGATTTTCAAACCTCTGCTACTGAAAGGAGGTCGATATCATTGAGTGTGGAAGAACCCCGCACTCTGCACGACGCGTGGAACCCACTGTGATGTAATCTTTGCCCATTCCCTACTGGACCTACGAACTTGGGCTACATGGAGGGTGCGCCAAACCTTGCCCATCCCGTCTATCGGATCCATGCCGGGAGTTGCCCGAAACCGCAGAGTCGGTACTGGGAGCTAGCATATGGCTATCCGAAGCGCTCGTCGTCAAAATTTCAAGTATTTGAGGAAACAACGTCCTTTTCCTCGAGCTTGCAGTAGGCTTCAGGTCCTCACAGCCGCTAGACATCCCAAGAAATACCACTCACCGAGTATAATCGAGAAAAACTCCTAGGCGAGCCCGCGACTCATTATCAACAATGGTCGACGCAGTTCCAGACGTCGCGGACACTAAGTCGCGGAAGAGCGATGTCGAACATGTCGAGCAAGATCTGAAGAAGCCACAGCTCCTACATGGAGACGGCCAGCAAGAGTACCCGGAGATCTACCTTGAGGCGCTCGCAAGGTACCCAAATGACGAATCCATTGACCAAGCCGATGAAAAGCGTCTTCTCCGCAAACTCGACATGAGAATCTTGCCACTTCTCGGCATTTGCTACTTTTTCTACTACGTCGATAAGACCACACTGTACAGCCCATTCTTCCAAAAACCCATGAGTCCCGGGCTCTTTGTATCTCTTAGCTGATCGCACAATAGATCTTACGCGGCGATCTTCGGGTTGAAGGATGGTCTCGACCTGAAAGGCGAAGAATATTCCTGGCTTTCTAGTTGCTTTTACTTCGGCTGGCTCATCTGGGCCATCCCATCTAACCTCATCATGCAACGCTGCCGTCCAGCTTGGTATCTCTCTTTCAATATCTTTATGTGGGGCGCACTTCTTATGGCCCAAGCCGCCGCAAAGAATTTCGGCGGTCTTCTCGCCCTCCGCGTACTCTCCGGTGCCTTCGAGGCCATCGCAGATCCTGCTTTCATGCTGATCACATCGATGTACTATACAAGATCTGAGCAGCCTTCTCGCATCTCGGCGTGGTATGCTTGGAATGGAATTGGCGTTGCTGGCGGTGGTCTGATTGGTAAGTTTGGACGACTCTCGTGCTGTACATCGTTCTTCCTCGGCAATTATCAACTGACAATTCTCATTTTAGGATATGGTATTGGACACATTAAAGGAGCCCTAGAATCGTGGCGCTACGAGTTCCTGGTCGTCGGTGCTTTCTGCGCGTTCTGGGCAATTGTCCTTGTTCTCTGCCTTCCCAACTCTCCACGAACCATCTGGGGCTTTAATCACGAAGAAAAGCTCATCATGATCGCGCGCATGCGTCGCAATCAGACAGGTATCGAACAACGCCGTATCAACTGGGGTCAAATCAAAGAGGCTTATATGGACTACCAAACTTGGCTTTTTACCTTGTTGGGCTTCGTCTCCAACGTCCCCAACGGTGGTATTTCCAACTTCTCCACACTTGTCATCAAGGGCCTTGGCTTTGGAACGCTCGAGACAGCGCTACTTGGCATCCCGCAGGGCGCTCTTGTGGTCATATGGATTGGTCTCGGTGCCTTGGCGAATAGGTATATGCCGGCTAACAGCCGCACACTTATTTGCGCACTCTTCATGTTGCCAACCATTGGCGGTGCATTGGGTTTCCTTCTTGCACCTGCCAATGCTTATACCGGCCGTCTCATCTGCTTGTAAGGTCCCTTGTCACATGCATATCGTGGGGTATATACATGTGCTAATCTTCACAAGCTATCTAACCGGTTCATACCAAGCATCGTTCGTCATCTCTCTGTCGCTCATCACATCAAACACGGGCGGTCAATCAAAGAAGATGATTGTATCCGGCATGATTTGGTTTGGCGCTTGCATCGGCAACATCGCAAGTCCGTTCTTTTACAAGACGAACCAGGCCCCTTCGTATCACCTCGGTATTGGCTCCCTCCTGGTCGCAAACTGCATTGAGCTTGCCCTCTTCTTTGTCTTTCGGTATGCTTTCATCTGGGAGAACAAGCGCAAAGAGAAGCAAAGAAATGCGCTACACGCAAGTGGCAACTATGCCGCAGACGAGCTCAATGCCACAGCGTTCACAGATATGACTGACAAGGCGAATCCCAATTTCGTGTATGTATACTAGAAAGCTCGGCGTTTACCCTGTCATCTTTTGATGCAGGAGGATAAGTGGTACACGTCCAAATTGAATAACGACAAAGCCGATGTTGAGGCTTATTGACGCAAGGCAATACATATAGGCCGCCGCCAGACTACTTAGTTAGAACTTCGGTACCACGGCCGATCCGTACATTCACGGATGTAAATGATGTTGAAATAGATTCCGCTCAGGCTTGCGATTGGAAATCACCAATGCAATTGAAGAAGTGAAATAGTAATAGAGTTTGGAGACTGAAATTGTCCGAGATGCCAAGTTGGGAAAGGGTTTGCCGAGGTCATGATTTTTTGAGAACGCAGCACATCTAAACTCCTTGTGTTTGTCCTTCAAGCCGCTTATGTCAGCGGGACGCTATTGGTTGACCTCCGTTTTGATGAATGTTTGGATGGAAACTGTTGTCTAAAGCGGTAACCTTTACCGCGGACTGACCGGAAGACTAGCCGAAATGTTCGAGTTTACGTGACCTTTAGTCAAGAGCACCCTGGCCTGAAGCTTCTTTCCGATAACAGGTGTCGTTCATGGCAGGGCACCAATAGCTCAGTCTTATTGACAGTCTGGCACATGTACCCTGGCCCTGCCCAGCCTTGTCAAGCTCAGACAATGCTCTCGGCTACTGGGCCTGTACAAGGCCCGAACGGCACTTGTTGACTGCCGGGCTACTACACTTGTGACCAACAAAGACTGATAAGTAGTACTTAAGGTCTCTATAGGATCCAGAAATCACGATTCTGTCCTCACGCTCATCCCGAACCCGCCGTCACCCTCCATAAATCATTATCTTACTCACTCTGTATCACAAAGTACCGCTGTCAAGTTGCATACCCTAAGATGTCTTCATTCGCCAAGCCTATTCCCAACAGCATTCTCATTTTCGGAGCAGCCGCGCATATTGGCAGACCCTTGACCGAATTTCTTTCCCGAGAGGCTCCCACTATCAAGTTACGACTCGCGACGAGCAGCCCGAACAAGAAGAAACAGCTTCAGGATGCTTTTCCGGACGCCGAAGTAGTTGAAGCCAACTATTCAGACGTTTCATCTCTCTCCGCCGCCCTAACTGGCATTGAGGGTGTCTTTGTAATCACTCCAGGAGGCATCTCGGAAGAGAAGGCTATGACAAACTTGATTGCTGCTCTGAAGCAGGCCAAGTGCGTCATACATATCATACGCCTAATGGGAGTCTTCCCGGAGATTTCGCCTTCACAGGTGCCTACTACACTCGGTCCGGGATCCCTTCCCATAGAACACCCAATCGCCAAACGCATACTGGATGCAAGTGGGCTGCCTATCACCTACATAAACTCTGGAGCAACCTTCATGGACAACTTCTGGATCCAAATAAAGTCGGTCATTGCAAAGAAGACCCTGATCTGGCCAGAGCATCGTGTGCCCTTTCTGGACCCTCGAGACATCGCAGAGGTTGCGGGTAGACTGTTCTTGTCCAACAACGCGAAGCACATTGGTGCATTTCACACAATGAATAATGGTCATGACTGGCTCACGTTCGAGGAGGTGGCAGCTATGTTGTCTGAAGTACTCGGCGAATCGATTGCGTACGATGGAAGCTTCGAGGCGTTTTCTGGTTTCTATGGATCTGTCATGGGACCTCAACTGGTGCAAGCCATGTGGAACTTTTTCAAGTATGAGGAGGCGCATGAAGAAGTTTGGTCATTGAACAATTTCGTGGAGAGGACTCTTGGCAGGAAGCCCACAACTGTCAGGGATTGGCTGGAGGAACACAAGGCTGGATTGATAAAAGGTACCGGAGATGCCCCTTGGGCCTCAAAAGCATGAAGTCTTCCGTTGCATTAGCGATTGTAAGATTGCAAGAGTATTAGTTTAATACATGACCAATCTTAGTTGCTGGATATGGCGAATGATTTATCACGCATGCTGTGAAGCCCTTGTAGCCTTTTGGTTATATCTCTCCTGTAATTGGATAATTTTGACTTTAGTTACGGAAGTTCGTACCAGCAAACTCATCAAGTGCTGGATGTCGTTGGTACATCAGTCTCCGTTTTCCTCCAAAGCCGATCCCCTTTTTGAATTTTCAATTAGGTACAACGCCTTATAATGACACGGAAATATCACTATTGAACAAAAGGTCCTGGAAGAATACGTGATTCGTTACTACCCTAAGTGGCAATGTACCGACGTCATCCAGTACTTGATTGGATACCACAGAGAGGGAAAGTCAATAGACTTCTCCAGCCAACTCCTACAAGTCATCTACTTCTGCAGGATAAGAGTTGCAGAGGTATGTGGAAGGGCTGGTTGACATCGACCCTTGCAAAGGTCGTATGATCGGACAAGGCTGGGATCTCTCAATCGAATGATGGTGGCGAGCGATTGCCGGGGAGACTTTAGAGGCGTGTGTAGAGAAGGCTTCGCTCATAGGTAACAAAAGTTGTGGTCCCACCTGTCTTATGGCTTTGATCAAATATTCCAAGATGGCTGCCCGATGGTACGAAATGTCTCTCCTGCCCGTAATCAGTACCACTAGCAGATGCGTCTTGTTTTCTCTCGTACATGTGCGGAGGCCGAGAAATGGGGAAAGCTGTACGACAGGATCGTTCAGGACGTCTCGCTCACATTGAAGCAAAGTAAAAGCCTATGGCCGTCCACGAATCGGAAATGATAGGGCCTATTAGGGAGGCGTTCCCCCCGGCAAGCCAAGCCTTTGGTTTGCACCAGGAGGGCAGGAAGCACGCTCCCTTTCAAACAAAGAGATCCGAATTGATATTCATGAGAATGTAAAAGCCATTGGCTGATAGGTGGGTTTACAGCGGAAGGTGAAAACCCGACGCCCGCTGCAGAGGTCGCGCAAGGGCGTCAAATCAGCCTTAATTAGCACGTCAAGAGTGATGACTGGAGCCTCAGCCATGCATACATAATTAGCAACCCGGAGTCCGGAGGGCAGACTGGAGAGGCGGTGCGGTAGCAGAAAACTGGGCCGAGTCACACTGGGCCGAGTCACACTGGGCCGAGTCCACCTAATGAATCGTGGGGAGGATGGCGGGGAGAACCGTTCTCGCCGCGGCTGGATTCTGATGGGGAACTAAATTCTGGGGCCGAGTTCGGAGACCATCGGCCAGGGACGGACGATACCACCCGTGGTGAATTACCTATAACAGCAAGAATGTCTTCCGATCTGTCAAATGCACAGCTGAAAATAGCAGGTATCTGCGACTTTTGTTCCTCGAATGTAAGGGCTGCTCAAGTCCTAAGTCCTCAAAAGGATCCTTCATCGTCGACTCATTGCACCCTAGGACTTGGCCTCTCCCCCCTGCAATCTACAACCACACTCTTGAAATCTTTCTTCCCGTCCGAATTTTGCAGTATGAGAGAAAAGCTAAAAGCTGTGCCTATTGAGCTCTCATCACCAAAAACCTGCTCTGCACCACGAGAACACCCTTACAATGCCGAGGCAAGCGCTGAGAGGATGGCCACCCACAACAGTATCGAGAGAAGCGCATCGCGACCAAGTATAATCATTGATACGCCGCCAGATGGAGGCGCTAGAGCGTGGATGGTAGGTGAGTGGAGCTTAGCAACACGCAAATGGTGTACCAATCTGTACGTTACTGATATTATGACAGTTTTCAGCACGTTTCTCGTTGTTATGAACACTTGGTTCGTGGTTCCAATATTATTATCGCATGATTCGGGATTCTGACACATTGTAGGGGTGTAGCAAACTCCTTTGGCGTCTTTCAGCCATACTTCACTGGTGTCTTTCTGCGGCCACAGTCCGATGTCTCGTGGATCGGTTCCTTTGAAGTATTCCTGCTCTTCTTTGTCGGGACGTTTACAGGACGATGGACAGATATGGGGTTCTTCCGTCCCTTATTCGTCACCGGCTTCTTCCTTGTCATCTCGGGAATGGTTGCTGCCTCCTTTTGTACCACTTATTGGCAATTTTTCCTGGCTCAGGGCGTCTGCCTAGGGCTTGGAAATGGTTGTCTGTTCTGTCCCTGCATGGCGGTGACATCCACGTACTTTGCGAAACGTCGCTCATTAGCATTCGGCCTCACAGCCGCTGGGGCTGTTGTCGGGGGTCTCACTATCCCGAGCATGGTTCGGCAGCTTTTGCCCAAGATCGGTCTTGGCTGGACAATCAGAGCGATTGCCTTGATTCAGGTTATAGCTTTAGTAGTTGCTGGCCTACTGATCAAGACGAGAATACCACCACGGCAAGCAGCACCTCTGGTAGAGTGGGCAGCTTTCCGAGAATCAGAGTATGGTTTCTATGCTATTGGGGCATTCATGGTAAGCATATCGACCTAGAGCAAGCAAAAGTTACTAAATAGTCTCCAGTGCTTTTGGGGAACCTACTTTGCCTTCCATTTCCTTGCGGCGTTCTCCCGAGACGTCTTGGGACTTTCTTACATAGATTCACTTGACTTGTTATTGGTTCTCAATGGTGTGGGTGCGCTCGGAAGAATTATCCCGGCTCAAATTGGGGACATAATTGGCACTATTAACACTTTTGCTCCGATGGCGTTTATGACCGGCACCGTCATGTTTTGTTGGATTGGTGTGCAAAACACGACGGGGCTGTACGTCTGGGCGGTTTTTTATGGCTTTGCTGTTGGCGGAATCCAGTCGCTATTCCCATCAGTACTCAGCAGCTTGACCACGGACCCTCAAAAGCAGGGTACGAGAATGGGTATGGTTTTCACGGTAGTCAGCTTCGCATCTCTCACCGGATCGCCGATCGCAGGAGCTATTATCGATGCGATGGGGGGCAGATACGTTGGCGCACAAGCATTTGCCGGTTGTTGCATGATTTTGGGAATGGCATTCGTTCTTTCTGCACGGGTTTGCAAGACGAGGAAAATGGGAGCGGGGGCGTTTGCCTTCATCAAGGTTTGATAAACTTCTGCGAGACACTCATCGCGTACATCTATGGTATTGAGTTCATGAAGCTTAGTTGATATCGAAGAAATCAATGTCTTTCCAAAGGTCTCTTACCTGTGATATCCAATGCCCAAATGAGCCGTAGTATATGATACTTAAAGGCCTGTGACTTCACTTGAATGAGGCAATCGCAGACTACCTTGAATTCCGGTGTTGGAAGTTGTTGCATGTGCTACTCAGATATGTACAAAACATGCCACTGAAATAAGCTCACACTCCGTATCAAGTCTCTGTGTAGAAAACCATCGTGATATGAAAAGATTTTTGATATACCACCAGGGTAAGGTTAAACGTACATGTATCTCATGGCTGTTTTGAGTAAAAGAGTCTGACTCCGAAGATTTCAAAATCCGGAGACTGGCACCTTCTTTGACAAACAATGATACCGCTATGAACCAATAACCTCACTTCGTAGTTTGTTTATAATTCTCAAGAATTCTTTAAAATATTTTTGAAGCGTCATGGATCGACTGATCCTCAAAACATGATGCTTCCACATTCTTATGCAAGTATCAGGCCTGTGAGGAAGATGGGCTGCTTGTTGGAGAAGTTCGGCACGTCTCCCATAATCCCAACAGCATCAGGCCCAGCGAAAGCAGTCTTGATCTGTTCCAAGTTGTCCAAAGTAAGAGCTGATCAGAAGGCGTACAATGGCGGGGTACCGTCAGCGCCATGTTGTAATCTCGTGACGGCCGGTATATGACGCCGTACTTTCCTCATTGCTCTTGAATCAGGGGAATATGCTTGGTGTTGCAGTAGTTGATATCGTACTTGGCAACCGGATCATCGGGGCAAACGACAGTGATGGTGACATTTATGATGGCCGATGTTTAAATCGATACTTTGGACAAAACCCGCCCGCATCATGGAAACCAGTAACCATGGAAGTCACTGCAGACAAGCGGATTCTGGGATGTTTCTACGATATCTACCCGGACCACGACATCACTCAAGTCTCTAATGCAATCTGCGCAATCCGTCTCATTCTTTACCACCTTCTCAAAACTTATTTTCCAAAGAAGAGTCGACCAAAGGAGAACACCTTTAGTGGAACAGGGCGCGATTCGGTCAATCAGGTGTGCGCCTCAGTTTATCTTACAAGGAGTATACAAAACAAATACGTTGCCTTTCTCGCCTGTGCAACAGCTTCACTGCAAGACCTTTCTGGCGCCACTTTGTCTAATCAATCAGGCATCAGAAGATAAGAAAGCAAAGGTATGGGTGCAAGAATGTCTGAAGTTTATGTGAGAATCTGGAGGCCTCACAGCAGCTAAAGAGATACTCCATGTCACACAAACAGCACCGGACCTAGACTACTGGACCGTGTTTGCTATGACCGGCAGCTACGCTCTCGGAGCCTAAAACAATGTGGCTAATTCTGTGATACATTTTCAGTTACTCACATCATGTAATATGAACAAAATTGGGTTTATGTTCATCTAATTGGACATTACATGTGATGAGGAAGGAATACAAGCACCCGCACTAACTCTAAGTGCAAGCACGCTAGCGTCATTCGCAACAGCCCGATGGAAGCCTCGGCCAAGCCAGCCATTATACATCGAGGGCTGCAAAAATGAGCCTCTCTCTACTCCTTCAATCCATCCAAACGTATAGCTGAATCAACAACAGTCCCTTCATATGGGGTCCATTGGAAGCCCAAAATTTCCCTCGCCCGGAACGTGTTGTATCCAAAAGACTTCAAAGCCGGACTGGGCGCTCCTCCGAAGTTACCAGGTTCTGGCAGCTTTTCCCTCATTGAAGGGAAGCTATTCCAAAGTACATTGGCCATCTCTTCATTGCTGTAGAGTCTGGCTACAGTAAGGAGACGCTTTCCCCCGGCGTTCTGGACCTCCATGGCTTTTACGTGTGCCAGGGCGATGTCACGGACGTCAGCCCCGAGGGGCAATGCTGTGGGCGGCAGACCTGCCTTGTGCTTTCCGAGAATGAATTCTAGCAGAAGCTGGTTTAAGGTGTTATTCCGGAGAGTGACTTGACCGGCACTCTGATGGGGCCATAGATCATGGACGGGCAGATGGTGGACAAGGTAAAGTTTGGCTTCTCGGTCTTGACAAAGTTCCAGGTCGCCCTTTCGGCAAATACTTTTGAAGCAACATATGCCATCATGCCATTCGAGGAGGCATCCTCTCGAGTCACTGGGCTCCAGTCTTCCTCTGCGTACGTCTTTTCTGTGCCCATGGATGCAAGTCCAGGGTTCAATATAGCTGCGAAGGAAGAGGTCGCGACGACGCGCTTGACACCGGGGCAGGAATCTTTGATCGCCTTGAGAACGCCCGTGGTACCGAGGACAGCAGGATCAATGAGATCTCTCTTAGGGTCTGTGACATTGTAATGAAACTGTGCAACGTTGAGTAGGAGGTTCAAGTGACGGTAGCAGTCAATTTTTCCTAAGACTTACTGGGCTTCCCACGTGTATCACAGCTTCAAGTCCAAGAGAGCCCAGCCCTTCGAAGGCGCCATTTACTGCAATATCTGGGACAAGCACATCAAGATTGCCATGAGAAACGTCTTTGTAGGCGTTCGGTACCGCTTTAGACTTCTCCTGAGATCGGACAGTGGTGATAACGGAGTGTCCACGCCCCAACAGAGTGTCAATTACATGACCGGCCACGAAGCCAGTGCCTTCTATGTTCCAGGAAGCTTTTGCATGAGCCTTACTCCAATTTTCATAATACACTCAGTCATACCGGTGACAATATCTTTGGTCATTATTGTGCGTGATAATGATGTAAAATACTTTATGGAGTGATCGCTTGCGCTGCGTTTGTGGATGGCTTTATTGATAAGGCGATTCGAGTGACGAAACTTGAGAAGCAATTGTGAGCTTTTTCAGTGGCTTTTCAAGTCAACTGCTGCATAACTCGCTACTGTAAGTAAGTGACGCGTGATTGCCGATAGAAATCAAGTGAATGGTCGGCGCCAGGTCTGGATGAAGAAGCAACGTGAGCCTGGCGAGTAATGAAACTTTTTCAATGGCTCGATCTTGGCTTCCACGAGCTTTCAAGCCATGTCATTAACGTTGAAACTATGGCGACACTGGCCTTGGAATACCCCTAGCATCAAGATAAGGTTCGAAATGGCTTACAGGGCGAGTTGATGCAAGCCGTAACGCCAGCCATTTCTGGACACAAACATCAACATTTAGACCAAGTTGGGACTTCGCAAGTGGAAATGACAGCTCGGTGCCTCGGATCCATGTCGGTATTACCAAGACATTACTCAGACAGCGCTGACATTTAATTGCATTCACTCCGATGTCTGACCCATCAAGAACAAGTCACCCTGGGCATATCTCAAGATCGCGTCTGATTTCAAAGCAATTGGACATATTTATCAGAACTATTGCGGGTACCGGCAAGCCAGTTTTCAATCGTTCAAATTACCAGTTGAAAGAATAGTTTGATTGTCATTCCGATGACTTTTGTTTGATTCTATTCGCTTGTGAGTCGTTCCATGATCTGCACATTAAGAACCACCCCGATGAGAGACAAAATGGTCGAAGACTTTGCACGAGATGATCCGGAGGGGTTCCAAAACTTCATCGAAAATGTAGCCATTGTAGGAGTGAGTTACTCCGGATAATGTCTACATGTGGAGATAGGTTATAGTTGACGAAATAACTTCTAGGCTGGCGAGAACATTAGAAAAGCCATCGCAGAGGAACTCCTAAAGACTGGGAAACATACCGTGACAGCTATCACGCGTAATGAAAACACTGGCTCCCTACTGAATGGTTTCAAGAAAGCCTCTGTCAGTTACGAGGACAGGAAGTCGGTGGTGGCAGCTTTGAAGGGTCAAGACTTCCTCATTATCACGCTCTCACTGAGCGCCCCTCCGGGTACTTATACATATTTGATTCAAGCTGCTACCGAAGCAGGCGTTTCATACGTCATGCCAAACGCGTAAAGTACCAACGCACACAGCAAAGCCATAGGAGAGACATTCCTATCACAAACGCCGTCATGGAGAATATCGCAGAGGTTCAGAAAGCGGGCTTGACTTCGATTACGCTGATGAACGGGTTGTGGTACAAGTAAAGTCTCGTCGCAGGTCCCGCCACCTTTGGCTTCGACTTGAAGAATTGCGCGATTACTTTGTACAACGACGGCGAACAAGCTATCAAGGTCTCTGCATGGGTACAATGTGGTCGCGCCGTTGTGTTTGTGTTGAGCCATGAGATCCTCCCCGAGAACGCCGACGATCAGTTGACAACCATCTCCCAATTTCATAACAAGACTGTCTTTGCCTCAAGCTTCAAGATTATCCAGCGCAACATGCTGGAGAGTGTCAAACGAGTGACGGGGACAGCCAATTCTGATTGGAACATTGATCATGATACCACTAAAAAGAGATACAGCGACGGTCTTGAAGAGCTTAAGCAAGGCAAGGGGGACGGCATTTATAAGCTGATGTACGCTGGTGTCTTCCAACCGACCGATGATGCAGACTTCGCGTCTGACAACAATCTCCTGGGACTGCCAATCGAAGATATGGATGAAGCTACTCGCACTACCATATCAATGTATACAGAATATCCAATCGATAGATGAGCCACTTGGCACTATCTACAGAAGTATGCGGTATTAATACCGGCATTCTGTTTCTATTTGTAAAGAGCGTCCACTCGAGATCTCCATCTTGTCCTCAGCAAGGCTATGTGGGGTTCGCCATACAACGAGGTTTGTCAACCAATCTCTTAGCTCAGAGACTACATCATTTGACAAGATCAGCTTGCTTCTCTTTGGCTGCCTTCTTAACCTCAAGAGTCTCTGCCCATGTCATCTTGGATATGCGTGGAGGGGGGTCCCGTTGTCCCTTGGAATCTCGAGGGACACTTTCTGCTGCGACACAATCGGGGCCACCGGAATAGAAAGAGCGGCTATCAGCTTGATGATATTAGTAGCTGAGCATATCAAAAGAGATTCAATGTCTACAGACCCATTGTGTTTGTGACAGACAACGCCACTTTGTCGGCCTTGTCTCCCAAGGTCTTCAACTAGATAACGTCAGTACATGAGAGGTACAAAATTACAACTTGTACAAGAGCGTATATCGCTTACGAATCCCATAATGAGTATAAGACAGAATGGTTCTCGGAAATCAACAAATCTGATGAAGTGGTACTTGATCTTACAATACGTTGAGAAAATGGTGGCCCTTTGGGTAAGGTCGTCTCTTATTTATCCAACTTTTGTCTCATTGTTCCTAGTTTTGACGGCTATCTTAACAATTCAGCATGTCGCACAGCCGGCATTCTTCGCCCAGCGGCTAGGAATTGATCAATACGTCTTAAGTAACAAGTTACGTCATTTTGCGGCGCATCTGTCCACCTGAGTAATTCAGCATCTATAGGTTGGCAAGGGAAATTTCCCGCCAATCCAAGTTGGGAGGCGCTGTGCCGCTAGCAGCTGGCAAAATTGCAACGTGAATGGCCAGGACAGAAGTGAACGGTGGAATTGATGTTCGGACTCTGTTCAATGACTGCGAGCCAAGGCTAGCCGATATGCCCGAGTTATATGGCTTATTTTCCTCTCCGCCCCCACCTCCGGTGACAACGAAACCATTGATGACGTATGGCGTTTTCCATTCTTACATCCATGAGGGAAATAGTACAATTTCCCTTTGTCCGACCAAGTTCCTCCTACAACAGTACAATGCCCCTTAGTCTGATCAGCCTACAGTTCTTGGATATTGAGTTCGCGATGTTTGTGCTAGTCAATATCGTCAGCAATTCTTTGGTCTTAACAGATTGATTCGTAGTGACGACAGGGGCGATACCACTTGCACCTGGTTTTGGTTGGTTTCTGCACCATCTCTTTTGAGTAAAGTAAGCCAACTTGTTTTGTGCGGAATACTGACGAGCGGGTTGATTTCTTTGGGACAGGTAACGCGACTGCCAGGGACAAACCAACAGGAATCAGGAAGACCCGGATATGGGTGACAGCAACAGTCGCTTCAACAATGCTGTTCGCAGCTAGAAATGTAGGAAGAGATAGTGTTGGCTGAACCTGACATTGTATCAAATTAGTCACTCACTACGAAAGTTTGGACTTTAATGTATGGGTGGCCAGTGGACGAAAATGACAACATCGAAGGGCCTGGATACTGGAAGGTCGACTCGTAGCTGAATTTTGTTTCCTTCATACAACATGATCTGAAGTACTTTACCATTGCACTCCAATCGAGGAGACAAATTCGAGTTTGTGGAGGGAAGGTATTTGCTGGTAGAACTCGAGACTCTGAACAGTTCTTGAGGAGAGGCCAACAGCCAGAATTCGAAATGGCCACACCGCCGTGTTCCAAACTATCACCACACTGCAGGGCATATCGAGAGCGTGATTTTCCGATCCGTTTTCGTGGCAGTGGTGTTCTTCATGGAATAATCATCTGTACTTGCCTGCCAAAAAAACGGCACAAATGAAATCACGGGCAGCACTATCACGAAGCTTCCTTTCTATTAAAATTCCAACTGTGTCAGTTTTCAGTACACGCTTTGATTGCTGCGTAAGAAGTGACCGGTGTACTTGCCCACGTGCTGCTGACATCTCCAGGCCTCCTGGCTGGGTGATCAGTGGTAGGTCACCGCCACACCTTTATTGATTACGAGGTTACCTGTCATATTTCCTATCTATCAGTACTTCCGTAGCGACTTCTTGAGGCTTTTACTGAAACAGGATGATACAGGGGTGAGTCACTGCAGCCTGCAGGCGGCAACCCTGGTTTCGGTGTATGCTGAATCACTGCGAGATACATCAAGGTGTCTAAAGTACGTGTTCAACCAGATGCATTGTTTTCATTCCAAAATTTGACGCTGCACTGATTTTCCACCGCTCTATGGTATACGTAAAGTCTTCTGGGGGCATCAGTCGCTGGGAATGTAATTGACTCTAATTCCTGTCCGCGGCCAGCATATGGATATGGACTTAATACCGCCTCTTGCATATCGAGAGTGCATACCTGCGTTGAAAAACCATGTCACAAATTCTTAAAAATCACGCAGAAAACTTTCCAACTAGTACCAATTTGTCGACCTATCTTATTGACGCCCGCTGGCAATCAACTTGTACATCTCGGCGATGCCAGGTCGCGTCCTCATGCCGAACAATTGAGCGAATGTGCGAACAGCGTCGATTGAAGCCGACTCTTTCCCCTTAGATGAAACTGCATGTTAAGCTTTTGATCCGCATCTGAGGTTTTCAGTGACGGCGTTTTCGGGAACGGAACATCGTTGGCAAATGTTGTCAGGAGAAGCAATGGAATGTATCTTATCCGGGCTTTGGGCAGCGCTGGGTACGTACATGTAGGTAGCTCAGAATAAATGCGTGCATTTGTCTTCAGAATCTTAGCGACCGAGTTGTGTGTAATACTTTATTAGCCTAGGTTGCTCCTGTCGTATCAAGCGTTAACTCCGTAAGTAACGAATTCGCAAAGGCTGCAGTTCACTAAGTACCTTATACTAATGCAGAGAGTTCCAAGTTTTCATAATAGATACACTGCCCGTATCTTGAGAAGCCCTATTATCTTCACTCTCTCATATGAAGGATCATACACAACTACACAATGTTTGTCTTCAATTCCTGACCCGTGAAATGTTTGAATCGTTCCAAAGTCAATAGGGCCTACTAGGATAGATTTGTCGTCAAGGATTTTATTCCCGTAGTTGGGCATCGACTCTCTATCTTCCCTTCTAGAACAAATCTTCGTCTTTGATTTTCTTTACTGGCATACCGAGAGTTGAGCTTGTTGAACGGAACAATCCGCCTGCACCACTTAAGGTATTTTATTCCCTCAAGTAGCTGTCTCAAACGGACATTCATTCGTGCTTCTTCGACTTCCGGCGCAATAAAACTTCCCAAGTCGCAGGGTAAACGGATACTCTGTCGCTATGCCAGTAATATATCCTAAGTATTGGCGAGCATTTACCACGAACGCCTTAGTTGAGCTCTATCGTAATGGCTCACCGCCCACCTTGATGGCCCCCTCTGCCGTGAAGCCGAGAAAAATAGAGTGGCGACGTGTTTTACCCAACCAACCATCAAACTACACCAATCCAGCAACACCGCCTACCACCCGACGAAATCACGGCTGGTTGAATATGACCAGAGGGCCTTGAATTAACAGAGTTGCTCCGCTTTAGTTGACTTCGCTGCATGGGCAGCCGTATCACATACGGCATTACCGGCATTGGTGAGAAAGAAGACAAAGCTCCATGGCGGCCCCGGACCCAACCTCCAAAGACGCAATCGAGAACAAGAAACTCTCAACTCAATCACGGAAGCGATATCGGGCTCGGGTGCGCTGGTAAATCTGAGAGAAGGGAATTTGAGCGAAATTGGCGCTCAAGATCGGAGGGGGTTGGAAGGTTTGAGGCCGGTGGAGACATTGGTAGAAATTCTATCCCGAGTCGATATGTGATAGGCCTTAGCACACGAACAACACCCTTGAGGCTTGCCCGCCCATTGAGCATGTCCAACCTGCTCCGAGGTCCAGCTATCGCAGGGATTTTCAGGGTCTCTTGTCGACTCATTACACTTTTCCATACGGATACAGGTCCCCTGACAGCCACGTCAGCCTTGTGGCAAATCGAATGCTGAATACGAATGTAAGCTCAAGCGCAAGTTACGGCATGTTCCATGGTATACAGTCGCGACTACCTTAACAACCCAATTTGTGACAATTAGATACTGGCCAGTGTGTAAGAGATCGACCACTTCATCACGTGATTAAGCCCAAGTGCGAAAAGGTTGACAACATACCCGCCATCCCCATCCCCGTATCTTACAATGTCACAAATGACATTTGCCTAGCGAACAACAAACAATCCGCGCCAAGCTTTCCCTCCGCTGTGCCAAGATAGACGATAATCCAATTCAATGACTTCCTCCGCGTTTTCAATAACACTTGTAGCTCATTTTGGGTTATGCCAACTCGGTTGCGCCCCTCAGCTTCGTATAGAATCTTGTGACTTGTGATGAAATGGATATCCACCGGGTGACTGGCAGCGCGTGAACTGTTGAAACTCAAATTAGAGTGGCCTATGGCATAAACTAACTTGTGCTTCTCAACGGCGGTGAGTAACCGGGCCCGTGCTCTTCCATCTTGCCAGCCACGGTCGAACATGGAATGTGGGCGGGATGATCCTTTGTCGTTATCAGAGCCCTTGAGCACGTTTCTCATTTGGCAAATTCCCTCCATCCTTAGTCGGACATCATGTGCAGGAGATATCTGGACGTTTGGGCGGGACGAGGTCCTTGCTATTCCGCCTCCACTTACAATCGGTAGACAAAGAAGAGCACCGTAATTAAGGGCATCTTGCACCTAATCTGAAGAGTTTAGGTAACTGTTTCCATGAGCGGCTCTGAACGCCCGTATGTTAGTATATCAGATATGACTGCTTGAGATCAAATGCTCCATCTCTCGAGTCATATGGGTTACGACCACATCGATTTGATGGGGAGGACGACTGAACTAGCCTTGGGGTGCCGCGTGTTGTTTCTGCGAATAGTGTTTTCACGTACGTTATGTTTACGTACAGAAAAGGGAGCAAAAGCCAAACTTGCGAAGCTTAGCATTGAAGTCGCTGCCCAGTTCGCCATAGCACGTGTAGATTCCACCACGATGGAGACGCACTTGAGTTATCTGATCCTTTCTAGCTTGATCGAAGGCCAAAGCGCGGATTGACAAGATCATACAATGGATTCCGGCAGAAACATTCCAATGGCGGGGAAAAGGCAAAAATGCCGCCAGCTAGCTCCTATTGATGGCCCGTGATGTGGATCTTTTGCGAGTCTAGAACCTCCTTCGAGATCCGTCCGAAATTCGGACATGAGGTCGGGAATTCACCGACTCGAACACTCCATGACTCTTCTGAGTGTCCTCGTTGCCAGAGAGCTTCTTTCCTTGTCGATTGATAAGACATGGAGCGCTATGAGCACGTAGACAATGCTCTCTTGGTCGAATGTGATGAGAGGTCATTCCCTGGACAAAGAAAAGCATCTGCGTAAAACTGAGCCAATGACCTCGAAGACGTCCAACGCGATGCGTTGCTGATTTAGACCGAAAGAGTCGAAGAGTATCCGTACGTAGTAGGCCAATGACAGGGAAACTGACTCAGAAGAGCCCCGTCCACTTCTAAGCTTCTTCGTGGAGGCGGCGCTCTATGGCTCGAGAGCTAGGCGGTCCACAAGGATCATCCGGATTGTTCGCACTAATACATGGCTTATTAGTATGCATGGGGGGTTCCAGTTGTGCCGCAGCCTCCTAACCTTTCAAGCGTAAGCTGGTCGGCCGAGGGAATTGTAGTGTGACATGAGTTGAGCTGGCGCATAGAGTAGCAGAGACGTGACGGATCACCCCCATTTTGAAACAATCTTATCGCTCTCGCTTTATTCTTCAACTTGAAACAGCGACTAAAGAAGGACCTGGAAACAATCTTAAGTTGGTCAGTATGCTGAGTATGATGTGATTTCGGCGTCTCCGATCACATCGCAATCCTTTTTCTGGCGATTTTGTCCCGTAAATGCAATAATTACAACTTCGGTGTGGGCTTGGCACCTTAAGCTTATCTATATGCCATAGAAGCTCATCGTGGCATCATTCCCAATATCAATCCATAACCTCCAAGAAACCTTTGCTATCCGTACTTCGTACTCGCACAACCGCAGATCTGTACGTAGGCTGACTCATGCGACGACGAAAACCACAGCAAAGAGCGGGCAACGGGCCTCTGCAACCCATTTTGCGTATATTGCCCTGCCGTCGATCGGTCCCTCTTCCGCAACGTCCTACCGTAGCAACACGCCAGGTACCCGCCGTTACAACGGTCAGCCTGGGCCAGCTAGGTCAGCCCTGGCGAACCTCATCGGGCTGAAATGGCGAGCTGCACCCCGAGGAGCTAATTACTTGAGACGATCCATAGATTCCATCTGTACAAAAGTCTAAACGCCGGACGCTGGGGTGAGCCAGCTGGACGGTAAACACAATTCCCCACAAGGGGCCCCTGGTTAGCGCAAACTATGCGGCGATTACATCGCTAAAACAACGCACCAAACGAGTCACGGACTCACGATTGGCTTTTCTTCTTGACGCAGTGTTGAACCGAAGTCCAAAGTCACTTCTATTCCAGCGGCGAGAAGCCCGCGACGATTAGAGTCGCTTCTGCATCGGAATCGAACTGAACGACACGCAGATACGCCGAACCAACCCACAGAGTCCCCAAGATGGGGGGCTGGCGATAGCCTCTTGGCACGACAAGCGCCAACCAACCACAACGCACTTACCCCATTGCATTGCGACGTCGTATTACTGCACAAGAGAGGAGATTGCGGAGGGCCCTGGCGACGGGTCCCATTCTAGAACCAAGACGTAGCATCCATTCAAGGCGGCTCAGGCAGCTGAGAACTCGAAAAGTCAACGGCAGCCGCGTGAGCGTGATGCTTTCAAAATCGAACATTGAGGCGACGAGCTTTGAACACAGGGCTCTTTCGGGGTTAAAATAAGATTGATGAAAAGAGGCGGCCGTAAGTCAGAAGAAGTTAGTGAGGTCCCCCCCGACGTCATTTTGCCTTTCCACTTCCCGTGGCTGGTCAAAGTGTAATGGACGAGTCGAACGAGTCAAACAACGTTGAGGCCTGTGCGGGCAAACGTCTTGGTCCCACTCTACAAACACCGCGCGGGCTGAACCCTCTGCGGCCCGGTCAAGAAACAAACGGAGACACTGGATCAGAAAGATTGAAGTCAAGAAAGTGTGAATTATGGTTATCGGAATATGTACTAATGTCGATAGGTATCTACTTTCGAAGCGAGTCCCAGCCCAACCTCATGGTAATCAAGTATGTGCAGCCATGAATAAAAACGTGGTATCTCAATGTTCGTCCGTCGTCGTCCGAGCGAAAAACTCGAAAACATTAATGGCAAGATCTTAGTTGGCTTCGGAGCCCTGGGCGCCGCACTTTTTGCTGCAGTAGTAGTTCAGCTCATCGCCTCCAATGTGCCAGCCAGCAGAGTTGCACTGGAAGCCGTCCTAGAATCACGATATTAGACTACGATCGGCTGGATGCGACAGAAGAATACTTACAAAGGTGCAGTCGGGGCACTTATCCCATTGCTTGTTTCCGGTATTGCGGTTCTTGTAGTAGTTGCAGGCACACTTGGTCGCATCGGGCAAGATCTCGTACTTCTTGCTCCAGGTGTAGCTCACACTCCAGCCAGTGCCGCCGACGGGCATCTCTTGTCTGTTTGTCACGCAGACACCGGCGTTGTGGAGCTTTGCGTTGGCACTAGGAAAGAATCATTAGGATCTATGTAGATTCGGGACTGGTCTAGGACAAGGCTTACCCGGCGGCCATGAGGCCAACGGAGAGGAGGACAGAAGAGAGCTGCATCTTAAACGAGTAAAGTGCTTTGGAACGTGCTTCTAGGAGCTTTGGCGATGATGAGGCGGGGATAGATATTGTAAGAACGTAGTAGAGATGAGATGTAGAAGGTTGATTTGTGGGTAGACGGAGACGAGGTGACGGGAAGTTGAAATACTTGTACGGTGGCCGGCTCGAGGAAGAAGCTCATTATCTTCGCATCTTGCCTCATCCGAGAGACTCCAATCTATTGGATACTGCACTATCGAATGTGCATTACTCGACGAGAGATGAGCTGGGCGGCCGAGGACGCCGCGGATGGCCACTCTCTCTCGCGTGTGACGTTCATTGTGAATTTCAGCGGGAACTAGATATTCAACTTTACCCGCAAAAGAGATTGATAACATGACCAGGCCATCAAGCTCTCTCACCCGTGATGAGGCTCTGAATCGTGCAAATATGGAACTTGCTATGCTTGATAAGGCAAGTAGCCACGGTGACGATGGGGCTTTATTTGGGGCGACGCCCATCTGTCGGTGTCTGGTTCCGACGAAACGGGGCCGATCTTTACCCAGTCAGACGGTGAAACGAGAGCACATGAGCATACCCATGAATGAGGGTCTGCCACCATGACTCGCAAGGTAAACGCTGCCGTCCGAAAGAAGGCAGATGCATGGAGGAAAACCCCAACTTTCGGATGAACGCTCGCAGCGCGGTGTATTTCTAACGACAAAATGTAGATCACGACTCGAGATGATTGTTATCAGCTCTTGAGATACCGCGATGGTCACGAAGACCAGTGTATAAAGTCGTGTGAATCTCCCGGGTCCTCTTGACAATTTTAAGCCATTCGTCCTCATCAACTTCCTCTTCTCTTCTCTCACCTCAACATCTCAAACATCATCACCCGTCCAAAATGGTTTCCTCCAGCCTCATCACTCTACTGATGGCCTCAGCCGTCAGCGCCGCTCCCTTCTTTTCGGTCCCGCTCCACGAGCGTGGCATCAATCTCACCAAGTGGACTCCCGACCACAGAGTGACCGACAGCGAGATTGTCCTCCTGACGAACGGCGAGGGTGAGCCTTCCTCAACTTACGACCACTCCTAAACTCCGTACCACGTGCTGATCTTGATCTTGCAGAAAAGATTATTAAGATTGAGGACTGGTACAAGCTCCTCGATGATGAAGGCATCCTCAGCGAGGCCCCGGAGATCGACCATGACTGGATCGAGTCCGCCGCCAACATGTCTGCGCTCGAGTACGACCCCTCCGTCCACGAGAAGCGCGACTGCGCCTACACCACCTCCACCATCATCGACAAGACCGAGCGCTTCGTCGACTGGGACGTGCAGATGTCACCCGTTGTTATCGGGCCCCGCGGCGGCATGGACCTTACGGTTTCCAAGTCCTACTCAGTCGCCAACTCGGTCTCGCTCTCGGCCGGCCTCAGCCTCACCGGCACCAAGAACATGATCGTCGAAGCCATCAGCCGCGGCAGCGGTGCCGCCGCCCCCAACATCGGCATCAGCCTCACACGCACCTGGACCACCCTATCCGGCAACCTCATCCGCGGCAACGTCGGCGAGGGCTACACCGGCGTCGTCATCACCACTCCCTGGACCACTCGCCGCTACGGCCGCTTCTTCCAGGGCTGCATTGGCTCCCTGCGCCAGACCGGTACCTGGATGGCTGACACCCACGACGAGGGCTCCTACGAGGGCGTCAGCTGGGTCTCCGGCGCCATCACCGTCTGCAGCAAGAAGCAGAGCTGGATCCCCCTCACTCGCTGCCACGGCAAGGGCGAGTTCCGCTAAATTGCTTGCATCCCACGGCGAAGGCGGACCGGCGAACTATCATCACCTGCGGTGCTGCACAACAACAACTACTACTACTGAATGACCGGGTTCGAAGCGGGGCTTCTTCGACATCCCCGTCTGGCGTGTCGAGACGCGAGTTCGATAATGAGGGATGAGAGGAATGTGGATACCCATTGACATTTTCTTCTTCACACACACACATATTCTTGACTGTACATAGCTTTTCCAGAGACGGATAAATTACGAAACTCGCCGTGCAACGGGCATTAATAAATTGACGTACTACAATGACTTGAATTCTCGTTTGAACTTGGTAAGTCCTTAGTTCTACATGCTTCATTGAAAGTGGGCCTTTCGATAGCGATGGCACGATTGGTGGCGCGGTCCCTAATAGGATGCTACGGACGAACCGGGGTGGCGCCGGGAAACTGCCGGAAATAGAGTGGGTACCGGCGCCGGCGGTACATCCGGAACTCGGAGACTGGATGATAGGCACGAATGCGGAAGCCGAGGGTTCAAGGGGGCCGTCACCTGGCCTTTTGGCAATTACCATCTCCTATTGAGACTGCCATCTCAGAAGCGAATGCGCGGAGCATCCTCCCCGGATCCGAGTCATGACGTCAGCGCTCATCATCATCCCTTCGCTACGTCAGCCCAGTGACGCGACGAATATGCGCAGGACTGTCTTTGACGACCAACAGCTTCAAACCAGAGTTAATGAAACCTCACAAAACCTCAAAAAACCTCAGAAGTCCTCTTACCAATCTCATATTCTTTCATCTAGACCAAACCTTCTCTTACTATCCCCATGCACTCAACAGCCCGTCACATCGCAAAGAAGATTGCAACCCACCCCGAGACCAAGTCCTTTGTAACGTCTATCCAGAGAAACATGGCGTCCGGCACTCCGTCCGAAACCGCAAAGGCCCAGGCCAACGTTGAGGCCAGCACGCCCACCTTTGAGTCCGTCGGCATCAAGAACAGCCATGTTGTCGAAAAGTCCGGGGTATCACTGTCCCAGCAGCAGAGACTCCTGGTCGGCAGCGTGCTAGATGTATGTATCACCCTTTCCCTACGCGAGTAATTCCCTAATTATCGGCTAATTACCCCCGAAAGCTCTTTGAGGGCAACCCTACCCTGAAACACCTGTCTTTGTGGTCCAAAACGGCTACGTTCCAGGATGTCGGATTGGAAGTCCAATTCGACCTCGAGGCAAGGGGCCCGCGCAGGGGCCACTTACAGACCATACTTACGAGATCTACGGTCTACCCAACCTCCGGTTAGAACCTCCTTTTTACACCTTACGCAGAAGTTAAATATATATAGATTTTGACCTCTTCGTCACCCACGGTTCGAACCATCCCTGTGATAGGAATACCAACACTGATCAGTGGTTAAATCCCACTATCGCAGATCAGCAAGGCATCTCGCAAGCAGAAGAGACGACCTCCTCGAACGGAACGCGACAGGAGAATCGTGCTACCTACCCGACGGAAAGCAGGCGACAAGACGCGAATCTCTACGACGGAACGAAGTAGAGGAATCGCAGCCCTTGACTGCCCACGAAAGGTCGACGTCCATCACGTCAAAAACAAACCGCAATTGAAGGAATCGCGAGAAGGCGACCAAGCTACCTACGTCGCCCTCACGCGATTTGTCCTACTCAACAATCCACGGGCGGCCCGTACGCCAACAGAGGAAAACAAGCGAAATCACCAGATTCGCCAGATTGGCAAATCCACCGCAGATCTCGACCGTACGACGAAACAGGCCCAATTGGAGGATATAAAAAGGCACCTCAGGACCACAGAAACAAACTTTCAAGGCAATAGGGTGTTCAGGTAGGAACCAGACCCCGCCGGTAGCTCCAGGCGTATTTCTTGGTCGAATCCGAGGAGGCTACCGGGATCGACGGCGATATCGCCATCATCAAGACCGACTTCGAGATTCCAAGGTCAAGCTTCCCCTTCTCACCTACACCCACCACCCCTCGGCTGTTCCGAAGGAATAAGAGCCAGGCGGAGTTGAGACGAGGAAGGAAGGGATTCAGAAGCATCACAACGCTCACCCCGTAAAGGGGTGTGAGGTACCCAATTCTTCAGACTACACATCCTCGCCGAGCTACGAAGGCAAAGAAAGAGCCTGTTGCCCCAGTTGGCACGGGAGAAAGCCAAGAAGACGTCTGAGGAGAGAACACGAAGAGAGGGCCACCGGAAGACCTCTCTTATACGATAGGGTACGCCACAGGAAGAGAAAACCGTCAACAAGAAACATGGCGGCCAATTCAGAAGACCAAGAGCAGATGGTGACGAGGCTCGCCGCAAGGAGGTTGGAGGCCGCGGGAAGCTCCCAGACCCCGACAAACACGGCGAGCGACGACAGTGCGCTGCTACCACGACCAACAAGCGGATCTGACACATCCCCATCAAGATCAAACACGCCGGCCCCTACAAACAGAAGCACAAGCCAAGGGACGACAGGGGGCGAGTCAGCACGCAGAACGCGCGGAAGGACTCCCATCCCAGAAGATTGGGTTGAGATTAATCCGGAGTACTGGGGGAAATGGTCATATCGAGACTCAGACCACCCCAATGGCGAGCAAATTGATGCGGCGTTAGTCTTCATTATGGAGATGTACGCCCGCAAGGGGCTCGAAGGGCAACCCCTGTTCTACAGAGTCGTAGACGACCTAGGCGACTGGAAAGATGAATGGTTCGCCAGCGCTAATCCCGGTGTCGTCAAGGAGGTGAACAGATTCCTCCACTGCCGAGGCGTTCTGCCAGCCCAAGGGGCAAGGCGAAAGGCCCACGAGACACTCGCAGCGACAGTAGCCGCAGAGGACTTCACGCCATGGGACCAGAATCAGATCGACAGAGCAGTGTCAAAGTACGAAGAATTCAGCAGACGAGTGAACCAACCGGACTTTCTGCTGAAGATCACCAACGGTAACATCGCGGCGCCCAATCTAGCGCAGACAAGGGGGATCACACCGGAGGCGCGTCAGACGACGATTCCGCCCATCGCGGTGACGACCCCAACGACAATACCAATCCGAGGATTGATCCCAAGCACCCAACAAAGTACGAGGTCGACAATGCAGACACCACCCAATTACGCTGCCGCACGAGAAGCACGCGAAGAGAACGATCCAGCGGTAGCCAGCACAAGACAGTTCACTGACCTAAAGAAGATCTTTCCAAAAGAGAAATTGTACTCAGGGGGGAGATATGAGGTCCTGCAAGAAACCCTCACGATGTTCTACGACTACTGCGAAAAAGTCGGCATCCGAGAACACCAATATCATTCGGTAGTCAATGTCATACTGACAGGGAAAGCTGCCGAGTACTACTATCAAGCGGTGCGTAATATCGATCGAACCGACTTTCTCAGCATCGTTGACACAATCCGAAGTCGATTCGAGACCCAAGATAGGAGCCTCGAGCTCCTCTCGGAGCTGAGGGCATTGTCATTTAGCTCTGTAGCCAGAACAATGGAAGGAAAGTCGAGAATTGAGATCCTCGAGGAGCTCATCGACAGGATCGACAAACTGGCGAGGACGCAGCCAAATGAGGGGACCAATGAGCGAAAGGTCGGTTATCTATGTACGGCGGTACAGAGGGTACCAGAGGCAAAGATGACTCTACATCAACCGCCTGAGGACTACGAGACGCTGTGCTCGAGGCTGAGGTCCAGCTTCAACATCGAAGCCAGGATGCCAAATCAGACTCACCTCCAATCTCACGAAGGCCCTCACCAACAGCACTGGGTGGACCGCACGTACAATGGCAAAGGAAGAGAGGCAAGGTATGGCAACCGCCAGGGGGGAGGAACAGACTCCTCAGGGGGGCGCTGGTCCAACACCAACCGAGCACCGCGGAAAGGGAAGTGCTTTATATGCAAAAAGGAGGGTTGTTGGTCAAGCAACCACTCTGATGAGGAACGCGCCAAGTCGTACGACCAATACAGAAAGGCAAAGGGCACACAAGGCAAGACGGGCCATGATCGATTCAACCAATTCCTGGTGGTCTACGAGGACCATCCAACGAACGCAATCGAGTCGTCTGAGAGCGAGGAAGATCTTACCCCGTACACTCAAGACCTCGACTTCGACGAAGTTAACGATGTCACCCATTCTTTCTTCGCCCCGTCAACCTCAGGAGGATATACAATGCTGAACGAACAGAGAGCGGTACAAGCCCTAAATGAGCAGGCTTTCCTCCATGGTTGGCAAGGGAAGGTCCCTCAGCCAACGACAACGCTCAGCAGCACGGGGGACACGAATGCTAATACCGCAGCCATGGCTCGCACTAAGGTCAAAGGGCCTGGGGAGGAAAAGAGAACGATGGGCTTACAAGCACGCAATTTATACCCACCAGGAGGGTTCTACGGTAATCCAGTGCAAGCATTCCATGCCAGCGAAAGGTATGGCTCGGAAACCTTCCACGGGATTATTCCAGATACCGGGGCATCACAATGGTCGACGGGGGGCAAGGGACAATTCCACGCACTCCAAAAGATCTCACCAGTGACCCTCAACACTACAAACGCGGGCATTGCGAGGATCAGTTTCGGCCCAGGGGAAGAGATAAGTGCCTTAGGTACTGTGGATGTAAATACACGATTCGGAACGATGATTTTCCACATTCTACCCGTCAATACACCATTCCTCCTATGCCTGAACGACATGGATAAATTGGGCATTGTGTTTGACAACACAAGGAATAGAATGTCCAATGGAAAGCACTCTGAGCTCGTCGATCGACGATGGGGGCACGCGTTTATGAAGCTTGAACCAGACGTCAAGTCCATCAATTACTTGACGGAAAGTGAACTCAAGCGACTACATCGACGATTCGGCCATCCGTCGGCGACGAGACTATACAATCTCCTCAAACATTCAGGGAACGATGTGGAAATAGGGGCTCTAGAGCAATTGACGATGGTGTGCCACCAGTGCCAAATGAACGCCCAGAGCCCGCGCAGATTCAAGTTCAAATTACACGACGACCTCAACTTCAATTGGGAAATCGTCGTTGATATCTTCTATTTGAACAGTCGACCAGTACTCCATATAATCGATGAAGCCACATCATTCCAAGGAGGCCAATTCCTTCGAGATATACAAGCCAAGACCGTGTGGGCAACGCTGAAGCGCTGTTGGATCGATACATACCAAGGTCCACCAGACGGCATCAGAACCGATGCCGGCACCAGCTTCAAGTCGGCGGAATTCAGGGAGAATGCCACTTCATACGGCATCCAACTGAAAGTCGTCCCTGTCGAAGCGCACCACAGTATTGGCAAGGTAGAAAGATCACACCAGCAGTTGAAAAGAGCTTTCAAGATCATCCAGGAAGAGAGCCCTAGTTCAACGGACGAAGAGTGCCTCCAGACGGCACTCAAGTGCTGCAATGATACCATGGGACCCAAGGGGCTCGTTCCGACGCTGCTTGTGTTCGGAGCATACCCACGAACGACGACGGCCTCACCGCCGTCACCAGATGTGACCCAGAGGGCGCGAGCAATCGAGAAAGCAATGAAGACTCTCCGCGAGGCAAATGCTAGAAGGCAAGTCAACGAAGCCATTGCTACGCGCAATGGGCCCGACGTGAGCCTCAACCTCGACATGCCCCTGAATTCGGAGGTACGGGTATGGAGGGAAACCACAAAGCAATGGACAGGCCCATACAAGTTAGTCTCAATTGACGAACGATCTTGTGTCGTCGCGAGAGATCGAGACCAACCACTGGAGGTGTCGATCACTGCGGTACGACCGTACCACGTCGACCCCAGCGGAGTGATTTCCAACCCACAAGAAGAAGAAGAGCCAGGGGAACCACCTCAACAAAGCGATGAGGGACAACCAAGCGATGAGGGGCAGGAAACCATCCTCGACGAGATCATCGTCGCAGCACCCTCAGACGATGAGGCAGAAGAAGAACCAGTACCCCCACCGCAAGCAAGACGCCGAGGAAGACCCCGAAAAGCACCTCAACGGCAATTCATGTCTGACACCAAGGCTACTGCTGTCTTCTACACGGCCAAGGAGAAAGCAGACTTCGCGATGGCGGTCAAGCTAAGGGAACAAGGGATAATCACAACTGCAGGACGACCGTACGAAGGCTCCGACCTCATCGAAGCCGACACACTGCGCGATCGAGGGGTCTACAGATTCATCACCTACGACCCAGAGAAGCACGCGAACCTCCGCATCTTCAAGTCGCGAATGGTCCGCGAGATCAAAGGAAAGGGGACAAATCAGCCGTACGAGAAATCAAGGCATGTGATACAAGGCTACGGCGACGTCGAGAAGGCGGCACTGCTCACGCAGTCGCCGACAGTTCAGCGCTGCAGCCAACGACTAATGATGGCATTGATGGCATCACTACGGCAAAGAGGATACCGGATCTGGAGTCGTGATATCACCCAGGCATACACCCAATCGGCGACAAGGCTCACGAGGAAGATATTGGCTTACCTACCAAGGGAGATGGCAAGCAAATACCCGGACGACACGATTATCGAAGTGCTGAAGCCACTCTACGGCCTCGCAGAGTCAGGCACTCACTGGTGGGCAACATACCACGATTTCCACATCGACAAGCTCTCGATGATTACATCGACGTACGATCCTTGCCTCCTAGTTTCCGCGCATGCAGACGATCCATTTGGAATCGTCGGAATGCAGACCGACGACACATTAGGGCTTTCTGATGCGGCCTTCATGGAGAAGGAGGACAAGGAGCTGGAGAAGGCAAAGTTTACCGCCAAGCCAAAAGAGATCCTCACAGAGGACACACCACTTGCGTTCAACGGCGGGATCCTCACGATCGAGGGCGAGAATGTCGTCTTCCGACAGAAGGGGCAAGGCGAGAAGATCACCCTCATCGACCCAAGGGCAACCGACTGCCAGAAGCGGTACAAAGCAGAGCTCGCACGAGGAGCTTACATCGCAAGCATCTGTCAGCCAGAGGCCACTTTCGACTGCGCGAGGGCAGCGCAGGCCACTTCGCCGACGGAACGCGACTTCGACGCCCTCAACCGACGGCTACAGTGGCAGCAAGTGAACCTCGATAGGGGGCTCGTGTACCAACCCATCGACCTGAGGGAGGCGAAGCTCTACGTGTTCGTCGACGGCTCATTCGCGAATAATGACGACCTCACATCGCAATTGGGATATGTGATAATCCTTGCCAACGAGGCAATGGGAGAGGAGAACTTCACGATCCGCGGTAATGTCATCCACTACTCGTCGACGAAGAGCAAAAGGGTCACACGAAGTGTACTCGCCTCAGAGGTCTACGGCATGGTTAACGGCGTCGACATCGCACACGCGATCTCAACGACGCTGAAGAGGATTACCGATCGACTTGACATCCCCACGATACCGACAATCGTCTGTACCGATTCGTACTCGCTGTATGAGTGCCTCGTCAAACTGGGCACCACGAAGGAGAAGAGGCTGATGATAGACATCATGGCCCTCCGGCAATCGTATGAGCGCCGCGAGATCCTCGAGATCCGTTGGATCAACGGGGACGATAATCTGGCGGATGCTTTCACGAAGGCAACGCCCAACAAGGGGCTCGAGCACTTCGTCGGCGAAGGAAGGGCGACGATACGGATGGAGGGATGGGTAACCCGCAAGGAGCAGAAGAAGGAGGAAAAGGGGGCAGCCTCGGCGAAGGAGCCCGAGATCGAATTACACTTCCAACCGCCGTAGTTGGGCGATGAAAGAGAGAGATAGTCAGTGTCGGATTGGAAGTCCAATTCGACCTCGAGGCAAGGGGCCCGCGCAGGGGCCACTTACAGACCATACTTACGAGATCTACGGTCTACCCAACCTCCGGTTAGAACCTCCTTTTTACACCTTACGCAGAAGTTAAATATATATAGATTTTGACCTCTTCGTCACCCACGGTTCGAACCATCCCTGTGATAGGAATACCAACACAGGACAACATCACCGTCGCAGAGGGTTACGACAAGTTCGCTGCCCAGTGGTACGGTCTTCCGGCGCTGTTCAACCCCATCAGGATCCAGTCACACACCGTCACGTCGGCGGGCAACCCCATCGAGCTGGAGCTGAAGAACAGCTACACGGTCAAGGGCATTAAGACCGAGCAGATAATGGATAGTGTCGTGCAGATTCAGGTCGGCGACGATGGCAAGATCGTCAAGGTCAACGACAAGTGGAACAATGATCTTCCCGAGGGAGCATTCTCCCAGGTACGTAACGCTTTCAATGTCTCTGTTCCCAATGCCGCCAAGATCCTATTGGGGCTACTTAGCCAGGCAAGCTTTGCCATCTTTTGTCGAGTCTCGTTGTGGCGGCCCTTCTTGGTAGGCGGTATCGCACCACGGGGTGACGTTCACTGACTTTGGCAGGCTTTGCGCAAGCTCAACGCTGTGACTGTACCGGCGTTTGTCAAAGTTCCCAAAACCGAGGAAGAGGACCAGAAACTGAAGGCTGAGCGAGAGAAGCAGTGAAACAGTATGTACATATCGGTGGCAAACAAACACGAAAGTACGTGCATGTGCACAAAGTCAATTGGCCTAAATCATCCGATGATTCGTAAAGTACATCTTGATTAATCCATCCAAATGCCTGAACTTGATTTGGTAATCCAGTCGGCCTGTTGTATACAATAGTCACCACCAGTGAACAAGACCTTGATACCTATCTTACCAACGGCCTAGCCGATGGCAGCACATGTGTGCAAGACACTCGTCGCACTGAGAATATGGCTTTGTCGGGAAGAAGGCTAAGTCGCTGTCGCCCATGCATCTGGCACAATGATACATCGTACACAACCGCTGAGTCTAGGTGCTGGACGTCGTACACGCGTACGATGTAAAAGGTCAGCAGCGCCGCAGCTTAAGGCTAGCAACAACTTGATGTTCTACGTTGTGACGAGAAAGGCCCTTTACCTAATTGACTTTACAAGGGGTAAGCGTATGGGGAAGATGACTCCATGACAAGGGGACTCATGGGGCAGTCTGCCATCCCATTCATCCCACGAGTGTTCGAATGGAGACAGCAATGTATCCGTGATAGAAGCCCTCCGTCACAAAAAAGTCCATGGAAGAGTTTACCATACGGTGCACGTGAATGCGGGGCCTCCAAAGGTGGACATGGCCAGACGAGTTGCCATACATCAACGTGAAGACGTCTCTGGCACTATGTTGTTTTAGGTGACGTTTTCGAATAGCATGCGTGCGAAACCATACTAATACCTTTCTCTCCACCATCTAGAATAGGTACTATAGTCTTTCATCATGGGTCAGCAACCTGAAAAAGTAGTGCGCGCCAGAAGCACAACCATACCTCTTTGCGTGCTGATACCGAGCTGCTCAGCGACATTGACATATCCCTCATATGTGATCTTGCCGCCTTTCTTGATGTTCTTGATCATACCATCATCACCCTGCCATATACTACGGCAGTATGGGCAAGTCGCATCGCCTGAGCCAAAGCTGCCGCGACGTTTGGTCGCAGCCCACGTCTCGAAACATTCCTTGTGTATGTTTTGTCCGCAAGCTGCGCGACACCACACAATCGTCTCTTTATTGTCACATTCAAGCTCGCAGAAGCAGACGGGGCAGTCTCCGTCGATGGGCTTGCGATTCTTGTCCTTAAAATTGTCGGCTTGGGTATCGATGGGCGGGGCCTTGTCAAAGATCTCCTTGAGTTCGCTGGGGACCAAGGCCAATTGATATGTGTGTTCGAATTTCGCGCGGAGGACTCGAGACATGACCTAGCTAATGTTAGAAATATCTAGCAGAGATGGAATAAGTCTGAGGAAAAGCCCACATAGAGCCAGTGTTTGCATTGGTTTCCCTTCATGGAGTGCGGGCAACTACACGACGGGGTCTGACCGATCTTGACTCTGTATACATTGCCAGTGGAGCCAGTCAACTCGATTTCCTCCTCCGGGGCATCCGGGGTGCCGCCTCGCCGCCGCCCGAGAACGTAGAAGCGCTGGGTCGTCGCACGGTGGAAAACTTCGTGAAAGCTTTGAGGTGGTCTCGGTCGATATCGGCGCAGTCGTTTCTCGCCGGTATTCGTGCCGGCCGTCTTGGGCTTCTTCGATTGAGTCGGTGAGAGGGATGATAGTGACGCATGGTCAGAGGTATGAGCCTTCCGTTTGCGCGCCGACGAAGGCGTTGCCATTGCCGACTTCGTTATGGCGTCTCCATCATTCTTGGAACAGATCGAAACGGAGCGGGTCGCAGCCATCGATGTGCAGAGTCCTCTCGTTGGGATCGACCGGGGTGGCGAAAGAGTGTAGAAGATGGGCGTTGATGAGGGGCAATTTTTAGTGAACGGGAGAAGAAGGGGAGCTGAATTCTAAAATAACGTAAAGAATTAGGAAGTTTCGTATCACCTTGATTGACAAGAACCTTAGCGAGCGCAGTGGCAAGAGCAGCTTCTAGTTGCCCCTTCCTTACGGTGCTTTGGGTGCTTGGCTTCCGTCCCCAAACGGACCTGGAAGATGGCGGGGGAGGAGCTCAATGACGACAGGCACGGGCCCTGGATGCATCACGCCTGACACGCGAGATCATGTGATTCTTCGCCCCCTCTCCAGGTCAGGTGACTGGAAGCTTCCAGATCTGAAAGGAGCCCATAGTCTCAGTGTCGTGGCACTGCCTGTCAAGTTATCTTCGTTGACGTTTTCTCGACAGGCTTCGACACGCCCTCCTCATTACTGCATCCCTATCTCTTCTCATCAAATAGGACACCAATTTATTTGAGAATATGCCCCTTTCAAATAGACATATTCCCAAATCAGAATGTTCCATGAAGCATTGACGACGCACGTCTTCCGACCAATCCTCTCCAGGAGGGTACGCAAACAAAACACCGCACGACTTAACAAGCTTATCCTGCACCTGAATCTAGTCGGCGCGCATACCAGGTCTTCTGGCGCGTACATTGCACTCAGGGGCGTAAGGCCAAAGGCACATGCCCCGAGGAAGATGAAGATGCAGGTGATTATGCCGTATATGCCAGCCTTCCTATCCAAAATTCCGTACTTTGCGGTCATACCGGCCAGTAGGTAGGAGAAAACGGGACAGGTGTCCAGGCTGCCCAGCGCGAGGATATCAAGGTCAGGCTTTTCGGCAAGAGTTGACACCCGACGATTGCGATAAACAGCTGCCGAGACGACAAAATTGTTGTGATCTGGAACTGCGTTGTTGGTTTGGCGACTTCCGCTTGGCTGTTGTTAAAGTCATACCTGGTGTCATGAGTACGTATAAGTCAGGCTGAGATTGATGGGGCCTCCTGTTGGCGTTACACGACGACGTTGAAACCTGTAAGCATGGCGGACGGCGCAACGAAAAACGCGAATAAAGTTCGTTTTTGGTTCAGTTCGCAGACCAAATCCTCAAGACCGAGGAGCTTGCCAACCCGTCTATCAAATTTCAACGTCACGATGACTTGCCTGGACTGGAGCTGAACGTTTCGTCACTTGTGTTGTCACAGTGACTCTCGCCAGTACATCGAGCGCTTCCTCTCACCGATCTCGAATCTTTGATCAATAAGTCACCTCGGAGATTCAATTACTAGGCAGATGATTGTAAAGACGAAGAGTGGTGGCGCACCTGAGAGGAAGTTTCGGACCCGCTGATTTTGACGGCTCCACAAAAGAACGCTTGGACATGCTGCCGCCCAAGCAGTCGCAAACCCGCCGCAGAAGATACGTATAGGTGTCCGATAACCTTATGTTGCCTACAAAGACTCGAGGGGAAGAACGCAGATATCGTGCGCAACTTATCTTTAAATATCTATCAGTTGTCTAGTATCTAGATTGAACTTGTGTTACCACACAATGCTTTATCGATAGCCTCGAATTCCGAAAGATGCAAGGTGTGGGTGAAGAACTGACACTGAATCTTGCAGAGAAGTCGTTCTCTTTCGATGAGAACCATACTCTATTCAACTACCGTCGAGTGAAATATCTGCTGGAACCAATCATCAAAATCCTCAGAGGGGTTTCCAGACATGGTGTAATGCTCTTCCGGGACATCAAACTGCCCAAGACTAGCCGTGGTGGAATCAAGTATAAACCAATCCGTCTTGAACCTAGCTGCAATCTCTTCAAAATTGATAGCATCAGGCCTAGCAGCAAGCGTCCGATCCGAAAAGGACTCTATGCCTCCTACTTCGGAAAAGATGGCATCAATCAGCACCACGCCGCGGTGCGATAGGATATCGTTCGTCGTCCGGCCCAGGAGGTGCTCTCGTGCGTCACGGATCGCGTCGAGGTAGCCTTCTTGCCGACTGTCTCGTTCTAGGCTCTGATCGCATATAACCTCAAACGATAGGATGATGGCGGCGGTAATGCTGAAGGCGACGTGTGTCCAGAGGGAGACTTCACCTGATTCTACAATGCTTTTGTGCTCGCGTAAGATGGTGACTGCTGCCGCGACGCAGGTACGGCGCGTGTGGGTGTAGGAATCAGATTGGAACGAGAGGAAAAGGAATGGCCGATGAATCATGACAATCTGGCGGGCTTGATTAGCATTGTTGTCATGTGTTCGAGGGCTTGTTAGGATACGGGCCAACCTTTTCAGCGGCGGTGATGGCCAGACTTTGACGCGCGATCCCGAGCCAGGCGCACTGGCTCTCAAGCAGCTCATCTTTCTGCAAAAGAAAACGGGGTATTGATTGCACCTTCTCTCTCATCTTTTGGTCCATCCTGAGCACATGGGCGTACTGCTCTCGTGCTGACTTCTGAGCTCTCAAGGGCCCCATACCATCCGCGAGTTCCGGCATCAGCTGCGCGATGGCACCCAGGACACGAACATACGTGCTTACCGTCAGAACTTCTTCTGGAGCGTCTGTCAAATCTGCATCATTGGCGTTTCTGGGGAATGAAGTAGAGTAATGGGACGGGTTAATGCCGTACGAGTCGGTAAAGGGGATTGCAAAGTGATCTTGAATGACCATCTGGAGCCAAACTCTACGACCGACTTCTCTTTGCAGAGTATCGTCCCATATTTCGTCTACAGCCTGCAAGTCGGGGCTGTCAATTGTGATCTTATGTATTCCTAAGCACTCGGCCATCCGAATCGCGGCGCTGAAAAAAGTAGCATTCAGTTGACTGAGGCCAAGATTGTGAGCTACTTCTGTAGAGATGACGATGGCCTGGATAGAGTAGATTGACACGTTTTGGAGAAAATGAGCCTGGTACAGAGTTTCCACCATGAAGTTGAACAAGTCGTGCGGCGAACATCCTGGTAGGGTGAGCGGATACGCATCGCGATGCTTCCAGCTATTCTGCCAGCTCAGAAGCGACGAGGAGAGCACCGCGCTGTACAGCGCAAGCCACTGTGGCTGATCGTACACGCCGGAATTCCAGAACGTGGTGCACTGCTGCAGAAAGGACGGGCAGTGCAAGGAGTTGTGGTGCCATGCTATGTGCTCTATGTGGAATGAGATGAGTATCTCGGCCGTGCTCCTCTCAGGGAGGAGGGCCAGGGATGGGACAGGGTGGCCGGATAGTCCGAAGGACGGCGACAGACCTGTGGTCGTGGATGTGCCGGTAAAATCTCTTCTTTGATGGCAGTTGCAGCGTAGGTGAGGATAGCAGTTTCCGTAGCTTCTACCCCATGCCATGTGCTCTAACGCCGTCACCGTGAGCGAACTGCGAGCTTGAAAATGCGAAGCTGTGACTTCATCTTGCCCGGGATCATCTTCCTGCCCACTCCCGGACTCAACGGGATATGCTGCCTGGACATTATCGGTGAGTTGCCCCGGACCAGACTGGAGAGCTACCAGTCTTGCTGCCACCAGATTCGCTGCCCTCCTCACCGAAGCAGGGTCGTTGCCCTGTAGCTCAACCCGCAGAGTCTCGAGAAACCCGATCTCAGCACTGTGTCGAACGGCGTTACGCCTTAGATGGACGACTTCGCGGTCGCAATGGAGCCCTAGACGGCTGCATCTCGCGCATGGGATCTCTTTGTTGCACTTTCTCTTCTTCCTAGTACACTCTGTGGGTGGTGGTGGCACTGTGTCAGCTATGCAAGTTTCCTGCGTCTTTCTGACTGGGCCCCTGGGGTTGACAACTTACCGCGACACGCAAGAGATTGGCGCTGCGACAAGCGGGCTGACATGATGTACGTTCCAGATCAGCCGGCCAAATACCAGTAATTGCACATATAGCTTATTCCCTATTGCTGTGTGAATTTATAATTGCATGTGGGTATGACAGAGAAAGTTTAGGCACGCAGGTGTTTGGAGAAATCAAATAGCAGCGACCAAACACGACTTGGTCTATCAAGATTACATAAGCGAATTGGTCTCACCAACACAGTGTGCCCAACTTGTCCTTGTGGCGGAATACCTGAGAGAATCAGTTGAAAGGCTCAAGAGGTGTTCTTTCCATGGCCGCTATCATCAAGATAAAGCGATTATGTGTACATGGACTTTGGTAGACTTGATCTTATTGTGCCTGGCTACTTCGCTTTATGACTAAGGGACATTTATCCATCATCGAGCACGTCATGAAGAGTGTTGTGACGATTGCCATGACTTCGCCACAAGTCGTGTTCTACGCTTCGTCGAGACTTGAAAACGAGACCAGTCAGCATTGACCCTTCAACATGCATCCAAAGCTTCAACTCACATTTCTCTTGCTTTCAAACCGATCGCAGCTCCCTGCTGCGAAGCTGGCTCAATCATGATGTAATCTTTGATGATGCCCGTTCCGTTACGCATCGCATTAACCTGCTCATTGCTGCACGTACTCGGGTCAAGAACATAACAGAAATCCTCGTATTGAGGCGGAATTTTGTTCTTAATACCAAATGTGTCGGCAGGCCCTTCGGTGGCATATGTCAGGTTTGTCGCGGTATCAACGAGGCCTGTTGCGATGTCCTTGTTGAAGAGAGCACGGTTGAAAATTCGATATGCGGATTCCGGCTGGTACGACGGCACTGCGTGTCCAGCCTGGTAGACTCGAATAAATGACAGATTACCATACTGCCGAACCTGACCGCCTTCGTACGTAGAATTGGTCTGTAAAGGCTCGTAGCCCGCCTTGGCAAACTTCTCTTGGTCTGCCCAGGGAATCGCCAGCGCAACTTGTTCTCCGCCGATCCAGTTACACGCAAAGTCGCGGTCGCGAAACATGAGAGAAACCTTGATCCCGCTGTGGAGGAGGTATGCGATGTCTTCGATCCAGCCTGGACGGGGATAGTCTCCGATACTGCGGAAGGCAGAGGACGATGCGCTAGAGCTGCCTGTCCAGTTCAAGGGTACTCCGAGGGCAGATTGAACGTACGGCTGATTGAGATATCCGGCGGTGAAGGGGGGTGGGAACAGCGTTGGGTCAATCTGTGTTACGTCATAGTAATCACGGCCCGAGACATTGAGATAGGGGTCGCGAACATTGACTGTGCAGTATGTTTCTGCGTCTTGACAGACGTTGTTGACGGTCGCGTTGATACCGATGTTATCTGAGTCATAGATTGCAGAGAGTTCACGACAGGCATCAATCCTGTCACGGCAGCCTCCTTCCGCGTAGTAAGCATCGATCATGCCCTGGTACACCGTCTTGTTGACGGTTTCTATGCCATACGTGTTGTTGAACGCCATCTCTGGATATGAGGGCCACTGCACTTGGCGATCAATGCATCCGTTGACGATAAGGAGAGTGTCTAGGTTCAAGATGTATCCCGCGCCTTCGGTACCATTCCAGGTGCCGTTCGCGATCTTTTCGTTCTGCTCTTGAAAGTAGGCGGCAAAGGCGGGTCCATACCGGCCTCCATAGGACTGCGTTGCAATGCTGATGCGGTCGTTATTATTGTTGTTATTGTATTTAACGCCGTGGCGGCCGGGCTAGAGCCCTTACCGTAGACCTCCTAAAGGGTATATAGCGTAGAGGGCTGTGAGCTAAGGCTACCTACTCTATAGTACGTCGTCTTTTTATATCGTCCTCTAAATTATACCTTATAGCTATTACGTATTCTATTTATCCCCGGTTCCCGTTAATACCTTAGTTTTATTCTTTCCCAAATCGTCCTTTAGAATCGGGAAGTTCTTTATAGTCCGTACTTATATTTACGTAAGTATAGATACTATTACTATAGATAGATCTTTTAGAAAAAGTCCGTTACGTAGAAAAAGGCCTTAAAGCTTTGTAGGTTAGTAATTAATTTTTTAAAGTAAGCCTCGAGAGATCCTATAAGGCTTATAGGCTCGGGTATATTATAAAAGTAGAGGGTCGGCTATTATTATCTCTTTGTTAGTATTAATTGATAATAAACTAGGTAGTCTATATTTTTTACCTCTCTATAAGAGTATATTATTAAAACGTCGTTATAGTTAAAATGTCGGTAATATTATTTAAAGTCCCTATAACCCGATCGTACTGCTAGTAGGTAATATAACGTAGCCCGTAGTAAGGCTAGTTTAGGAGGGCTAGATAAAGCTACTTTAAGCCCTAAATCCGTATACTGCGGCCTTTGCTCTTTATATTACTATCTTTTATAGTGGCCTTATAGTTTTTCCTTTATAAGCTGCTTAATACCTATTAATATTATTATTTAACCTATCCGTACCGGTAATATCGTTCTTTTTTTAATTAGTTAGTCCGTAGCCTCGTTTCCTTTAATATCTTAGTATCCTGGAGATTAGTACGTCCGTATATTAAAAATCCTAATTACTTTTTAGATTTTAAAGAACGCCCTTTATAACGAGTCCGGTGCCTTATTGCGGATATTTTATATAATATTAGTATTATTAATATATATATAGATTAAATAATTGCGATTAATAAGTAGAGCCCTTTTAAAGCCGGTCTATACTTTTTTGACCTCGGTATTGAATATTTTTATTAGTCCGAGTCGGCCGTACCCTTATACTATACGTTTAGAATCTTGATAAATAATAAAGCCGTACTTTACGGCTCTATTTATCGCCCTAAAGCCGTCTGAAAAAACGATTATATAACTTTCTAGTATTATTTTTAACTAGCGCTTAAAATCTTTCATAGCCTCTTTTTTATATTAAACTACTATCTAATTCTATAAGCTTAGTAGGTATTATAATTAAAGGAATGCTAATCTTCCGTATCTTAATAAAAGTTTAGCCGTCCGTTATAATTTTGTTTATTACTATCCCTATTAAGAAAGCCGCGTAATTAGCGGGTATCGGTAATCGATCTTTTATAATCGGATTACGGCCCGTAAGTAAATGCCTTTTAAAACGATTTTAATTAACGGTAAGCCGGCGTTTTAGAGGAGGTTATTAGTTAGCGTTATCTTTTAGATAGGTAGAACGGCCTTTACCGCTGCTATAATAACGCTATTAATCTTCTATATGAGCCTCTTTTAGCTTATATTAATGGGTCTTTTTTAGAAAGGTAGATTTGTATCTATTTTTATTTAGCGTCTTAAAGCCGGCTTTATAATATCTACGTATTATATTTTGGCGTTAAAGAGTATAATCGGTAAAAGTAGGGACGTTTATTACCTCCTAGCTATTATTAGATCGAATAGCCTTATATAGAATATTTAATATTTTCTAATTAGCTTTTTAGATCTAAGCCCGCTCTTTTTAACCGGAAAAAAAAATAATACTGTTTACGGCTAAAGGTTTTACTAAGTAATCTATATAGTTAATTTAGAAAGGGCCGTAGTAGTTAGTATATTAGGGCCTAGCTATATAGGGTCCTATTTTATATAAATTAGAAGGTCTTTTATAATTATTATAGATTAGTTATCGTCCGTAGAACTAGTTAAAGTAGTAGCCCTAATAGCTAGGGTCGTATCGGATAAGCGTCCTTTGTTTTTTAATGGGCAAAGATTTACTACTTTAATTAAAAAGCCTAAAAGGCGTAACCTCTAATATAAATAATATAAATTAAAATATTTCGTTTGTAATTAAGTTAGGCCTAAGGTAGGATAATCGAGTAAGGATAAGCTTTTATTCTATCTATATAAAGACCTTATCTTTAATAAATATAATTAGGTCTAAGATATCTCTGCTAATACTATATAATTTTATTAAGTATTACGGTATAACGTAAATATATTATTTAATAAGTATTTCGACTTAATAAGCGCCGAGGTATTTTACTAGCTTTACTTTATTTATAAATAGTTTTTCCTATATTTACTTATTTTGCGGCTTTAAAAAGTAACCTATATTAATATAGTAAACGTAAGGAAGGTCTATTAGCCCTAGGCTAACGGCTTTATAAACGATTTATTATATAACGAATAGTACGATCTTTTAAGCGGCTATTAAGTTTTCTTTTAGGACGTAGGTAAAAATATAGAGGTCCTCTTTTAGCTACGCTTATAGTTAATCCTCGGTAGGGAGTATAGCCTTTAGGTAGGTAGAGCTTTAATAGCTCTAGCTACTCCGGGTCGCTATAATAATATTACCCGCTATCGGTATAATAATAGCCGCTTAATTCTAGGCCGCTATTAAGCTTATTTCGTAATTAATTAATCTTTTAAAAGTTTAAATAATATAAATAATAGCTTTTTTTACGATCTATTTTTTAAAACCGTTAAAACTAATAATAACGTTATCGACGGACCGTATAATAGTTAAAAAGACGTCTTTCTATACTTTATACTATTTAGTTTCTTTTATAAGGGCTATTAAGACGGACCCTATAGTAGATCCGCTCGGAGTAGATATAATAGAGGCTATAGGCCCTTCGGCTAAAGTAAGGGCGTCGGTAGTAGTATTAAGCTAGCTTCCCGTTAGGCTAGGCCGGGTCGGCTATACTTCGGCGTTGCGGTATCGTTTAGCTTTTAAGGTAGGGTTTAGCTCCGGAGGTATCCCGGAGCCTAATTTGGGGTCGGCTTGGTCGGCCGATATTAGTCCGGTACCCGACGGCGGCTATAAGGCTATTGCGGATACGGGCTCTGGTAAAGGAAGGTAAAGAGTTTTTAGCTATTAATAATTTGGTAATAGGCTTACTCATTTATTGATAGCAGATGCTAAGAAAAATTAGGCGAGAGGGAAGTTGTGCTGATGCGGTCGTCATTGGGATGATACCCCGGAAACTCCTGGAACCAGACCTGGGAGAAGTGCCATAGGGCAATGGCTGCATTACGGCTGCCGAAGCTCGTCGTATTCTTCCTACCGCTGGCTAGTGTGCCGGTCTGGAAAGTGATATTCTGTGCTGGAATTGACGATGAAGCGTTGAGACTCTGGATACTTCCGAAAAGATCCCTGGTGACATTTCGCAGTGAGTCATATGAGAAGCCGACTTGAACTGGCTGATCGATATACAACATGTTGACTAAGTTCAAATAGTTTCTTTGAGCGATGAATCAATTGAAGGCCTAACTGAAGGGATTTTACCTTTAGTGTTCCAAGACCACTCACTGGGTCTCGTCGAGTTTGAATCTGGGTTGATGTAGCAAGGCCCATTCTCGTTGAAGAGCCCGGGCATCGAAGAACTGCCGGGTCCGCCGTTCATCCATATAGAGAGCGGTGCGTTATCTGGATCCTCCTTGGCCTCGAAGAACCAAAAAAAGGTGTTGATATCATAATCTTGCTCCTGGCCAACCCCCTCCAGGGTCCCCGGCGGAAGCTTGATGTATCCAGCGTAGGATTTCACACCTTCAGCTTCCTCACAAAGACCGGGCTAGATGTTAGGTCAGCTTTCCTTTCCCGTTTATGCAGTCGATTCTTTCTTGCCTTTTTGTAACTAATCTCAATGCCATCGTCGATCTTTGATTTCAAGACAGTAACTCCCTCAGGTGCCGGTGGAAACTGGGCGAGTGAATTCCGAGCGAGCGCCGCCGCAAGGGCAATTGAAAACAGTAGAGTCCTCATTGCGAATATTTGTAAATAGGTTGAATGAAGAACGAAACAGGTCACCAGGGAAGAGGCTCATGTCCTTGAGTACATCGCCCAGCGACCTCCGGCACAGCTTCGATATATATCATTAGATCTTCCCCGCTTGCCATCACCTTCCTACTTGGGTACGCTCTACGCCAGTGAAACATTTTCTTTGATACTTGTGCGAGCCGCACCGCCAAGGCAGTCGTATCAAACCTCTTTGGAAGCCGATTCGGGTGGATTGGAGAGTTGCAGGGGCTGGGATGCGGGGTTGATAGGAACACCGGCGAGGGCCAAGACCCAAATGGAGTACCAGTGCATTCCTAGTTTGCACAGCGCGATGATTTGGCCAATGAAAGCAATAATGCCATGGACTATTCCCGCTTTGAATGCACCGTTGTTGAGGGAAAGTCCCTATCAGTAGTTAAGATTGCATCAGTAACTTGGAGTTCGACCCCCTCGGCAACTAATCATTGTTAAAGTACGGATACATCAAGAAACGTTCCGAAAGTTTACAGTAGTCAGCGTTGGTTGATTATCATGTTTCCGTGACAGAAGCTACTCTACATGGAGCCCAGGCATTCTGTCGCCGAATTGATTCATTTTGCATGTATTGAGAGGTAAATGTATCCCGGAACGTTATTCAAGCGAAGTGGTCTGCTGTTATCTGTTATACTTCACTACCACGGGAGAGCTACCTCAAGTTCCGGAAGGTTCGGAGTGAACGGGGCTAGGCACTACCTGCACCTTACGGCCCAGGTGGGGCCATGTCCGAACTCGCCGGAGTGAACGGCCAACGGCGTAGTGTGCGTTCCCCTAGACTCAAAGAGGAAAAGCCGGGCAGGACATCGGCAGGAAGCAGCAGACACCCAGCGGGTGCTCTATCAGAAAATTGCGGTGCCCGGGCTGTCCTAGGATATGCCATGACACCTTGCTTACTTTTCCGTTTGTTTGCTGTTGTCCGGCAAAGATCCTAACTTCCGATGGTGACATTCCCCTGGAAATGACGCCGTCAAATGTTCCCCGCCTAAGGAAACCGATACGGCATGACGCCTTCTCAGCGCAAGATGGGCAAACAGAATAAAAGACCTGCTAGCCACTGAGATTAGAAGATTGGACCGCTTGCTCAAAGTTTCCGTATAACAAGGAGGGCGTCTTACAAATGCAACACAGGTGCAAGAGCAGCGATTGGTTCTTGTTGCCGTAACAGTATGAGTAGTTCAAAGAGTCCGACTGGACTCGCATGAGACCTCCGCCTAATTTCGTCATCCAACGGTCGCCACAGCAGAATTTTTGAGTCAGGGCGACGTCTGAAGTCCAACTCGAGATTAATGCTGGAAGATATAAACACTTGTGACCCGCCCCTCCTTCTGTCGCTGGACGCGAAAGTGCCAGAGAGGAACAAGTCCAGGTCAAATCCAAGGAATCATTACAATGGCCGCAGCTGCTGTTCAAGCACCATTCCACGCAGGTCCTCCGGGCCAACCAGACATCGGATATGCACCCAATCACGACAGCTTTGCCGCGAGAACGAAACGACGTCAAGAGCTGGAGACGCTAGAAAAGTCTTTACCTGTAGGATTCCCACAGAAACTCGAGTCGAAGCTGGTATGGGATGGGAATACCTTGGCTGAGCACTATGACTGGAACTACGTCTTGACAGACGCTGATAAGAAGGAAATTGACGATGCTCTCGGATACTTCATGTGTACGTGAATGATTTCATCAGCTTGTCATATTAGACCTCGGCGCAACTACTAATCTCAAGAACAGCGTTGCGGCAGCCACCTGGAGATATCAGCCAAGAGACATTTCCCTTACCCCAACTTCACAAGACTCTGCGTGAGATCTCACATGAGATCCACAACGGTCACGGCTTCAAGGTCATCCGTGGCGTCCCAGTAACGAAATATACTCGCGAGGAAAACATCATCATCTACGCCGGGATCTCTTCCCACGTGGCTTCCATCCGCGGTAGACAAGACAACCAATTCCGAGGCGAACCTGCAGATGTCGTTCTTGCACACATCAAAGATCTCACCAAGATCGTGGACCCCCACAAAATTGGAGCACCGGCCTACACAACTGAGAAGCAGGTCTTCCACACCGACTCGGGCGATGTCATTGCCCTTTATGCACTAGGAGAAGCAGCTGAAGGCGGTCAAAGCTATCTCTCGAGCAGCTGGCACGTTTATAACGAGCTGGCTATGACAAGGCCCGACTTGATCCGCACCTTGGCTGAGCCTTGGAATGCCGACGAGTAAGTTCCTTCCTGCCAGGAGAGCTGATTTGATGCTGACTCCTTTGCGAAGGTTCGGAAAGGATGGTAGATCATACAGCACCAGGCCCTTGCTGCATCATCAGCAAGCAGCAGACGATAGCCCAGAGCGCTTGATTATTCAATACGCCAGACGCAGCTTCACCGGCTACTGGGGTTTGCCGCGGTCCTCCGACATACCCCCTATCACCGAAGCACAGGCTGAGGCCCTTGACGCACTACACTTTCTGGCCGAGAAGTATGCCGCTCATTTGGACTTTCATCAAGGTGACATCCAGTATGCCAACAATCTGAGCATCTTCCACGCCCGTGGAGGCTTTGTCGATTCCGAAGAAAAGCAGTAAGTGGTGTACGAGGTCGAAATGGTTGTTCACCAGCTGATGGGACTAGGCGGCATTTGGTCAGACTGTGGCTTCGGGACCCTGAGCACGCATGGAAGACGCCGGATTCCTTGCAGGAGAGGTGGGATCGTGTGTACTCGGGCGTCACTCCGGAGAAGTCTGTCTTTCCACTCGAGCCTTCGATTCGCAGTGCCAGTCGAGGAGAGTTCAAAACTTGCACTGACGAGAATGCTGCATAATGCGACGTGCTTCATGGTTGTCAGCGATGTCTCTTAAACCAAGAATAACGTATTTTGTCAACGAGACTTTGGAAACCTTTACCACATATTTGTGGTCAACGTTGCAAATTCTTTTACAAAGATTGTATTTGAAAAGATTTGAGATGATAGCCTGGCCTAGAGGAACAATCTCAAAACACAATAATCTAGAGGCAAGAAAGGTGAAGAGAATGAAGCCGTCAACCTTCAAATAGGCTAAGGGTGACAAGTTCCGCAAAGAAGAGTTGTGATCAAGTGAAGTAGCCGCGTCCGTGTCAAGTAATGGATGGAAGTAGATAGTCTTCAACGCCGGAGAAGCAACTGTTTGGGCTCCATTTCCACTAAACCGAATGCAAGTGACTGACTTTTTAGTGATCCTGGGCAGCATTTGCGGAACAGGCGAAGCCGCGCAGGGGTCCGGCCGAAGCAAGCCTACCAAACGATCCGAAACCGTATCCTAGCCGTATTCATCGCAATTACCCAAAAATGGACATGGCAATATCCTGTAACCACTGCAAGTGACCACCTCGCAAAGGCAGTTTTCACCAAAGAAGGCACCTCATCTTGTACTAGGTAGCCCGGGAAAGCTTGGCGCTCGCATTTGCTCCGCCGTGGGCCTTTCTGTACGTTGCATCCCGGGATCACCCCACAAGACGATCGGCCGGCTCGCCGGGACCTGCCACCGCTACCCGGACGGTACTCTGGCATCCGTTCCTCTGCGGGGGTACGCTTTCACTCCGCCAACTTGACGAACTATCAGATACGCTAGTTAGGACGACGACCGCAAGTACGTATGTTGCTGACGACCGGGGCTAGTTGCGTAAGTCCTTGACCCCTATTCCCATGCATGCAGTATAGCCGCTTCGGTGTCGTCTTCAGGTATTGCCAAGTTTTGCAAGGTGTCTTATTCGGACCATTGTCAAATCTTCCTAGCTTCAGCTGAGCAAGGGCCGACCATTCGCATCTATACCAAACTCGCAGACTCGGCAAGCTAGGCCCCCGGCAGGTTGATGTCTGTGGAAGCGAACAGGTCGGGAAAAGTCCGGCATAAGTAGTTGTTGATCACATCAACTCACCTTTTTTTTTTCGCCACAGACTGACTCTATCAATAGCTTGATAGATGTCTACAAAGTTCAAGCGCGCTGCGCTGCCGCGTCAACTACCTTAGATGATGCAGATAACAGTTTAGATAACGTAGTCAATCGCCGAGTGCTCTAGCCTAGGCAAAACTGAGTTTAGCTCAGCAGGATATTGTCACGCCAAGATGTAGTCTAGTCACTTCGGGAGATGCGTTTGCAGTTGATCTGAAGGAGATGCAAAGAGCCCGCCGAGATCATCCGTAACTTGTAGCGTAACTTGGTCAAGCTTAACACACACTGGAACGACCATGCTTGACGTGCGGCTGTTTTGACCTGAAGTCACTAAGCGAAAGCCGAGACATTGTGGCATGATGGATCACTAGAAGTTCCATAACGTTTCTGAGGACGTTGAGAGATGGTTGAATGCAACATAACGGCAGCGTAATACTTGTATAGCTGCAATCTCCTTGTGCATGCACACTTTTGCACATCGACTTCGGGCTTCTCTGGGAGTCTCCGAGTCATCGAGGAAGCACATGTCAATGTTGTGATGCAAGTTATCCACCCCAGATGAATAGGATGTATCAAGCTGTCAGCCTGTCGAGTCTTCCATCACCGTCCAGACAATAAGGTGCCGCAGTCCGCAGATAGCGCTACGACAATGGCTCGGAACGTACCGATCCCAGTGAGTCCAGGTGAGTGGAGTTCGTCCCGCATTGTCCTGGACAACGCGATGTGATGATCATCTTACACGGGAGAAAGCTTTTGGAAGTGTATTTGAGAGCAATTAAATCCCCTCTGATTGATTGGCCGCAGCCATTACAAGCCATCGAGTGTATTAGTCGAGTTGAGTTCACGAGATCATGCATCTGATCGGGCCGCATTACCGTTGCGTCTAGGACGGGATGTTGTATCAGCAACTGACATTCTTACCAACTGTACCTCCCTTTACTTTATCAGACAATCAGACCTGTCATCTCCAAGTTGTTTCCAGGTCAGTGAGTCCATCCCAGTTGGTGAATGCCCCGATTGACCGCGACTTGAATGGAAGTATCTGAATAAACCAAAACCATACAACATCTTTCCAATTATAGTCAAATCGCCACATCTCAATCTTAGAACTAATTATCCTCAAAAATACTATCAAAGTATCATTATACTCAAGTCTGGTACCTCGACACCATCCCCATCAACTACGGGATAGCAACAATATATAAACATGTACTTTCATAAGGGGTAGTAGCCAATAATACACTAGTCTGATCCTAGTTACCTTTTCTCCTTCAATTTTTTTAAAAAAAAGCCAAAGATCAGAGTTGGAGAAAACTAGAGAACTCAAATAATGTCACTATTTTGCAGTTGCTGCTTTGCTATATCGAAGGCTCTTGCTGGAGTTCAAGTCATAGCAGCTAGATGGCCAAGAGCTATCGAACTCAGATTACAACACGCCATCTCTAGAAGAACAGAACTTCTCTAAAAAGGGGAAAGCAATTGGTAGGTTTCTTCAGCTATGCTGTGATATTTGTTAGTCTCGACTGATTATATTGATAAATCCAAAACTGCGGACTTTCTTTGTGTTCTAAGCCCGGATTAAACTCCAGATCTAAATTATGCGTGCTGGAAATACTCATGAGCATACAAAGTTAGTTAATGGGAATCCATCATATACAATCTAAACATCCTTATGCATCGTGTCTCAGCCGCAAAGACTGGTCACTCTTCTCACGAAGTGATTACTGAGCCCATTGACGGCATGGCGCCTTACGCTGTTGCGACTGAAGCTGCTCAAAATTAGTCCCGCAAGTACATGTAGTGTGCTTCAAGTTCAGTCTTCCAGATCTACTTACATAGAGCAGACATCACCCATTCAAAACTCTTGGCGTTTAACGATATGTAGGGTGCACGTATTAATGAGGCTCAACTAATCTCTCGCCAATGGTCTATTTGCGCACTGCACTACTTGCCAGTTCATCATTGCATAATATTGGACGAATGAAAGCCACCAAGCCAAGTCATGACTGTGTCAAATATGCAAAACTAATTGTCTCACTGCCAAGGCAGAGATTTTGAGATGGCCGGAGTGCCCACCTTCGACATGCCTTACACTCAAAGGTTGCCTCGAGAGATGGTGCGCAGTTGGTTCGCCAGGAACCAAATCTGTGGTGTTGAGCCATTTACGGCTAAGTCAAGAAGTCAGACTCCATCAAATATGCATGGTACTTTGTTGTGAATGGTCAACTTGCGTTGCATCTCATCCATCCTTATCAACTTGTCTCACTATAATTGGTCGACATGACGGAATCTCACCTGCAGCTGTCAGCGACCTCGTTGGCGTACTCCATCAACATGCAAACCCGTCGCACAATTCATAAATCGTTCTATGCCAATGTCCGTTGCGCCGCAAAGTATTTGCATACATTTATGTTCAAGCCAGACCACTTTCCCCTCTCCCCGCAGCCCCCGCCTCCCGAATTCTCGTCACATCCACCGGTACCACTGTGCCCCGACTACCATCGCCGATAGTTCCGGACGGGGGACTCGATCGCCGTCGCGATGCCTGAGCAGCCGACTGCCGAGCAATGGGAGAGGCATAGGCCCCTCATTACCAAGTTATATACCACCAAAACACTCAAGCATATCAAAGATGAGCTGTATAACAGACATGGGTTCTATGCGACGTAAGAGTTATTTTCAGTCGTCTCGGGATTTTTTACCTATATACTAAGTAAACGCGTACAGAGATCGCATGTACAAGGGACGGTTCAAGACTTGGGGTATCGGGAAAAACAAGAAGCGCAAGCCCTTTGAGGCATCACTGTCCGGAGACATTGACCTAGGGTCGAACCTTGCTGCCGCACCTCGCAGCGATATCTCAAGCCCTACCCCTCCATTTGAAGTAAACATGGAGGAAGTTGGCATGACCCCTGACATGCTCTGCAAAGAGATCGTGACATTTGCGACATCGATACTCTCGAAACTTGTCCCAGGGCGGTCGCCGACTGTGGCATGGGACGACTGTACTCCGACGGACGACCACCTCGCGATTTACCGCACGCTTCAGAAGGAACTCAAGCATGAAAGTCACCTGAGAGGTTGCCTTGTGAACAACCCATCAGTAGCAGTCAAATCGCAAATGAACGACCATGTCAACGAGCTGTTGAAGTCATTTCACCCTGCGGTACCGATTGGGATTCTAAGCTCATTCAACCAGTCATCGGATACTGTAGCCATTCACGAATTGGCGCGCTGCTTGGTGGAATCTTCAATGATCATCTTACCACGAGATCACGAATTTTCCAGATTAGCGCGGAGAGTATTACAGCTCCTCACAGACACTCTATTCTCGGATTTCAAAGCCCACATGGAACGCATTTGCGATGATCTCCAAGCGAACGTGCTCAAAGTCCTGGGTAGATGGAGTTTAGTAATGATTTACCTGATTTTCTTGCTCAACGCTAAAAAGGCAAAAAATGAACAACAGACGGATCCCAAGATCTTGAATATGGCCTTGGAGCGATATACACACGTACAGTGCTCTTACTCAGACGATCCAAAGCTTATTGTTCAATTCGGCCACTTCATCCTAGGCTACTGCGTCCTCGTTGCATCTGAAGCAGAACTAGCGACCAGTGTGCGGGATATGGCAGAACAATGCTACGACCGCGCCGAGGCGTACCTATTGGAGCGGGAATCTTCGCCAAATTCCAGATATGCAGATATCCAAGATGCAAAATCACATTTTGGAAAGGCGTGTGCCGTCCTGGCGGACTGTCGCTATGCACAGGCCACGCAGCAAGCGGATAAGATGCTTCGTGATGAGATCCACGACTCGTCGCGGAGACTTCTGCTAATGTCAATAGGGTGTCACGTCGATACGGACATGGCGACTATGGCACAGTTTGAGCGACAGAAGAGGAAGCTTGAGGGTTGGTGCAGAGATGCAGAGGATTCGGAGAGGCAGAAGCAACTGGATTGTATCCGTGACCTCATCCTCGGAAACGAGCAACGGCCAAAGGATGGGCCTCTTCTTCCGAGGTTGAAGGTATTGGCTGGTAATTGATTTTTGGAGAAGAGATGGAGAGAAGTCCATGACTTACAGCCGCAAAACTAGTGGGAAACTGGTGTAAGGCGAAAATCTTGGTTGAGGCAAGTCCGAATTACGATGGACCCAAAAAAAAAAAAAAAAAAAAAAGAGAAGGAAAATTGTCATTGTGGGAACTCGATGATGCATAGTTGTGTAAGGCAGATTGTGTTTTTGATGAGGCGTCAATGGGCTGGGGTAGGGTAGTCGAAAATTTACAAATGGCTTGGTCCCCTGTTTAGCTCGAGTAATCAGTCGCATATTTGCGGATAAGTGGACTTCGTTGTACGTCATGTCGTCTCCTTGTTGCGTTGGTCTATTCATCTTGTTGTGGAAACTGACAGCAGCGAGTGAGACTCGGTGAGCCTCACCGACAGCCACCGAAGCTGAGCGACCCAAAGGGCCGAACGAAAATGTCCGAAAGTTGGTCTCATGATTGCGTTTTGGCGGCTCTGTGGCGACCAGGTCTCCGATTATCGCCCACTAAACGCTATAATCTGCACAAGACTTTGGATAGCGTTTACCTTGGCTACTAAGTCGTTTCCTCCGTTTTTCCTCGTCACTGGTCAGTTTACATCAGCCATCGGCCCTTGAAACATTTGCTTCACTCAATTCGCAAAAAAGTGGCTCTATTATCTCATTCCTCGTCACATTGATGTAATGTCAAATTTACATCATACACAATTCAGCAGAAACAATCAGGCACTATCGATGCGGTAGATCAAATACTTAAGCGGACGATGACTGGCGAACGATGTGAGCTTTCCGGATCATTCCATCAACACAACTCTAGCAACAAAGCTTGGGGACATCTATCACCAAGAAACCATCACCAACTATCAGCCTACGAATCATAAACTCAATCCATACCTTGTAACTCTTTCATCCACGCAAAATGTCAGTCAACCGCAACGTCGAATCCATCAACCATAAGCAGGGCGAGTTCCACCCCAGCGTTCCTCGCTCAGAACCCCTCACAACCAAAGGCGTACGTTCATCAATCCCAAGCACGCACATTTATAATCACTTCCCACGTCTAATCGACCAATAGCACGCCCCAGGCACCAAAGTCGGCAACGACGCGTACCCCGAGTTCCACGCGCAAGCATACCCCGCCGGCACAGCACCAAAAGAGAGCACCTTTCAGCCGCAGAACGCGCAAGAGAATCCCGGCCAGGCCCTGAACCCCGAAGCCACTGCGTATATGGCCGCGCACGATTTCCCGGGTGCCACAAGTGGAGACGTCCACACTGGGTTGGGTAAGCCTATGCAGGGCCAGACCAGCGCTGAGCTGCACGGGTCTAATCTCGGTCGCCGTGACAAGGAAAGCGCTGGACTTGAGGGAGTTGGAGCTTTTAGCAAGCACAATTTTAGGGAGCGGCGGCTGGATGTTGATCAGGAGCCTAATCTTCGTGGCAAGACGAAGGATGCTTCGGATACTCTCGGTGCGGAAGAGAAATTACCTGTGTCGGCTGAGGAGGTTGCCAGCCAGCGTCGATAAATTAGCGACTTTGGTTCTAGCACTGTACTGTTGCGGGCATGTATGATATCCCCATGAAATGATACAAATTTAGGTTGGTCCGAATGGCATCGCGCCCGTTTATTGCATGTTTAAATTGCATCCGCTATCCCTGATCCTCCCAAACACCCTAGTAGCCCTACTCGTAATGCATCTTTATTTCAAGATTCTGACCCAAACGCACTACGAGAGAAGAAAAAGCGCGCCAGTTTCCAACATTCCAGTTTACAAAGGTGACTTGCAGTGTCACAACTTAAACGGATCGGTTCTTGGTCTTGCTGGCGTTGGAGGGCGCAGTCTTCTTGAGGGTGAGGACCACCTTGTCCTCGGTGGCATCGCCAGTGTCGTTCCACTTGAGGGAGTAGATGCCGTCGATGGAGCTGGGGGTAGCATACCACAGAGACTCCATACCACCAGAGGTGGCCTCGACAAAGATGAAGGAGCCGTAGAAGACGAAACCGCTGGTCTGGCGGTCGGAAGAGGATGAGTTGGAGCTGAGGAAGCCGACGTCGTGGTCCGAGGAGCCCTCGGCCGGGACGGAAAAGGTGAGGTTGGACCAGCTGGGAGGGGAGGTGGAGTTCAGAGCCGTGGTGTTGGGGGCTCCGAGCCAGCCGTTGTCGTCGGTGGGGGTGACTATTAAAGGCGTTAGTTTCTCATAGCGAATGAAATCGACAGTAATAGACGTACAGATCACCGGGGCGGCGTTGGAGTCGTTGAACTTGGTGTGGTCACCGAAGTAAGCGTCGCCTAGTCCCGAAAGTGTTAGTCGAGGGCTTCTCAAGGAGGGGGTTTCGCAACCCGGGCTGGACGGGTTATCAACAAAAGAGAGACAGGAAGAGAATGATTGTCAAGTTCTGAGCTGAACCTAATCATTCCCTTAATAGATAAAAGTTCCAAAACCAGCCTTACTACCTCCTGCAGAGAACATGGACAGGCCGCCGATTCCTTGGCCGTAGGCGTAGACTTGGAAAGGGCTGGTGTTATCGCTGGCAACAGCACGGGGTTCCGAAGGAGCCGCGACCGCAAGAGCGGCCAGCGACAATAGGATAGTGCCGTAGGACTGCATTTGTGCGTTTGGGGTTGGTGATGTGTTTCGAAAGGAAATCAGTTATGATGGAGTAAACGACTGGATGAGACTGTAAGGAGACTCGAGAGGGGGAAACGATGGACTGAATGAGAGTTATCGTGGTGAAAGGAACCGGAGTGGTGGGGGGCCGGAAACTGACGCTGGAGAGGGGATGGAGTTGATTAAATAAAAGTGCGGTAAATCGATGCCGTTCGGATGATCCGCCTCAAGCCGCCCCGGCCGGCATGTCATGACTTGCAACTTTGCTTGCAAATTTTTGGGCTACGCCACCGCGGCACCACAGCTCACGCAAGTCAGGTAGCAAAGGCCCGAAAATGCTTCCTGTTCGCCGTGGTTGCAAGGGAAACTTTGGTTCCCAAAACAGGTTGCAATCAACAAATCACTGCGCGGATGCGGAATAGGCGCGTTGAGGCTCGGGCTCCACCGTGTTGATCACAGTGGAGGCACAATCAACCCCATAACCATAGTTGAGACCATCACAACCTCCTTGAGGCATCGGTCATTGCCGTTCGGCATCCAGTCAAGCTTTTGCCGCGAGATTGGACGGAAACGGCCATTGGCCAACTAGATTCCGCGGGAGCGCCGTTGTCGTTTACTTGCGGCTAGGGCCATCCCGGGAGGGGCGCCTGTCAACGGGGGTTTTCAGAGTTGCCGTTTCGGTATGTGGGATGAACAGGGGCCCGTGATAGGGTCCGGGATCTGTGGATACTGTTTCCCGGGGTGAGCTTGATGTATAGCAGAGATATTATAGGCCTGGCCCATCACTTCTCGTCCATCATGGTCACAAAAGGGGGATGGCGTCGCCATAGGACCACGTAAGGAGAGGAGGCTGCGCAGGGGACCATGAACTCCTTCTCTCCTAATCTGCAGTGTTACCAACCCACCCGCAGCCACCTAGATAGATTGATGGTCCTCGCAGAAGGCCACCCACGATGCTCACGCTGTGCCGCACAGACGTTCCTCTTTCGCAAACTGGGGCCGGAAGTTTCTAAATCAGGAGCGATCTGGTGGAGCTCATCGGCCGGCTTGGCTCTCCGGAGTGCCTCCCACCCTCCCGACAAGTCGGAGAGACCGGCCACCCAAGTCTGACGGTTCTACCGACGGCTCATCGGCCCTTGATCGTCCCCCTTCACATCCACTTACAAACCCATTACGCCTGTCCATGAGTTGAGTTGCCGTGCCTTGCGAGGCTGCGGTGGAGCATAACACCCTACCAACCCCAGCTTCCCCTGACCTATGCCTCGCATAGAGGAAATAAGACTCAGCTGCTTGCGAGTCAGCCCAACTGCGGTTCGCTTTACACGTACCACCTGACGAACCCCGTACAGCCCGCGCATGGATCTCAAAGGGGTCAGTCTCAGGTTAGCCCCTTCGGGCCTTCATCGACATGGGAATTATCGTGAAATCATCCCTATCCAAAATGTTTTTCCTTCGCTGAATCTCGAGTGGGACAAACCTTTGCATTGACGATCTTTAGCCTACTGGGGCAAGTGCGAGCTGTAGTTGCAGTGGATAGGTTCGGGATGCCCATGGTATCGTCAGATTCGCTTCAAGCGGCTCCAAGGGAAACAGGACCGATAGACGACTTCTGTCATTGTGGTCCGAATGAGGAAACACGTGCAGGGTAAACGCAACCGAGTTCAATGGGGAAATAGAGTTTTTAGCATCCGTTGACTATCGCGCTTCCCGTGAGCCGCCCGTGAAGCCGACATTGCGTTGCGGGCTCACAGAAATACTTAAGTTATAGACATCCGTTGCTTGTTTGATGTTATTCTCACTCACTCCTCACCCAGCACAGTATTGGCTGCGCTTCCATTCGCTTCAGTCTTTCTCTCCCTCCCGCCAATCCTTCCAACTTGTGTCACACAGTCTTTCTTTAAACCATTTCTTGGCACACACAATCACTACATCATGTTCAAGTCTCTCTTCTTTGCCGGAGCCCTTGCGGGCTCCATGGCCTCTGCCTTGCCCGGCTTCGGCGCCCTCTCTGACGGCCCTGAGGCCCAGCTCTTCCCTCGCGCTACCTGCAGCGGCAACACTGCCAGCACGAGAAGCGAGTGGTGCGACTACTCCGTCGACACCGACTACTGGACCGAGGCGCCCGACACCGGTGTCACTCGCGAGTACTACCTCGAGCTGACCGACGTCACCGTCGCTCCCGATGGAGTCTCCCGCTCCGCCATGGCCGTCAACGGCTCCATTCCAGGCCCGACCATCTTTGCCGACTGGGGTGACACCGTCGTCGTTCACGTCACCAACTCTCTGACGACCTCCAACAACGGCACCAGCATTCACTTCCACGGCATCCGCCAGAACTACACCAACCAGAACGACGGCGTCAGCTCCATCACTCAGTGCCCCACGGCCCCCAACGACACCATCACCTACACCTGGAGAGCTCTGCAGTACGGTTCTACCTGGTACCACTCTCACTTCGCCCTCCAGGCGTGGCAAGGTATCTTTGGCGGCATCATCATCAACGGCCCTGCCACCGCCAACTATGATGAGGACCTTGGCATGATGTTCCTTAACGACTGGGACCACCAGACCGTCGACGAGCTCTACTCGACTGCCGAAACCTCCGGCCCGCCGACCCTTGATAACGGTCTCATCAACGGCACAAACGTCTACGGCGACGACGACTCCACCACTCAGACCGGCTACCGCTACAACGTCACCTGGACCTCCGGCACCTCCTACCGTCTGAGACTTGTCAACGCCGCCGTTGACACCCACTGGAAATTCATGATTGACAACCATACCATGGAGGTCATCGCTTCCGACTTGGTCCCTATCACCCCCTACAACGCGACCGTTCTTGACATCGGCATGGGCCAGCGCTACGACATCATCGTAACCGCCGATCAAGCCGACGTCGCCGACAACTTCTGGATTCGCGCCATTCCCCAGTCCGCCTGCTCCGACAACGACAGCACAGATAACATCAAGGGCATCATCTCCTACACCGGCACTATCACCACCCCCACCACCAGCGCCTACACCTACACCGACTCCTGCGATGACGAGACTGATAACATCTCTCCCTACGTCTCCAAGACGGTCGATAGCGCCAACTGGGATGAGCTTGAGAGCGCCTCCGTCAGCAAGAATACCGCCGGCCTCTTCAAGTGGTACCTCAACAGCACCTCCATGCTCGTCGACTGGGCCAGCCCGACTCTCGAGTCCGTCATTAATGGCAATACTACCTGGGAGGACGATGACGCCGTTATCCAGCTCGACGAGGCCAACCAGTGGGTCTACTTCGTCATCGAGACCACCCTCGCCGTCCCCCATCCCATCCATCTCCACGGTCACGACTTCTTCGTCCTCGCTCAGGGCTCTGGAACCTACTCCAGCTCCATTACTCTCAACACTGACAACCCGCCCCGTCGCGATACCGCCATGCTTCCTTCCTCTGGATACCTTGTTATGGCCTGGGAGACCGACAACCCCGGCGCCTGGCTCATGCACTGCCACATTGGTTGGCACACGTCTGAGGGTTTCTCGATGCAGTTTGTCGAGCGCTACAGCGAGATTGCCGCCATCACTGACAACTCTACCCTCACCGACACGTGCGACACCTGGACTACCTTCCAGGAGGAGTACTCCATTGAGCAGGAGGACTCTGGTGTTTAAATGGCTTTTGAGGAACATCTACAGTACATCACAATCATTGGGTAGACTAGCATTGGGTTAGCGGTTTCCTTGAGTCTTGAGATAAAGGGGCGGGTTGGCGAACAGGGTTTCAATTTGTGTATTGCATAGTTCAAGTTCCATCCATACACGAGAACGGAAATTGTGATATCTTAACCACACTCGCGCTTTGGATTGTCAGTGAAATATGATAGTTCTCATGAATATGTATGATACCATTTCGTTGCCTGAATCCTCCTTATGTGTTAGCATATTGCCAAGTTTACCGACCGTTGTAGCATTCACATTTTACCAGGTGATGATCGATCTGAGCTTCCTGATATGACTAAAGTATTGGACTCTAGAAGTCAGTCAACATTTGTCACAAAGTTTGGTTTTCCTTTATGATATTCGGCACAGAGGTAATCTTTTTGGAGTGCGGCGTGCCTCCTGCCATCAACTTCATTTGCCTCAACGCTTGATGTTGGATAGAAGCATCATCTTGCTCGCTGAGTGAGTCCGCAAGTATTTTTAAGACAGGTCTTTTGGGTTTAGTTTCCATTTTCTGTCAGTGATCATTCAAGGCCTACAGTAGTTCAACAAAACAAAAGAGAAAAGAACTCGGCTTTGACTAAAAGGCCTCAAGTAGCGAGTTTTCCGCAGTAATTTCCCCAAGAAGGAAACTAAATAAATTGTTTCGTGGCTACCATGAAACCTTATAATTATTCTCTCATATAAGAACTTGCCATGTTTTGTCAACTTAAGTTCAAAGTGTTTGTTCAAGCCTCCTGAGTGAGCCTTTTCACTATACGTCTCCAACGACAAGCATGCCCTCCTGTATTGAGGCTGATTCTCGATATTCTGTGTTCTCTTTTCACCAAATAATTGCCATAAAACCGTTACAAATTCAATTTTTATCCATAATTATCCTTGATTTTGAATCTGATTCGAAACAAATCAAGGTTCTCTGGTTATCTTGTACAACAAGATATTAAAGCACAGAATACTCACGAGTCTCTGTTGTTGACTAATAGCAAAGCGTTGTCATAATTTATTGAATATCAAATGAATAAGCTTTTCTTTTGAAAATTGGACGAAGTAGTCGATGCAAGATATAGTCAATAGTAAGTTGTTTGATTCCTAACGCATCACACAAGGTTGCCATAAAAAGACTCAGCCATGTGAGGCTTCGATCACGCATTTTGGGATACATGTACTACTGATTTGCTGCCTTCCCCAGCTCACTGGTCTTTCGAAGTGGCTTGTTCTTACCTCAGGTGTCTATACATGTTGGCATAAGTCTTCCTCTTTTAACATGCTCCTTCCAGCAGCGTATATATCGCTCAAGGTCGTCCTAGACACTGCATCATCACTGTAGCCTTGTCCCCACGGAATCTCTCCCTTAGCCTCGTCACGTGGACCCCCTACGTTTCAGCAAATTCCTGACCATGTAGTTAAGGATGCTCTTACTTCAACCCCCGAGCTCCTTTTCTTCACGTCGATTATTTATTCTCGTCCTTCTCTATCTTTTCAGCGCGTTACATTCAGTCAAGGCGCGATTCGAATCCCTTGACGTTTGGTATCTTCGACTTTTCCAATCATGGGGAAAGGAAATGTGTCTTTGCTCTCTAATCTTCTACTGTAGATCACTTTCTATCGCTACTATTTCATCTACCGCCACCAAGTCATGAAAAAAATGTGCAAAACTCCGGATACCTTACTTTGGCACGGAAGCCGTTTGCTGTTTTTCGCAGGCTGCGAGCGCACGTATTCATCGTTTCCAAAGACTTGCCACTGACCCGTGATCGTAATTGCTTATTGCGCCTGAGGCTGCACTAACCGCGACTACTCTGAACTCCTTGAGAAAGATCTGGTTTCGGCGCTTTGAGGCTCAGATCTCGTTAATTTCGTGAAAACTACTAGCGTCATTGATGGGTGGAGGGGGGGTGAACACAATGCTGTACAACTGCTTCCAACCAGATACTCTCTGAGAACAACAGGTCATATAGAATCATCAGTAACTGATAGCAGCTGTCCACTGCATTGACCATGGCATTGACCGTGGCAGTATTTCCCGCTGCGGAGATGCGCTGTTTATTTACGCTGTTCCCAAACCTTCAAGTGTTCTGTTTATCGAATGATCCCACATCGCCGAGCAAGGCAGACAATCTGCGCTCTCTTCATCAACAAACCAGCAGCTTCCTCTTTGATATTACCGCGCTTCGATGCCAATAGGTGAACTAAGGTTCCATCGATTTCGAAGTTGTCATATTCAATCGTAATCCCAACGTCAACAATCAAACCTAAACTGCCGAAAAAACCTTGAGTTGCTGACGAGCCACTACGGCGAGCAAGCAGCTATTCTTCCTTCATTTGCGACCACGCATCATATTTACTAATCCATTTCTGTAATCTCCAAACTTGTTTTCTATCTCTCTTTCACTCTCTATTCCTAATCGTGATCATCGCCAAACACTCGTGAGCTTGCGCAAAACCTGGGAAAATACATTACGCATGGTATCAGAATGATGAGGCCGTCGTGCACCCGAGCTCTGGCCTTTCTGGGGGTTGCACTGAGCATAGGTAGCCAGTAATCACATGAATCGCGTTGCAACGATTCGTAAGTGCTGCGGACATATAGTGGACATTCAGTGAAGATCATCATTTTTCTTACCAGCATTCAGCCTATACCTCTGGCTAAGTCCCCTAAAAACACTGTATACAATATACATGCACTTAGAAATGTCTATTTTGGTTCATTTCGGTGCTGATGACGACGCAACTATGTTTTCCTCTCCTCTCTCAGTAATAACTCACAGAGTAAGGTTGTTGAGTTTTATCCCACCTGCACGGTGTGCCGTCTACCCGCATTTTCGTTGGAAACTTTTTCAGCCCCCAACGATGACTTCGTCATCGTCACCAGCCCCAGGTCATGCTCGCAAGTCACGGGTTGGCAGTATTGGCCTATTGGGAGGGAGGGCAAACAGACTAACTTCAGCCCCCAATGCCAACGCGGTCAAGAAGTCAACGTCGTGCCGTTGCAACCGCACTTATTATTATCTATAGTTATCATAGTTGTTTACCACTATAGACAGGGCTCTACGTCTGCAATATGCGCAAGGTCAGTTTCCCCTCCTCTTCCAGGGCCTCAGCCTCACAAAGGTCAAAAAGCCCCGACCAAAAAGAACAAAGGGGAAATTGCAAGCATATTTTCGGAATGGTCTTCCCTTTCACCAAAAGCTACGGCAAGGTGTTCCAGGGACTGCCAACTGCTAAATTGGGAGCGTTGTCCGGTCTCACAGGCTTTGTTGGGGCATCAGCGCCGGGAATGCCTTACGATGTAAACCCACTTCACTTGAAGCTTGAAGGGTATCCACGCAAGTCAGGGCTTGTCAAGCCTCAAGAGAGTCGAAAAGAAGGGGAAGCTTCTTCGTAGCGGCGGGGTTTTACCCCTGAACCCGCACCGTTACCCCCTGAATCGGTTTCCCGGAATGGCACTCTTCTGGAATGTGGGGGATTTAGAGCGTCGGGAGCCGCAAAGCTTGGGCGGATGCGATGCAGGGGTATCCCCGTCATTTCTCTACACGTTCCCGAACATGTCATGGCCCATCTGATTGTTGCTCACTGGTACCTTCGCAGTTTGGCAATTGTGCTGTTGCAGCGCCCCGACGCGGCCCCGTTGACGGCAGCCCGGCAGGGCTTGCTTTCTAGCTTCTTTAGGTATTAAGCCTCATGCTTGGCATCGAACCTTTTTGGCGTTCCCCACGTCGGGAGTGGCTGGTGAACCGCAACGTCAGATCTGTGACTATGCATGATGGATCGCTCGCTTGTTACGTTATCGAGAACCCCCCCTCTGATACTGTCCCGACCGCCTGCCTACTCATGAAGCTCGAGGCACATGAGTCTGTCCCAGGTAACCCCAAGGAGTCCCAAGGAGTTCCAGAGAGTCGCCGACCTCGGGCTCGCCCCGGCTCGTCAAGCCTCAGCCGTCGCAAGGTCCAAGCGCAGGAGACCTTGCTGTCTCTCCCTCAGCCCTCAACTCGGGAACAAAGGCAATAGGAGAATTTCGACTGCATGAAGGTGCCCCGGACGAACGGTTTGAAACATCCAGGTTGTTCGCCCACATCGCGGGTAAAAACCTGCCATCTCATGAGGCTGTGGCACGGTCAAACATACTACCATAGTCTGTTAACGAAGAGAACATGGAAGGGCAGGAAACCTTCTCACTGGTTCTCGAAGGCCACTCCTTGGACCTAGTCCGGTGATGACGAGGGCCTCAACGTCGACAGAGTGGCATCCGGGACGTCGATCATCAACATTCACCCACTACGCGGTTCCGGAGACTGGCTGTGTAAGACGCTCGTGCAATGCGTCGTAAGACTCTCCATCGAAGTCTCCAGTCTGTCGTAGATTGTCGGTTAAGTCACTAGTCAGACTTGGGAAAGGTAGTCGAAAAGCCTTCGAAACACAGAGGTCAAGTTGACCATAAAAGAAGACCTTTGTCCCGTCCGAATGACAACCTTTTTTTCTCCTCACCACCAACAACCAGTTCAATCTTCAATCACTCTCAAGCATCTCTCACTCTTCCACTTTTCGCTCTCTCAGCACCACTTTCGCTCTACTACACATTTCAGTCTTCACACTTCTTTTTCAAGAACCACCACCAACCACCCCCAACAATCAAAATGCAGTTCACCATCGCCACCATCATTGCCTTCGCCGCCGCCGCTCAGGCCGGTCCTCTCGCCATCCGCGATGTCTGCAACTCCGCCCCCTCCGGGCCTACTACCGCCAACGTCGAGCCCCGCTCTCAGCCCGCCGCCGCCACCGCGGACGCCTGCCAGAAGCTTTGCGAGGCTGACTCCGGCTGCCAGTCCTTCGTCTTCGGCCTTCCTCCCTCCGGCACCACCCCTCTCTGCTACCTCTACGCCGTCCCGGCCTCCCAGGTCCCCAAGCAGTCCAACACCAACCTGATGGTCTTTGACAAGGCTTGCACCAGCGTCCCCACCGCCGCTCCCACCCAGTCCAACACCGGTGCCAACAACGGCAACACCGGCTCTAACACTGGTGCCAACACCGGCAACGCCAATACCGGCAGCAACAACAACGGCGAGCAGCCCAAGAAGCGTGCCAATGTCTGCGGCGCTGCCCCCGCCGGCCCTGCGACCAGCAGCCCCACCCCTCTCCTGAGCCGCGAGGACATCACCACCCAGGACGCCTGCTTGGCTCTCTGCAAGCAGACCACTGGATGCCAGGCCATCGAGTTCGGCAAGCCCTCTGCCAACGAGCCGGTCCAGTGCCGCCTCTTCAACGTCCCGGCTTCCAGCCTGCCCGCTCCCACCAACGGCCAGACCTTCGTCGCCTTCGACATTGGCTGCTAAATGCATACACGTGCATAGCATCACAACTTCCCTCTCGCCTAATTTTTCTTGGCATCTGCTGTTAGTGAATGAGTGAGCCTACCACCAAATTACTAACAGCCGAAAACTCTTCACCTCCCCTTGCCGGAGCCCGCATCCGCGATGGCCTCACAGCCGCCGTCGGGCACCGGACTGATGTCGGCCGACCAAGCCGACCCCGAACCAGGCTCCGGGACACCTCCGGAGCCGAACCCCACCTCAAGAGCTAAGCGACGCCGCGACGCCGAGGCACAGCCGACCCGGCCCAGCCTAACGGGAAGCCAGCTTGATGCCACCACCGACGCCCCTACCTCGGCCGAGGGGCCCGCAGCCTCTACCGCATCTGCTCCGAGCGGATCTGCCACAGGGTCCGTCTTGACAGCCCTTGCAGAAGAAGCTAGACAGTACGAGGCACGGAAAGACGTCTTTCTGACCATTGCACGGTCCGTCGACAGCGTTGTCGCCAGCTTTGACGGTTCTAGAAAGCAGATCGCGAAAGAAGCCACTGCCTATGTCATTCAAACCCTCAAGAGACTGATCAATCACGAGACAAGCCCAATAGCGGCCCGGAGTTGGGCGGCTGTCGTCGCACCGATGGCGGGCAACACCACTGCGGCGACCCGGAGCGGCCAGAGCTGCCAGAGCTCTGCCCGCCCGAAGGCCACACTCCCCGCCGAGGATCAGCCGCAGGCGCAGCCGAAGGAGGACCTCCGCATCTTTGCCCGCGTCCCGGAAGAAAGCTTAGCGGCCGCTCGGAAGATCGCACCGTTCGCCGTACGACAGATCGTCTGTAAGGCCGTTGGCCTGGGGCTAGCGGACCTTCCCCACGTCTACCATATCAGCACAGGTTACTCTCTGAAGCCGCGAAACAAGCAAATACAGGAAAGACTACTTGCAAGTAAGGCAAAGCTGGCGGAATGCCTCGGCGCCCACCAGGTCGAGACGCCTATCAAGTGGTACACTTACGTTGTGCCGCGATGCCCAACAAAACTACACAGCATTGGCGGGGACGTCCTGGACCCAGCCACACTCGTTGAAGATGAGGTCTTCGCACAGACAGGACAGAAGCCTGTCCTTGCTCGACCGTCCCGCCTTGGGCCCAACCCAGTCACGAACGAAATATCTTGGCTCATATCATTCACATCAGAGGTCACGCCCTTCAGGCTCTTCAACCAAAGCGGCAGATCTCTGCCCGTCAAGAAACGAAGGACGCTCATCCGACACGACCCCGGCTGCCAGGGCTACCACTCCAACCGGTTCTGCGGACGACGACCGATCTGCAGCAACTGCGGAAGACCTTCCGATTCACACGAAACGGGACCCTGCATGGCCAGGCCCCAATGTGCCAACTGCTGCGGCCCCTTCCAAGCCAGCCACACAGACTGCCCAGCGAGGCCCTCGGCCGTAAACGGCGTCGTCTCCCTTCCCGGTCGAAAGGAGCGGGCTCGGATCCGGAAGGCCGGCCAGAAAGCATCGGACACTCTGTACAAGGCTACTCGATCCGACAGTAGCCAGGAGGCGGCAGGCGTCCCTACCTCCACCAGCCAGAACCAGCAACCCGGCGCCAAGCGCGCGCGCACGAGAACGCCCTCCGCAAGCTCGATCGTTTGCCTCGGTGACGGAAGCACTGACAGCAGCAGCATGGATGAAGACGAGGCGGACGAAGGCGAAGGCGAAGACTCCCCCGACAACACCTCCATCGACCGTCCCGTGCTACCCATGCCAAGCAGGAGCCAACGGGCAGCACAGAAGCCAAACTACAACGTCGCGAATGCCTACACCCACCTCGAACTCGACTCGGAGACGTAAGCCGAGAGCGGCGACCCCACGGATGCTACGCGTTGCGCAGGGCAACGTCGGAAAGATCTCCCCGGCGCACACGGCTTTCCTGCAGCTCTGCTGGGAGGCTCAGATAGATGTGGTCCTCGTCCAGGAACCCTGGACGGGCTGGAAGGACGGAAACGTGCAACTGAACACGCACCCGGGTTTCGACTCTTTCGTCCCGGTCGACTTCTGGGACAGCGAAGGAACCAGACCAAGAGTATTGACCTACACACGCAAAGGGATAGGGATGACGGTGGAGCAGCAGAGGCCTGTCCACACGAGAGACGTACTGTGGCTGGTGGTCGACAAAACGACGACTATCGTCAACGTGTACAGACAACCCCGCGACCCCCACAGCCGCACAACAGGGATACTGCTAGAACTCAAACCCCCGGAGCGAGCTTTGATCGCGGGTGACTTCAACGCGCATCACTACTCTTGGGAGCCCGGGACGAGGAACGGGAACCGGGGAGATGACATCGCAGGCTGGGCAGACGGCCACAATCTCTCTCTTATCAGCGAAGTTGGGGTGGCAACCCAGGATTGCGGACATGTCCTGGACCTGGCTTTCTCTAATATCCCTTTTGCGCACGCGCAGGTCAGCCCACAGCTACACCCGGGAGCTGACCACGAGGCCATCGTGGCCGTCATACCACTACTCAAACGCCCAGTGTCACAGGGAGAGGGCCACCCGCAGCCACGGCCACTGTCAGTGCCCGACTCGGCGCTGCCTCGGCTGAGAGACCTGATCGAAGGGGGGCTAGCTGCGATGCCCAATCTGGGGGATCAACCTACTCCGGAAGACCTGGACGGGCAGGCAAGTCACATCGTCGAGCTCTTCTCCCGAGCCATTGAGGCGGTCGGCAAGAAGAGAGGAAAACATGGTAAAGGCGCGGCTTGGTGGACGGAGGAATGCGCAGAGGCCCACAGAGCATACCGTGCTGCCCGCAACCAACAAGCCTGGGAGACGGAGCAAGATGCGCACCTTTATCTAATGGAGAAACGAAAGGCGTTCCTGAGCACGGTGAGGAAGGCTAAGCGAGCATACTGGGCCGGAAAGATCGATGGAGTCGCTTCAGACCGGGACCTGTACCAGATCATGGGTTGGCGGAAGGCGAGCCTACTGACCAGAGCACCCCCATTGGTTGTGGACAACCAGACGATCGAGGATACTAACGAAAAGGCTCAAGCGCTTCGGGGAGCCCTTCTCGACAGGTTTAGTGCGGAAGATGACGCACCGGGTGACCCGTTTGACGTACCCGTCGTCCCGAGGCGAGCGATTACTTGGCAGGACAATGTTAGCGGAGAAGAAGTGAAGACGGCCACCTTAACAAAGACAACGACCCCTGGTGTGGACGGCATCACAACACGCCTCCTCCAGGCATGCTGGGATGTCATCTCGGAACCGGTCAGGCAGCTATTCCAGTCCTGTATGCGGGCCGGCCACTTTCCTCTGCCCTTCCGCAGAGCTGAGGTGGTCATGATCCAGAAGGCCGGCAGGGATGCCTCCAAGCCCGGGTCCTGGCGGCCGATCGCGCTCCTCTCGTGCCTGGGCAAGGGACTAGAGCGACTGATAGCCAGAAGGATGGCGTCCCTGGCGATTGTCGAGCGCATCATCAGTCCGCAACAGATCGGGGCTCTACAAGGCAGGTCAGCCGTCGATCTGACGACCTGCCTCACCCACGACATCGAGATGGCCCTCCTAAAAGGACTCACGGCGACACTTCTGACTATGGACGTAAAAGGGGCGTTCGACTCCGTCCTTCGGAACCGGCTCGTCATTAGACTGCGTCAGCAGGGATGGCCACATGGCCTGACCAGACTGATCTTTAGCTTCTGCTGCAACCGCACCGCTAGAGTCCGACTGGAAGAAAGCACAACGGAGTACTTCCCGCTGTCATGCGGGCTGCCTCAGGGGTCACCACTATCTCCCATTGCCTTTCTGCTCTACATCGCAGAGATACTTGAAGACGACCCGAACGCGCGATTCGGGTACGCGGACGACATCGCCACTCTGGCCATCAGCCCCTCCCTGGAGAGCAACGTCGCAATACTCAACCGAAGCGCAGCCGGCATTCTCAGATGGGGCTTGGAGAACAAGGTCTCCTTTGACCCGAGCAAGTGCGAGGTCATCCACTTTACTAGGAAGCACGGCCAGCCAGCGGAGCTGCCAGAGGTCCGGGCGGGGGATTTGGTGGTCAAGGCCTCGACGAAACCTGTACGCTGGCTGGGTGTCTGGTTCGACAAGAGACTGTCCTTCCGGCACCATGTCGACGCAAAAGTAGCTGCAGCAAAGAGGGCAGCTCAACATCTGAGACAGCTTACGAACACAAAGAGGGGACTCCCAGCGGCCGCCGTGCGAAAAGCCGTCGTCTCCTGCGTACTGCCGATCGCGCTCTTCGGCGCCGAAACATGGTACGCAGGTATCACGAAGCCGGCTTCGAGACGCCAAGCGGAGACAGACACGAATCCGCCTCTCCAAGGAAGACCCGTCAACACAGGCCAAAAGGGGCTCGTGCAGAAGATCGACAGCGTCATTACAGCGGCAGCAAGGGCCGTTCTGCCTGTCTGGAGGACAACGCCAACCAGTAGCCTCCTCCGAGACGCCGGCTTACCGTCAGCCAAAGTCGCCTTAGAGGGCGTCCGCTTACGGGCCGCAGTCCGACTACAGAGGATTGATCGCCGACACCCGCTAGTCGCGCGGCTCTCCCAGCAGGGACAGCAACAGACGAGACTACAACGGACGGCTGAACTTCTGCCAAGATGCGGAAGACCAGCGTTCCTTCAATCACAGTACCTGCCAAGCTCACAGGATCAGATAGTAGTTCAATGCAAAGAAGAGGCTGCGAAAGCTTTCGAGCGCTGGCTAAAGACAGTACCGGAAAGCCATATGATCGTCTTCTCGGACGGCTCCAGGGCGACGAACGGAGCCGTGGGGTACGGCTTCGTCATCTACCGAGACTCCAAACGCATAGCACAAGGGTGCGGCCGACTCGGACTAGCAGAAGTGTTCGACGCCGAGGTCGAAGGGGCGCGAACCGGCCTCAGAAGGGCTCTGCTCACCAATCGCGGTCATCCAATCCACATATGTATCGACAACACCAGCGTTATACAAGGCATCCGCGGCAAGGCGCCGGACTCGTCACAAGACGCGTTCCTCGAAATCCAAGAAGCGGCCAGGATATTTGATATACGGACGCACTGGTCCCCGGGACACCAGGGCATCGAAGGAAACGAGGCCGCGGACCGGCTGGCCAAAGAAGGAACGACACTGCCGGCGCGGATGGGTCAAATGGCAACACTAGCGGGCATCAAGCGGCTTGCAAGGGAAAAATTACAAAGCCAGCACAGGAGATGGTGGTATAAAGAGCGAAGGCCGCGGTACGCGGACTTGGGGCTTGAGGCAGCTCTGTCCAGCCCTCCTGAACTGGCCTTGCCGCGGGCTACGTTACATCACCTGCTGGCGGCACGATCGGGTCACGGGGACTTCGAGCAATATCACCGACGTTTCAACCACGACGACGCTCTAATGATGTGCTCTTGTGGAGAGGCGAAAGACGTGGACCACCTGGTCTACTGTCGACTAACGCTGGCGAGGAGGCAACGGTGGCCGACCCTCCACTCTCGCAGTATGCCCGAGCCCATAGGCCCTATGGGATCTCTCGAGGCCTACTTCAAGAGATTAATCACCGACCCACGAGGCTTCGAGGCCTTTCTCCGCGTGACGGACTTCTTCCAGAAGATCTGTCTGCGGTAGCAGCATCCACACCTACGTAGATGTGAGTGCGGACTACAAAGAACCTCCCGATTCCAAGGGACGATTTGGGAAAGAATGAAACTGGGGCACCAGCGGGAACCGGGGACAGACAGAACGCGTAGTGGCCACAAGGCATGATTTGGAGGACGATGTAAAGAGACGACGTACTGTAGAGTAGGTAGCCTTGGCTCACGGCCCTCCACGCCATATACCCTTCGGGAGGTCTGCGGTAAGGGCTCTAGCCCGGCCGCCACGGCGTTAAATACAACAACAACAACAACAACAACAACAACAACGTGCATAGCATCACAGCACATTCCACGGCGTGCCTTCGCTTGACGCGGCTCGAATCGGCGAGTTGGCTGAGAAGGTAGTGCTTTACTCTTCTACTCTCTGTCTCATAGCGTGGTTGGCCACAATGGCTTCCGCTTTGTACACATCGGAACGGAAAATTCGACAATCCAGCTCTTGGGACTTCGATCTTTGGGGGAATGGGGTACAACAGACGCTTGTGAATGAATGAATGGTTTTCCTGGTTGGTCATGGATAGAACACTCTTTTGGTATGCATTTTTTCTTAGCTCGATTTTTCAGAACAGTTATTCGTTTGGATATAGAAAAGGAACAACAGAAAAGGAGCAAAAAAAGAATATTGTATAGTAGGCAGCAAAATAGACTCGAGTTGAGAAACTTTTCCGTTGCCGATCATTTTGTGACCAAGGCCTTTCTAAGACCAACAGATCATGATACTGAGAGGTTTGAGGTACCATCCCAACTACTGGCTGGTTGGCAGGAGGTAGTTTCAGACAGCGCGCCTGAATAATGGAAGATTGCATCCATTGCAATTGAATATTGTGACACGCCTGGAAACCGTCTAGGAGGCTGTAATCGTCGGCTAACACTAGTCCGAGTGGGCGAAATCGGGAATCGGAAAAAGGGTGGGGCGACGTGCTCTTGAATGGGGCCGTCTCCCGAACCGGTCGTTACCGTGGGATCGGATGGAAGCCGCATTTCTGGAACAGGCGCTCGGCGCCGCAGATGCAAGACACGGTTCAATCTAGCGCCAGGCGCGCGGAGAAACAAGATTTTTGGCTGAGTCGGTGGGCTTTGGAGGGTTCATCTTTAAAGTTGCCAAGCAAAGCCAAGTCATTCCAAAAAGAAATTAAAAAATTGCTCCAGGTCCTACACAGTCCAGTCGGCGATGTCGCCATCAACTTCAACATGAGGTGATTCATGTCAACCAATCACACAACTCGCAAACGAATTTCATCATCCACCTCCACTGGCGCCATCCACCCGGCAGTGGTGACCTGCAACGGCATCTATGCAATTACAGGAATGATGCTCCGGGAAAATGTCATCATGGATTGATGATGCCATGCGGGCCCTGGCAAAACGACACCGAGAATCGATGTCAAAATGGTCATTGAGCCACGAGAATCTCTAAGCGAGGCATGACCCCGAAGGAAAGGAACATACAAGCCAGCCCACTTGAGCAATCTACTCGCCAATCTCATTTTCCCTCACGCATAGGTTTACCCCGACAGTCTGGTCCCAATCTTTTGGGGTCCGCATTGATAAGCCGTGCGCGTGGCCACAAGGTCTCTTTTTCAAACACGCAAGAGACCTCAGAAACTCGACTTCAGCCGAACAAGCGCGGCTGTTTGTGGTTCTGAGCGAAGCTAGAATCCAACATTCTTCTAACAATAAGGGGAACAAAGCAGCGACAGACACGAGGGAGACAAGCCGAGAACCCATCATCATCAACGACATACAATGAGCGCGCAAACGAATCCCCCGCTTGAGAAGGCGGTTGATGCGCCGGCGAAAAACACCAGCGGGACGGATAGCCCATCCGAGGTTGAACTTGAGGAGAATGCCATTAGTGAGAAGTCGCTATTAAGAAAGCTTGATCTCAAGCTTTTGCCAGCAGTGGGCATTTTGTACCTTCTCTCATTTCTCGACCGATCTAATGGTGGGATTCTCGAGAAAGTCTTTGAAGAGGTAATATGCTAATGTCGACGCAGTGGGCAACGCTCGAATCGAAGGCCTTACTACTGATCTCAACATGAGTATGTCTCCTTAGTCAGACGCACTGGGTCAAGACCAAGCCGTTCAGCTGACAATTGAAAGGTGGTAATCAGTATTTAACTGGTCTGACTCTGTACTTCATCGGTTATGTTCTCTTTGAGGTAAGTGCTTTCACGACATCGTTCCGAAGGGACATGGGCTCGTGCACTACATGTACTAAACGCCGCAGATTCCATGCAACATCGTTCTGAAAAGGACCACTCCACGATTCTGGCTTCCGACTCTGACTATCGCATGGGGCATTGTCGCGACGCTCATGGGAATCGTCACCAACATGGCCGGATTCTTTGTCGCCCGCTTCTTCCTCGGTGTCACTGAGAGTGGTCTCTTCCCTGGAGTGGTGTACTACTTCTCGATGTGGTACGTTCGAATGTTTCAGAAATTCAAGAAAAGTATGGTACTGACCCGAACTTCCGCAGGTACAAGCGTCGTGAGAGACAATTCCGCATCTCCCTCTTCTTCAGCGCTGCCTCTCTTGCCGGTGCTTTCGGCGGCATCCTGGCATGGGGAATCGGTCACATGAGAGTTGTATGGAACAATGGCTGGAGGTGGATTTTCATCTTAGTTCGTGCCACCTATTTTATTCTGGGGAATAATGCCTGACAATCTAATAGGAAGGTATCGCGACTGTGGTCATCGCGGTCGGTGCATACTGGTTCATCCAAAACTACCCGGACACAGCTGAATTCGTTTCCGATAAAGAGCGCCGCTTTATCAGAGCCAGACTGGCCTCCGACAGCGATGCTACGCACAACGAGAAGTTTTCATGGAGCAATGTGATGGATGCCATCAAGGACCCGAAGTGCTGGTTGTATGGTCTCGGCTTCCACACCATGAGCTTGCCGCTGTACACATTCTCCCTCTTCATTGTAAGTTACATGTACTCTTACAAACTCGTCCGAGGTCATGTGGAACATCTTACTGACTCTACCTAGCCTACGATCATTAAGAACCTCGGATATACTGCGGCCGTCGCCCAGCTCCTCACTATTCCCCCTTACGCCGTCGCCTTCGTCACAACATTGACAGTCGCGATCTACTCTGAACGCACCGGCCGCCGCGCATTCTTCATTATGGGATCATCAGGTGTTGCGGCAATTGGTTATATTATCCTCCTAGCCAACTCAGACCCTGCGGGCAAGCCCGGCGTCTCGTACCTTGGGACTTTCTTCGCAGCTGCGGGAATCTACCCCGCCACCGCTCTGGTCCTCTCGTGGCCGGCCATCAATGTATCCGGGCAAACAAAGCGTGCTGTAGGCAACGCTATGCAAATCACTATTGGAAATTTGGGAGCTGTGTTGGGAACCCAATTGTATCGCGCCAATGATGGTCCAAGGTATATTGTCGGCCACTCTTTCGCCTTGGGGTATCTTTTGGCGAATATCGTCGTCTGCGGGATCTTGTATTTTGTCTTGAAAGGTGAGAATAAAAGACGCGAGGCTATTGCACCGGAAGTTCAAGCAATTGGGAATTTGGAGGATTGGCCTGGTGATAAGGATCCCAGATGGAGGTTTCAATATTAGGGCAAATCGGCACTTGGCAGCTTGACTGGTTCAGTGTTCCTTTCAATTCATGGTTCATGTAAATATCGCCGCGGCTGTGTGCTTCTGTGTTGAATCTAGTTCATTTGTGGATTTTTGGTCGAAGATCGAATCGAGCAAACTCTAATACGACTAGGGAACATTCCTAGCATTGTCTGCTGTGCTACACTTGCTACAGCCGTCGCTCATGCCACCTTGGCAAACCCAGTTTCAACAACCCCTATATGTTTCCTGAAGGGCTGCGGCGCCGTGCCGCTAGTCATCGTACACTGCCACATCAATCTCTTCTTTTCCTCGTCCTCCTTATACTGGGACAATTGTCCAGTAATACTATGCATAACTCCGCGGTTATGGAAGATCACGACATCACCTTCCTCCCACCGATGGGCGTAGATGTTCTCCGCCGCCCAGATTCTCTTCTGGAAGCCGTAGACGATTTCGCGGACTTTGGCTAAGTCGTCTACGACTGACATCTGGCCGGTCGCCGGATCTCGGGTTGTCAGTTTGAATACGCAGCAGCCGTGGACCTGGAGGAATGGTCGGTCAGGGTTAAGGGGGTTACGCCAGACCATCTGAGGCTTATCAGTACAACATCGAAAATAATTGAGATGAGTCTGAGTGACTTACGGGATGTTCAGCAACGTTCTCCCAAGACCATTCGGAGAGTTGCTCGATGGGTACCTCTTTTCCCATCGTTGGGATTGACAGGCCGTCTTCAGTCGCTTTACATTGCCTGATGTATTCGTAGGCTTGAGGAGCGTATGTTACGGTCGTGTTCAGAGCAAACTCTTGCTCGGCCGGGGTTAACAGTTGAAATGCTCGCGCGCCTGAGAAGACTAGCGAGAAAGTCAGCTACGCGTGTTCAAAGTGCGAAATCGAATATCAGACTTACAGGCTGTGGATCCAGCCGCAATGCTCTTTTCTTTCCCGTCTGGAAATTTTAGTTTCTGATCAGGCAGGTTCGGCACCTTGACCGCGTGAAGGATCGTGACTTCGCCGGGCAAACGCTGGTAGAAAGGAGTGTCCATGTGCCACCGATATGGACGGGTGTATCCATCGCTGAGCTCCTGTTCCGATAGAGGCTTCTCATGGAACAAAGTGTGATCCTAGTCAAACTCATTAGCTCAGATGTCCTCAAGATGTAAGCAATCAGTCGATCGAAGATGGGCTGAAGGCATACCAGATGAATAACCTCCAATTCTTCCACTCCTTCATAATCTTGAAACTTGCCGCTCCCAATGATACCCACCTGCGGTACTCTAGGAATCCTTCCCGCCTTGTAGGCCGACAGAATATTCCTAGGGTCACTGACAGCCTTCTCACCAGCAGAATGAATATCAGTCGCAGTTGGGTCGAAGACTTTGGTCAGCTTGGGCAGAGTCTCAGGTGCGATACCCTTCTGGTTTCTGATGACCACGACTTGGTTTTCGAATAGGGCTCTTCTGAAAGTGGCAAGGTCTTCTTCTGACAAACCGTCCACGTCCAGGATATTCATAGATGATGGCAGATGAACTTCAGCGCCAATCAGAGAAGACTCGCGGAAAGAGGTCGGGAGCTCCTCGAAAGAGAGCCCCTGAGATGAGGAGTTGAGACTGCCCATTTTGAGTGAACAAGTGGTACGATGGAAGTGACGAGTAGAACAAATTAATACAAGTGATTGATTGCTTGAATCGATGAGCCATGTAAGAACTAGAGTAATTACATGAACTTATAGCCAACTATTCTCGCTTCGACATCAAGGACTTGAGATCTTGTTCCAATCCAGAGCGGGTGGCTTCAGCACACTCTTCCGCACGGAAAGGCTTTTACTTCTCCTGTCATGTCATACGCAGTGACGCGTAGTAATCAGATTATCACAGTCTCTCATTGGCCAGGCAATGAGAAGCATGCGGGCAACCTCCTCAGCTCACCCGCACGACACATGAATGGCCCAAACACTGTTCCCGCGATTATCTCCGGGCGTACAGAGAAGCGGGCTAGTCTCTACAACTCACCCGCACTAGCAAAATGCACCTCTAAGAGGACGTCTCGGTTGGTATATATGTATACAGTAACGAAACCCAAGTGTCTGTCTTAGGGGGGGTTGATCGTCTTCACGAACACGCATCATTTTCTTTTTTTTTTCACTGTTCTCGTCATGGCAGCCGTTAGAGTCAAGATTTCGCCTCTCCCAAAGCCGTTTGAGGAATCAGCGGTTGATTTCGGAGCCGAGCTTTCAGGGATTGATCTCGAACACATCGATGGTATGTTCATGTTTCCAGAAACAGATACTCATACCAAGCTGATCATAAGTCTAGACGAAAGTTTCGAGGTTATCAGGGAAGCTCTCTATAAAAACAACGTTGTCCTGATCAAAGGCCAGCACGGCCTCTCACCAAAAGTCCAATACGAACTTACCCGCCTCTTCGATCCGGAAGCAAACACCTACAGCCATGGCTCTCGCATCGACAAGCGCAGCGTCCTCCACAAAGACCTAACCACCCTACCGTCCCAGCCCCAAGTGCAGGTCATCGGTCACGGCGCCGTCGCTGAGTTCGAAGGGTTGACGGACCTAAAGCTTACCCACCCTCACCACAAGACCTTCCACAAGCATCCTATTTCGGAGGCCGAGGACTACGATTACACTCACTTTTATCGATGGCACATCGACTCGGCCATGTACAATTTGGATCCACCCCTCGTCACATCGCTTTTCGCTTGCAAGGTGCCCAAAGGACGGCGGCAGATCTGTCGCTACGACGACGGGACAGGAGACGAGCTAGAGGTGCCCTTAGGAACGACAGCTTTCATCAGTGGATACCGCATGCTTGAACTACTGTCGGAGGAGGATCAGGAGTTTGTCAAGACCAGCTTCGTCGAGTACGGCGCACACCCGTACATCTGGATGAGCAAGGCCAAAGCGAGATCAAACGGTCTGGGTCTCGTCTCAGAAGGGCTGGAGTTGCCTGAAGACCAGCTTCCGGAGATCGAGCTGGAAAAGGTCAGGAAATACCCCATGGCATGGGAGAATCCGGTGACGGGGAAGTTTGCCATGATGATATACCCGACGCCGGCCCGCAGGATTCATCTCAAGGATGGAACGGTGATGGAGGAGTTGAAAGAGGTCAGAGAGATGATCTACAAGCTGCAACGACCAGCGATCAGCCCACAGTACGTGTATCCCCATGATTGGGAGGAGGGCGATCTCGTTCTCTTCAACAACCACGGCGTCATGCATTCCATTGTTGGAGCCTTTGCAGAGAACGAGACTCGCCTGTTCAGACAGTGTAACATGGCAGCTAGTAGACCGCCCCAGGGGCCCGTTTTCTAGAAAAATGAATGGATATCGTTATGGAATTGTTCTTCTCCGTCTCGACGGGCCTTCAAAGTCCTCGCTCAATTGAGCACCTTGCTCGGCTAACCGATAATTTCAATCGTTAACTCTTGCACTGTCGGACAAGCTCCAACTCGTTCAGTCTTAAGCTCCAACTGTTGTCTCTTGCGGAATGAGCCTCAGCTCTGCCAGCTAGAATCCATGACTACTACGTATGCTGAACCCTGCGAGTAAGATTTACAGTAACCCCATTTCCAGTGCCTCCGGTCATTTCGAACTTGCAGGTGTCTACTGTTAGCACACATGATTCCAAATCAATTAGAGACGACCAATCGTACCTTGAAAAGGCTAACCAGCGTTGCCACAACTTTGTACACCTCGAGGGCGAAAACGTTCTTTCCAATGCACGTCCGCGACCCCTGTCCGAACGTGAGCTCCGTCTTCTCCATCACTGACCTCCTGTTGAGGTAATCATCGTGACTCTCATCTTGTCCTCGCATCCATCTCTCGGGTTTGTAGACGTCAGCGTCGTGGCCAAATACTTGTTGGTCCCGGTTGATCTGGGAAGCCGGGCACCCTATATTGATTCGTCCTGGCACAAACATGCCGTTTGGCAGTTGCAGCCCCCCTGGGTGGGTTATTCGCTGCAGATTGAACGAAGCCGAGCTGTGTAGGCGTAATGCCTCCTTCACAATACCCACGAGGTAAGGCAGTTCTTGGACATCATCAAAGGTGGGGAACGGTCCGCATCGCGCCCCTTGCAATTCCGCGTAAAGCTTGTCCTGCGAGGCCGGATTTCTCGCCAGATACTCGCACATTTCATGGAACGTCTTGCCAGGGCTGAGGCTTCCAGCAATCAAATTCCCAGAGGCCGATATTGCCACCTGTTTGATTGTCATGAGCTCCGGCTGGGTCTCGTGCGTCGCGACAAAGTACGACAGCAGGTCCGGTCGCGTTTCGGATTTGCCTTGGTGGATGCGCTCGGTGACGACGTTAGCGACGACTTTTAGGAAGGGAGATGGCCTTGAACGTCTCATCACGACGTTTTCCTGGACAACCTTGTGTATCCAGGGCATCTGAGAGATGATGGCAACGTATGCGCCGAATCGCTTGATCTTCTCATACAGCCCATAGGTGTCGTGCCCGTCCAGGAACCCGAGGGGTTTTCCTAGTGATAGCTTGGCCACAACATCAAAACAGTCTGTTCATATGTCAAGTTAGAGACACTCATCCACGCACATGAAAGAATACTCCGCTGACAGTTGTAGCACCAGCGACTCAGGTCCAGCGCCTTCTTTTCCTCAACGTGACTGTTGCAAACCTCGACGAACTTCGCAATAAGCTCATCGACATACGGTTCGTAAGCCTTCAATGATGTTAAGGAGTAGGCATTCGATACCAGACGTCGGTACCGCGAGTGGAGCGCCTCGTCCTGAATACTGAGTAAACTTGTTGTTACTCCGGATTGGCGGAAAGGCTTGTAAGCTTCACCCTGTTTAGCGTCCCATGTTGATCAGTATTCGCCCTTCCTTATGATGTAACACGCAGAACTCCAGGAAGCTAACCTTATCAAGTCTTGATCGGACACCGTAAATAACAGGTACCGCCGAAGGATCAAACACGGTGACCGAGCGAGGACCAAGGCGTACCACATCACCGTACTTGTCTCGTAGGTCGTTCATAATGCTTTCCTTTGGTGAAGACCGACCAGTACGCCAAGCTAAATAGACAGCGTACAGGTCTGTATAGCGAGCGAGCCATGGGCCTGGAATCTGAGAAAGACGCGCGTGGCGGCTGTCAACAACCAGTTTCAAAACAAATGTAGCTGCTAAAATAAGAACGGCAATCGATCCGTTAGTCACGTTGAATGAATTCTTGATGTCCATTTTGGTGTAGCTGCACATCCTTTGTTGGTGTTGGTGAAGATACCGTTGCTGTGAAAGTGAGCTGCCGTGAACATATAAGGCTTTCGTTTGCCTTCGACAAACGTGGACGGGTGGCTCAATTACCCCTCCTTGATGAGCCGAGGTTCATTCTGCTAGCCCTCAACTCAAAGTCATTCTAAATCAAGCCCAACGTCGTCTGGGCGGGCGGGATATATCTCAAGTCCGATTGCCGTCTGGGTCCCTCCCCACGACTAGTCGCCTAGGACGGGGAGTGCCAAGATCGATGTATGAGCTCAGGAATGTACGATGGTGAACACGTGTCTCGTAGTTGGAACTCGGAGCTGAGCGTAGCACGACGAACCCTACCCCTAACCCCAGGAGAGTCATCTTTTCAGCACAACGAAGTTTTCCTAGGCAGGAACAACTTCCACATGATACACAGTGTTTTGATCCATCTTCTGGTCAAAGCCCTAGATTGGTTGAACTTTTTTTTATAAGGGTCAATCAGTCTTCCTTTTCCAGAACCTCTTATATCTGAACATCTACAACTTGCTCGAGTGGGTTTTGGAAGTGGCAGAATCGGTTATGACGGAAACCTTCGGTTATGGAGTGCCTGACCTCTGTTCTCATAATTCCTACTCTACACACAGTTCTTGCTATCTCTGCTTTCCTCATTGCTCTCTCTTTTCTCCTCTTCAGATACCTTGTGAATACTTTTTGAGAAGTGTAGTACGATAATTATCCTAATGCCAGTAGCTATGAGAAGAGGGCCACTCGAGCGTTAGCCGGCATCCTAGTCTGTCACCCCCTTGCTTATTCTGAGCCTGCCAGATGTTGTCTGAAGAGAGTTTTATCCAATATGGGTTCTACCCCGTGCATGGCGGAAATACCTACCCGCTTTAGGAATGTTTAGCCCATCGCTCATGAATTAGGTTTAGTACAAGGGCCAAGAACATGACGAAAGGTACGAACTGCGATTGGAGCATTGCAAAATTGAGATGTGATTGCGCATGCACACCCGGCGACAACTACGAAAATCATGGTCACGTATTGGATGATATGCACTACTCAACTCGCTTCTTCAACTTCAACATGCTCTACGATGTAATGATTAGTCAACTTAGAATCGTTACGGCTCGGGTCAGTCAATGTACTAGAGCGTTTGCTGTGTTTTGTCTCACTTCAATGACATTACTTTGACACTACTACGCTACTTTTCAGTAGGCTATGCATTTTTATTCCAGTCACATCGCTCTAAAAACAACTATCCTCCCTCCCCTCCCTAGAGTAGCTTTACCCTCATCCAATCACCCCGGAAAGCCATCGATAAGAGGTACATGGTTGCGTTTTCGAGGTCATCTCTACTCTGTTTGTTTGAATAGACCATAGAGGAGCATTTTAGTGGCTCTATGACGGGTTTCACACATAGGCGCAGCCCGGAACTAACTTGCAGGCATTGATCGTGAAACTCTTGCCAGCACTCAAGCATGCCTGAGCGCAGGAATCGCAACAAGACAACTCAGGGCATTAGCCAGCATGCTCAAACATCTCGAGACTTGGTGCGGAGTTGATGGAGATAAAATACGCCCCAGGTCTTGCATCTTTTCTACCTCAGCTCCAGGCGCCGCGAGACTGAGCCCAAGGAAGAACGCTGCGGTAACGGAAGAAAGGTTCATCTTGATGATTTAAGATTTAGGGGAGTTTGCCTGCGTGGTGTCGTAGCAAGCGAAAGTTGATCTTAAGCCAAAACGAATGTCGGACTTGCAAATGGTCGGAATGTGAGCTTTTACGTGCCGCACGATGTGTGTATAACCAGGATCAAGACTACACCACCTCTCGTTGGCTTGCTTGGCTTCTCCCTTAGCCAACCCTGGTATTTCGTTTACCAGTGCCGGTTCTCAGGGCAGACTCCGCGAGCGAGACAAATCATCCAAGGACAAGCCAATCCAGGCATCTATCCAGCTTGACTTCTGACTGACTCGCTAACCGCATTGTGCATTTCTTCTCGATATATCACGGAGTCGCGGAACACCGGAAATTTCCATTTGCATCAACGTGGCAAATTTTGTGAGATGTGATTAGAGTGTTTACTGCTTCGTAGTGCTGACATCAACTTCATTCATATCTGTTCACCCCCTTAGTTGGTCATATTGACCAGCCGCTGGCTTCAGGTTGGGTTATCGCCAAGAAGGTTATGATAAGATTTTACGCAACCCATTCTTGTAGCTTGCTGGTGATGGTGACTCTGTCATTCGGGACTATCTTCCAAACTAAAACTATGTCTGACGTTAAGCGAACTTCACTGCCTCCGTCTTTTGTCCTTGGATCCCTTCTGTCGGCTACCGCAACGAATTCCGAATGGGACTGAAAAGTGGCCTCTGCTAGTTACATGTAGACTCGACGTAACGTCTCCAAGGACATGTTGCAATACCCGCCCATCCTTACACATTGACTCTTATGTCCCTTTGGGTATCTTGAGTCTACAGGCCTAAGGAATGAGCATCTTGAAGTTCAATGATACGGTAGCTCTTGAGACGCGGAAGGCCCCAGACATGTGTTTAATGTTGTGGCTAGAGTCGAAAGCAACCCTCTCCACATTCCCTCACGCCAGGATGATCTGTTTGCGGCAATATATTCAGAAGGTGGCATCATAGGCACGAGAAAAGTCTTAAGCCCTGGAGTCCAAGCCAAACATTGGATGTGATGCGCCCTACATGGATCTTGAAGTCACAAATAGCTAATCTAGTTGGTCTTTTCATCAAATGCTTCGAGGTATATACTTTGAAGTGCGCTACGAAATTAGATGTATGAGAGACTATCATTGCCAAAGAATAATGGTCAGTTTAGAGCCCTCTACGGGTTGGATGAACAGGAGATCAGTCGCGAACTCGCGATTGCAAGCAATACTAGACGTACGCATTGTCGTAGACCGACTTGATTGCAATGAGCACAATTCAACTGGCCTTGTCGACTCCGTCTACGAAATTTGCGTCACAGAACAACTCAATCTGCTACCACAAATCACGTAGCATGTTGGAATACCCAATTATCGTGAAAGTCCTGGATGGGGACCTGAATGGGCCCATTGGCTAACACAACCCCCCGTTGCGCCACAAGCCGATGCTCCCACACCTCGACGGTAAGAATCAGAAGAAAGATGATTGGCAACAGCCGGAAGGTCGGTATCATCAGCCATGGAATTATCAGTGATCCATCGCACTAATTTCAGCCAGAGGACTGTCTGAGTGAGGACTGGCAGGAAGTAGATTGCCCACAAACCGATCACCCCGAATTCCCTTCTCAAAGCGATCACGAAGGGTCCATTCTTCAAAGGACCGATACCATGATTTGCAATGAGTATGGTGCATAGCAAGACGAAGAGTAGGGATGCGTTCAAGAGATCATGTGATGTGTAGTTATTGCGAATGGATTTCGAAACCTGATAATGTATGCCGAGAGATGGGAGAGTGAAGATTACCTTGGGATGAATCTCAGACGTCTAGGAGGAGTATTCATTTGGTCCCCGGTGTGTGTACACTTGTGTCTGTTTTTGCGAACATGCGTGCGTGTGCGTGCATATTCGTGTCTTTACCAGTAACTAGCCGACATCTGCTTTCCAAGCTTCTGGCTGCGTTTTATTATATAAGTATATCCAGTTGCCACACGACTCGTGTTCTTCAGGCTGGTTTATCTTTAAGTACTAAAAAGTGGTCCTATGCTACTCAGACGCAGCAAGGGAAGGCTGCCTGAGGACAAGTCGATGTCCAACATCACGTAGAAACAACAGACAAAGAAGAGTGGAATTCGACTTGGACTCTGAGAAGGTTCAGGACGGGCTCGAGTTATGTCATTACCATTGTACCTATCCTGAATAAAACCGCGAACATTCCTAAAAATAAATGTTAGGTTGTTCATGGTCCTTCTTCCGTACAGGGGAATGGTTATCACCTATTAACTGTGACAAGTTGTATTCAATACTCCTGGATGGAGATAGAAGGAGATTGTCAAACAACGATAGTAAAGTCAGTCTCTGTATCGAGATTCATATAACTCTCTTCAGCATCACCTTCGATCTAACCGTTGCTCTGCTCAAACCCTTTCAACAATAGACCTCTTCCATGAAGACATTCACTCTGACATGATGTCACACAATTTTGAAATGTATTGCATATTCCTACTACATCATAGGAGCACACCAACTTATCGAGGTCTCCGAGTTACCCCTGACCGCTCATCCATCTTCCACCGCAGCGTCCAGATCATTCCTTGAGGACTAATGCCTAAATACCTCATCCGACGGTAGCTCGACTACCCAGAAGAGATACTAGATCGCGTCCTTGGGGCTTGGTCTATTGGAGTCAGTACTTCTTCTCCCTTAGGTCTCTTCTAAGTGCAACAATTTTCAGCATGATCTAGCCTGTCATGTTCTTTCGACATGCAGCCTTACCATGCATATCCTTGTCTAAGACAAGAAGCGGAAGACTACTAGTAGACTACATATATGGAACATGCTCATAGGTTCACGAGGAACGACTTTGGTTGGCATCAGTCATACAACGAAGCCATCACCCTCTCATTCACTGCTTCTACCCTTTGAGACTTCACCTCGAGCTCTCAGCTACCTATTATCATCTGTCCCATTGCTCATGTCCCATTGATAAATAGCCCTCTCCTGAGGCCGCCATGGCTCGGCTCACACCTCACAGTAGTGACATCACTGAAAACTATATGACAGAGCTTGACTCCAAGCGATGAGTCTTGCTCAGCAGACGCCACTTCTACCTCATAGAGACAGCGGAGCTTCACCTTTGGCTTCACTCCTATCTACTATCCTCCTATTCCCTGCCTACCCTCTGATGTTGTAAGCCTCCACTCGCCCTGCACTCTCCTTACTACTGGCTAACCCAATGTCCCCAGGAGACCAGAAGACCTCACCTAAAGGTGTCAACGGACCATTCGCGACATCTGCCCCTGGGCAGGGGCTCCACCTTGGGTTATTGGAAGGGCGGTCGAAGTGTTGTTGGACGGCTTTCAGAGGTTCGTTACTCCCCTAGTATATATATACGCTCTTTTTGATTTTTGAGTCTACATGTAGTCCCGGCTTTTTTCTACTCTTCATCCGCGACCTTACTGCGCAAACCAATCCCGCTTTGGCGGTACTACTCCCACTTCTTTCTCTGCCCGTCTCGGGCCCAAAGCCGCCAATCGCTCATTCTGATTCGGGTACAGCTGCAGACTCAGATCAGACAACGACCCTTAGATGGGCACAACCTCCTTCGACGACGACCGCGCCGCCGCCACGAGAAGCACGGGTACCCCAATCCACGGCGTCGCAGACGCCCCCAAGATCCGACCCGACCCCATATCCCCCCCGAACCTCTGGACGAAACAACAAACCACACAACAATCATCAACGGCAGGCAAGCAACCTCTGCGCGAGTACCACCGCCGCACAAGCTTCCAGACTCAGTGCCGCTCCACGGGTCCAGCGCCTCTCGCAAGCGCGGACTCCAAAGACGAAGGCGCACATTACATCCCGCCGCACTGCGAGAGAGAGAGAGAGAGAGAGAGAGAGAGAGAGAGAGGCCCAAACCGCTTGCTGTGACTGGCTTTCCGATGCTCCAAGGCAAAGGAAATTCAAAGAAGAGCAGCGGTGGATCTACGCCTTCATCTTCATCGAGTTACAGCGCCATCGTGTATGTGGCCAGTATATGTGACCAGTATAAGGTATACGCCAAACGCGAGCGGGAGAGGCCTCTCAAGCGGAACACCAAGCCATCCCCGCCCAGCATCTCAGACTCACTGACCAAAACGGCCGCGAGAGGAACAACGTAGTCTGCACGTCACCTCGCCGAACCTCGAGGCCAGAACACGACTCCCTCTCCGCATCTCCCATCGCCGAAGAAGGAAAGCCACATGAATACCTTCTTCCAGCGCCGCCAGCGGGGAAAGAGGTATATCGTGGCGCTCTGGCGATCTGAACTCATCGCAGAGGGTATGGCAGCCTACGATGCGGCAACCTCTAACCGATACATACTTTGGCAGCTTGACGGAACGGGACGAGACAGAGGTCGATGGGATCCTACGAACCCAGCGGGACTAAGCTGAGGCGGTGCGCCGCGCACTGAGGAGGGAAAGCGGCTGATGGATGCATGGGACGAGGGACAAATGGCGGGAAATGTGAGGAGGTGTTGGTGATGGGGTAGCGGGAGGATTAGTGTAGATCCGTGGTGTGTGCTGTGGCTCCTGAACGCGGTGGAGGACCCACTTGCTGGCGACGCACGCGGGACTGCGTCCGAGACGATCCCCGGAGCCGAAGGATGGCGTCTCGGCTGACGTGTTCGGGCCGCTGGCGTGTGTGAGAGACGGCTTTCTCAGCATGTAAAAAGGGACCGGGGACTGTGATGACGCGAGCAACTTTGCTGGAATATGTCTCGGGAGTCGGGCAATGGAAAGCCACCCCGGGCCGAATGGAAATACGGGACAGTAGAGCGTGATGGGACCGGTCGAAGTAACACCGCTCTGGTATAAGAGGTAGCCACATGAACGGTTAGAGCCTGATGAATATGATTCGCCAGCTTCTTAGAGTAGAGTGCCGGGCTCAAAGATATCGAGATTGAGGGAGTGCAACAAAAAAAAAAAAAAGAAAAGAAAAAAAGGAGCAAGGCTGTTCCAGCTCGTACTGGAGTCAGTGGACTCGTACATGTAAACGCATAGGTGGCAGCATCAAGATTCGCCAAACGAGAGTATTCACAACCAAGAGCTCCGGCGACCTCGACTCCGCCAACAGCTGTCCCCAATGCGTGTAATGTTCTTGAAAAAAAAATCGCCTTCATTATTCGCATCTTTCATGCGAAGCAAGAAAGTGGAGATTATTGGTAACCCGCGGTACCTTTGCTAAACACTACCACTGCCGTCCTCCTCTAGACAAACGGCTCTTCCTTGAAATGGAACCAAATCCCTCGAGATCCTATCCAGATGTCCCTTGTATCAAACAACCCGGAAAACGCCTTCTTTGATGATGGATAACAAATCATCCCCGTGGTATACATTCAAAAAAACACAAGTCTCTTCTTGCTTCCCGAAAAAAAGAGTCGTTCCCCCGCCAAGTCCCGTAAAGAGAACGCCCTTCCATGTAGAGAACAAGATTCCTCACGTCGTCGAAACAGAGCCCTCGTATCCAACTCCGGAAAACTTGCGCCCTTCCCCCCATTTCTTTCATCTAAAGGTCGGTTCTTTTTGTTTTGATCAACCCCCCTCCCCCCTCTATGATGCACCTTGGCCCCTTGTTCTCATGTTCATATTCAATGGTCCGGAAAGGCCCTTCAAGACCAAAACGATCCCTCGGTCTGAGTCCGCTGCCACTGCTGGGCCTCCGCAAGCCTCTTCTCCAACTCCTCATTCTCCTTCCACAGCTGCGAATTCTTCTTCTCCAAGTGCGAGATATACTCGGTCGCCTTGCTGAGGATAGTCGCCTTGTTGAGCTTGCGCGCGGGCATCAACCCGCCCAACTCCTCGACGACGTCAAAGGTCTCGTCGCTCTCGGCTGCGTGCGTGGCGTGCGGGGCGGCGTGCGGGTTTTCCGTCTGCTGGACGACGCAGCGCAGGGAGGGGACGGCGTCGCGGAGGGCAATGATTTTTTCGTTAATGTTGACGCGGTAGCGCTTCTCAATCATGTTGTGTGGGTTCTTGGAGGGTTCGGCGTGTTTTGTGCGGCGAGCTGGGGGTTCGGGGGAGGCGGAGCCCGAGGAAGCGGAGGAGGCGGAGGATTTGCGCTTGAGGTCGTTTGAGCGCGGGGATGTTCGTTGTTGTTGTTGCTGTTGCTGCTGTTGTTGTTGCTGTTGCTGTTGAGGACGGGAAGACGATGCGGATGTTGTCGTGCGGGATAGTCGCGGGGACTTTGTAGGATGCTGGGATTGTTGAGGTTGAAGTTGGGGACGGGCGGCGGGCGCGTCGAGGGTCTGGAAGAGGGGTTGGGTGTCGTTGATGCCCTCGCGGCCAAAAGCGACGGCGTCGGACATGAGGTCGGAGGGGTTGGCGCTGGGGCTGAGGGTGAGGTTTTGGGGGGAGAGGAAGGACATTGGGCTGCCAAAGGATTCGCCGTAGAAGACGTCGAGGTCGGGGGAGAGGGCGGGCTTCTCAAAGTAGGCGGGCCAGTCGGCGCCGGAGGGGAGCTGGAAGGAGGAGGTCGGGAAGACGGGGGAGACGGGGGAGCCGCGGGACGGGGCCGAGTCTGCGCTGAAGTCGGCCTGGGTGTCGTAGAAGGAGAGCGGGGAGAGCTCGGGCGGGCTCTGTGGGACGTGGTGTTAGTTGAATGTTTGAGGTGGAGAGATTGTTTGTGTAGGTGTGTGTGTGAGAGAGAGAGAGAGAGAGAGAGAGAGAGAGACTTGATGGCCATTGGTGTAAGGTCGTCGTGTGTAAGTCGGGAATGGCAGGTTGAGTTTAAAGGGGAGGGGGGAAGAAAAGTGTACATACCATGGATGGAGGCATCGGAGGTACTTGATAATAATCAAAGGACTGTTGTTGAGCCATGGTGCGATTCATGGAGGGGGTCAAGTTGACTGGGGTGTGATGTGGGACGGGATCTGACGATGGACCGGTCTGGAGAAAAGTGTCGTTGATTGAAGATGGATGGAAGAGGTGGCGTTACTCGGGAAGTGAGTTGACGAGGGAGTGATGAGATATGTGTGTTGTGTGTGAGTGTGAGTGTGAGTGTGAGCGTGAGTGTGAGTGTGAATATGTGAGGGTCAGTGTCGAGAATGCCCGATGGCCGAGAGAAAACAATTTTTGGTATGATGTTATTTTGATTCGAGGCTGATGGTTCGAGAGTGGACAGGTGGGGAGACACAAGACGGACGGCAAAGCTATATACTAGAGGCAAGAGACAAAAAAAAAAGATGGAATGAAGCATTCGCTGGGCAGTAGTGCATACGGATACTCGGTAGGGAGTAGGTATCGAACCGGGGTCGAGATCCGAAAGCTGGGATTGCGCGAGACACACAAAGTACGGTAGGGTGGATGAGGAGGATAGGATTGGGGAGTGAGAGGGGGGCGTGATGGTAAGGCGGGCGCGGGTTGGAACGGCGAGCAAAACTGGCGATGGACGGGCTCGTCATACGAGTGAAGGACAGGCACAGGCACGGGGGGTGATTGACGAGAGGGAAATGTGACAAGGCCAAGCAAGGGGCGTGTCGATACACCTTTACCTTGACATTGGATGAATTGGCAAAGTAGTAGATGATGGGGTCTGCATAGGAGATGGAGATGGAAATGGAAATGGTACGGGCGGACGGATCCGACGGTGGGAAAAAAAGACTGATGATTGACATGAGATGTGCTGTGGGGAGTCTCTTTGACACATGCACGAGGGCGGGTCCCCGACTCTTTTTGGGACTCTTTTCACTGCAAGACTCGAGATGACCCAGACTCGTTACATATACAGTCTGCGAGAAAAGAATGCAAGAATACCCTGTACAGTCAGTCTACAACGACGGGGTTACTTTCGAGAGCCGTAGGGAAGGCATATTCCAAGGTTGGGAATAGGGTCATCGGGGCGGACACTCTCGACGGAGGCAACAGCGCTCTCCCCCTCTATTTTACAGGTCTATTTCACAGGTACCTCCACCACTGTCTCTGTAGGTACCTTGTGCTGCAGCATTCCTCTGCCTATACACTAGGCAGCCTACCTAGGTACCTTACAGTAAGGTGCCCGGGTTGTCGCCCACGCCTACTTCCAGACCAAGCTAGGCGGGAAAAAGCAAGACGGCGGATGACAAGGTCAGTAACAAGGTCAGGGGTGTGTGAGTGTGTGCGCAAATCCCGAATGGGGAGAGGGAACAAGTCAACACGACGAGATGGAAAGAGAATAGAACGATGGAGGGGCATCGCGGGACCTTGGCGGCCACTACGCACCCGTCGCCGACTCTGTGGGACGTCAATTGAAGCATCCCGTACTATGGACCAAGGACCAAGCACCAAGCACCAAGAGATGAGGCCATCTCATCGGGAGCGAGCGCGCTTTTTTCCCTTTCATCGCGATCTGGTCTACCGCTGGGCGTATCGTGGACCAGGGGCACCCGTCATCATCTTGCATGCAATCTGGCCATGAAAGACGAGGGCGGGTTTACAGAGTATGCGGGTACCCTACGAATATGTTTGCGGTTCAACTTCATCCATCGAAAAGGAAAAAAAAAAAAAACATTGACACTCAGGAACCTTGCAAGTCGGATATTTCCAACCTTGGTTGTGGTGCCAAATGTGCCTTCAATCTCGTGCCATGGGATGTGATACGTCAGGTACGAACGAATAGCTATGGAATGCATCTGATTCAGGTATCCCTTCCGTCACCCGCGATCCCCGGGCTTCCCTCCCTCCTGTCAGAAAACGCGCCCAAAAAAGCCCCCCAAGATCTGTTGTCTATCTTTGGCCAAGATGAGGAGGAGGAGGAGGAGGAGGAGGAGGAGGCTAAGAAGGGGGGTGTGAGACTTGCGAGTTTTGTCGAGTCGTGAAAAAGCTGTTCCAACTTGGACGTCTGGCATTACCTAATTGGACGTAAACGGCGGATGGGACCGGTACACATTGGATGGAAAAGGTAGATCCGCGTGTCTGTTGCTTTTTGACAGCATCGTCGCTCGTGTACCGAAGTAGCCATCTATGAAGGCATGTTACCTCCTTGACGTGCATAACGACATCCTGGACACTGGTATTCCCTACACAAGGTACGAATACAGTGGTGGGATCATGGCTGACGTCGTTTGCACGGTTGCTCGGTGCCTCGTCGACGATCAAGCGAGGACCTTGACCTTGTTTCCTCGGCGGGGTGGTTACCGCGCTGTAGGATCACAACCAAGGCAGTCTGTTGTGAAGCTGTCACTGGTAAGAGTCTGCTCCTCCTGGCGGCCGTTGCGTCTCGATCCTGGGGGTGGCCGTTTGGCAGGTGGCTCGCGGCAGGCAGAAGACGATCGAGATCTCCAGGGTCCGCCTCCCACCCGGGCGCCGCACTGAGACAAGACGGGTCTCCCACTACTTGAGTACCAATGTACTACCTACTACTCCGGACTCCGTAGCTGAATTCCACTTCCCTGGCACGGGCAGCCGGTCTCGTCAAACTCCTACAGACTACGACGGAGATGCTCAAGCTGCAAAAGAATGCAAGGCTTCTCTCGGGCGCATCGCCATGTGTGGAGGCTTGCCGGGCCACTCGATCACTGCTGCCGAACACTGATTGCGGCTACACGTGCTGTTTACTCTGACCATCCTCTAGGTAGGTAGGTATTCCCACTGCCCAGCTCTTGTCGGGCAAGGCAAGTACATTGGCAGAGCTGAAAAGAGGACCAGACGCTTGCGACCGAGGGTATTGCTCAGTCAGACGCCCGAAGATGCCGAGTCACGGAGCCGAAGGGTCAAGGATTTCGCGTCCAGTTGGGAGAGTGTGCCTGATTCCTGAGGGCAGCAAGGGCGGCCCGCCGGTTTCCGGCAACGGTACGGATACAGCTCAAGGATGACGGCGGTGCGGATAGTATCCATCTACGCAGTGCTCTCTCTGTACTCACTTGGTATTGGTAGGTACTGTAGGCAGTCATAGAGGAGACGAAGAGATGGAACGAGTCATCCGTAATCGCTTCGCAATGCCTCGATACAATAGATACTACGTACAATGGGCAGGCACAGCAGATGGTAGAGTGCAGTCACAGCCCATGGGTAGGCCAATGGAGGGATTGATATTGGAGGGCCTTGACAATGTGCCAAGTCCGCTAAGGCTGAGTGAGGTCCTGACGGGTTCCAAGGTTGAGAGATGAATTGTTGATGCTGGCAGCTGCAAGCTAAGGTTGATGGATGATATGGATCCCATGTTGATGGATGGAAGGCGGGGTGGTCTGATTTTCATGCAGCGTCGAACGTCCCAACGTCGGTGCCAAACAGGCCATCCGCCGACGGAATCGAACGAGGCACCGCCGGGGGAGGGGGGGGGGGGGGGGGGAGGGCACCCGCTCGGCCCAGACCGGAACCAATGGCACGGGGGACTTGTCTGCGAGTAGTCATCAAGTATCCCTCAAGCAATGCTTGTATGGCAGAGTACATGCCACACGACATGGCCAAGGTCTTCCGACTGTTCCCGTGCGACTGTTGAATTTTCAGTGTGGCCGTCTTCTCGATCCATCTTCATCTCTGCTTCATCCAACAACATCTCATTCCATCTCCAGTCTCTTTTTTTTTTTTTGATTTTATTTTTTTTTTCACTTTGTTTCACACACCCACTCGTACAGCAAGCATCTTCACGAAGATCCCGTCAAAGTCAACTTGCAGACTGCCATTCATCAATGCCCAGGCTGATGGCCGCTACGGATCGCCCTGTTCCCTGCATCCGCGCCCATCCTACCGTGCCTACGTGCTCGCTTCTCCTCACTTACACCCACAGCTCTCCAGCCTTCTCCCACCATGAAACCCCCCCCAATTTCGCGGCTTCTCGCCAACCTCTGCACATCATTTCGTACTCTCTCCCCGCCGAGGGAATACAACGTCAAAACTCACAATTCACTTGTTACTTGAGAGACAGTGACAACAACTACAACAGGCAGCATCTGCGAACCGAGTGACGTCTAGACCACGGGCGGCAGAGGGGGAAAACATGCCAGGCCAAGCCCTATTTTACTAAGCTCTCGTCCAGTCTCTGCCCTTTGCTGCAGCTTGCCTACCGCTTCGAGGAGACATTGCTGTTGATCCGAATGGATTCATATAGATTCGATACACGCAACCAACGGGTGCATTACAGTACAACCCGTAGATTCGATTGCGCCCATGCGGATGAACGCATTGCATTCGATCCTGCCATCGGCCCCCTTTCCGCCCGGGGTTCATCCAAATCCCGACCCTCTCTCTCTCTCACTCGCCGTCTGCTGGCACGGTGGACCTCGGGAATACAATTCTCTCTGTGCCTCCAAGCAAGCAAGCAAGCAAGCAGCCTTCTCCAGTTCCCCTCGCTTTTACTTTCTAATTGCGTAAAGAGTCAACAAAAAAAAAACATGTACAGCCCGGTGGTCCCGGGTGCCCTCACAAAGTTCGCCGATTGAAGAAATACCAAGACCCCGAAAAAGGACGAGCACCAGCATCTTCCGTCTTCGGCGATTCACTTACCCAACCAAAGCTGCGACGACGGTCACCACACACGACACACGACAACCCCTCGGAAAAAGAAAGAAGAAGAACAGGAACCGAAATAAGCAAAGAAACCGACACGCATACTCGTTCAAGACATTACCTGCTGCAAGCCTGCACCATCACGGCCGCCGGCGCGGCGCAACGCATTCGCGGAGGGCCTCCCGGGCGGTTCTACCTGCAGGATCTACCTTGTGCTGTGCTGTGCTGTGCTTCCAAGTAGCAAGCGTACATACCCTCCAGTCCTCCGTACATGACTACTCAACCCTACCCTACCACCCTCCCCACCTTAGCTCGAGGAGCTGAGGTGGTACATCAGAACACTAGGACGAGGACCCTGCAGCTCCTGTCCTCCGAGAAGCTAAACCCCTCTTGGAGTCTCGAGAGGAAATAAGGCGGGGGTGCCGGAGAAAGACAGACTATTTTTGCAGTTTGAGTTGGCACGCTGGCAAGCTGCAGAGTGGCAGACTTTTTTGCCCGCAACGAAACCTGTCCGTACAGAGGCAAAGTATGGTTCGCATGGGCCTCGGTTCGTCCCTTTTCTTGCATGAGAATTCCTTTTTCCTTCTTTCTATTTCACGTTCCCCTTGTCAATCAATGTCCAGTCACAAGCACATACTTTCCAACGGCGCGAATGTGACGGGCTGTTTGTATCCGTCGTACCTTGCTGGAAGGCTGCCATCCAGGGCCCCTTTCACAATGTTTGCCTGTCAATTTTACATCCCTCCCACCTTCCAGGGTGCCAGCCAGCGTCGCTTACCGTGGGGGAACTTTGATGTGGCGTTGAGCATGGGGAGGGGAGTCGTCGCACTCCACGTCGGTCTGCGGGACTTGCAGCTCGCTCACATTGGCACACGTTGTTGGCTCGGACTTGCGACGGTTTGTGACGAGTCAAGACTTGCATATAGGCATGGCTTGTATCGTTGTTTTGTTTGGTTCTCTTTTGTCTGTCAATGTGACGAGACTCTCGGCTGCGCAAGTTGCTCTGGTTGAGGTGACTTACTGGACAGTCTTGGCTGTGTTCGACGTGGTGACGGATCAAGCGATCTAATGAGTCTGGGATGCTCACTAGTCGCCGACTGATTGTCTCTTGGCACAGTTTCTACCGCATCTTGACTGAAATGACTATCGATATGCTCCGGAACATGAAGACTGCAATGTTCAAAGCATAGAAAACTGCTACGATGGCAAATGGACCACCAATACTTGCTATCCCATCACCACCAGAGACACTCACCTTTGCCAGATCACTCTGAGAATAACCAGCTACTTTACACGTCCAGATTTCAACAAACCCATCATGTCCTCCAGTAAACCCAAGCCAGAACGCCCTCCACCATCCAAACCCACCCTCAGGTCCCCCAACGAGGACATCCTCCCCTCCGCCCTCATCGACACGAACCCCTTCTACATCGACATGAGCCAAGGTACGCACCGCAAGGCCCTCCGCTCCTTCACCACAACCCTCACCCCACTCCTCCGCCCTCGTGCCTCAGCAGAGATCCTCGCAGACCTGCAACCCGACCAAAATAACAACCCTCCCGCAGAACACATCCCCTCCCGCCCCTCCACACCAACACCATCCCGCCGCCCTCGAACCCCCAAGTCGCCAGCAAGGACATCACCACGTAGTAGCACCACCACCAGCCCTTCTCAAGATGTATTCGAACCCCCAAAGAGCAACAGCACACCCGCCATGCGCATCTTCAAGGACACCAGCCCCGCCGCCTCCTCAGGCACCTCGAAGCGCAGCGTAGATGTATACGGCGACATCCGCATGAAGAACACAACCCCTGCATCCCACCGCCTCTTCCTCCGCGCCCTCGTAACGCAGATAGTCCACGAGACGTTTTCCCTTGAACGCGCGCGATTAGCAGACGAGATTCGCCGCCAGGTTCTCGCGTCGTTGGAACGGCTTATCGGACAGCTTGTACGAGAAGAGTTTGACGTCGCGCTGGCGGAGGCGTTGGAGGAGCCGTTTGAGACGGGGGAGGGGGGCAGGGCGAGGGAGGCTGCTGTTGTTCGGGTTGTGAGGGAGAGGTTGGCGGGGTTGAGTTGTGATGGGCTTGTGGAGGTGTTTTGTAATGAGGAGGTTTTGGGGGTGTTGAGGAGGGTTGTTGGGGTTGTTGAGGGGGGGGTTTGTGGGATGGGTTGGGATTTGGTTGCGTTGTAGGTCTGGTGTTGTGGTGTTTGTTGGTGGTGGTGATGAGTTTGCTTAGATGGTGAGTTTGCTTAGATGGTCTAGATGGTCAAGTTGTCGTTGAGACACGTATTGTCAAGTATGTTTTGGTGTTTGAAGCTCTTGAGGTTGGAGATCTTTTGGAAAATGTAATGGCTATGGAGGGAGGTCTGGTGTTAAAATTCTTTTTGTTTTTTATCATGAAATTGGTAAAGCGTAAATCTAAGAGCGTCAGAGTGATCCGCTTAAAGATGAATTGGTTTTCTGGCTTATTCAACCTTGAGATTAACCCGACGGAATTCAACTTTTGGGAGAGATGACGGAGTATGTTATTGACACGATACAGCTATCATGGTACGATTATCATGGCCAAGATTCGTACCAATGACCCGATATACTGATGTTGGTGGGAGTATGCAATACCGAAAGATGTGAACGAGTTATGTACAAGGGGATGGCGTCGCGCCGGAGAGTTTGATCATGGCCATCATGGGTCTCTCAGACATTGAAGCCCAGCCAACACTAAGGCGCAGGCGGACTCAGTCGCCAATGTGAGCCAGTCATACTACTTTAGCTGTGATACCATGACACAGGGTGCCTTCCTGGGTACCAAGTACGATGATCATTGAAGGCGGTTTATGTCTGTCAGTTGCTTCGGCTTGTTGCTGTGTTTCATATCCTCTGGGACTTCATCACAGTGAGATAGTGAGAGTACAGCATAAATTCCTCGATATTGACTGAAATCTCATGAGCTGTAACCAAGAGCTTCATAGCATTGTGAAAACTCATATCCATGAGCCTTGAGGCCATAGTTCCGTACCCTTTACACCATGTTCTATCTCGGGTGAATTTAAGAGAGGACGAGCAAGGTAAGCTCGCCTCATGGACAGTTCAACTCTAAATGGTTTCGTTCGTATGGCTATCGCTATTGTCAACGCTGTTACTATTGCTATAACTGCCAGGCTTTTTCTCTATTCTGTGTGTTTTCATTCATATACAACTATAGAAAACGTCGGAGAAAGAAATTCATGACTTGGTACACCAAATACCTGGGTAAATTTACTAGTCAAGTCCTCCTGGGTGTTCCTTTTTATTCTCTTCTCCTCTTTTTGTGAATAAAGATTTACCCGTTGAGTGTAATGCATTGGATATGATCCAGGAGACACCATTGACTCCAAATCAAATTTACTACAAGTAGTCTCACCATTACGCACTTGGAAAACTAAACCTTCACACCGGAGGGAAAACATAAATGAAGGTGAAGTTGAGTCTAAACACTTGCGTCTACAAGGCTCCCACTCGATGGTGCTTACACCCTCATCGAGGTGAGGTGAGGCGAGGCTGATATCGCACATGGAGGGCAGCTGAGGCTTGATCCCGAGCTGTCAGGACGCTAAAACAGCCCCACCTCAGCGAGCTCGTTAGTGGTCAGGTAGCTGGCAGGGGGGAGCTTAGACCCCACTAATTCCCCCTTGAGCGCTGTGTACAGCTGCCACAGCTGCCACAGCTGTCTCCCGGTGCGTCATACCAGCTGAGGTGTCCATCTGCCTGGGTGGGCCCTTTTTTTGTCGCGAAAGCTCCTCCCCTCCCAGGCCACCAGCCTCTCAACTCCCCGATCCCGCACCGCACCTCTTCCCGACGACCACTCCTGCCACGAGGGTCACACATACAGCGGCGCTGCTCGTCTGATCTTCTACTGCGCATAACATCGCACCCGCTGCGATTCATCATTTTCCATTTGTTTGACGGCGACTACTCTCCTTCCTCTTCTGCCCTCCCCCGGTCCCTCGAATTGGGCCATGCCGCTTTGAGCACGGCACGTGTCCGCATCATCTTTCGCCATGGTCTCCTTCTGGCCTTGGAGGGTACGTCTGCCACGACCTTGCATCTCCTCTCTTCATGCGCATAATGCGTGCTTGCTATGATGGACTGAATGGATGACTGACCGACCGACCAACTCACAGCGTGACGACGACTCCCCCGCCTCTTTCGAGAAGACCCTTTCCGCGCTGTCCACCAAGATCACAGACACCCAAGCGAGACTCGATGGTGCGCGAGCCACCTCCCGTCGCATCAGGGTGCTTTGGTCCCTCTATCTCGCCTTTGCCTACCTCGTCTACTCCATCGTCATCTTCCTCGTGGTAGGATGGAACGACATGGGCGCCTCGGAGTGGACCGGCGTCGCTGGAGGCCCTCTCCTGTATGTTGTCTTCTGCTTTCCTCATGGAGGAACCTGTCTGCGCAAACTGAAGATACTAACCGTGCCCTCCTCAGCATCTACCTCACGCGAACAACCGTTACGGCCGTGTTCAACTACCGCATCGATTCTCTCGCCGCTCGCCTCAAGGAGCAGCAGGCCGAGCGCGCAAAGACGATTCAAAAGCTCAAGGACGCCACAAGGTACAACTCCACTCTGGAAATCCTTGAAAAGTACGGAGGCGATGAAGGCAAGGGCAAGAACAAGAAGCAAGATCCTGGGGCGGACGACAAGAAGCCGCGACAGCAGCAGCAGCAGCAGCATAGCGGCCGGCAACATGAAGGTGCCGTACCGGGCGGCAGGACGAACATGGCCCCTCCGCCCACCGCCAATATCCAACGCCGCGACGGCCCCCCGCCTGGCTTCCAAGCCGGACGTCCCTCGCAGCCGCCCAACGGCCTCGAACCCACCGAAGAATTCGCGCCAAACGCCTACGCCCACCCGCCCCCGCCGCCCCCTCAATCGCAGCAGTTTGCGCAAGCCGAGGGACTGCCTGGCTCGTCGCACTGGTACGACCGCATCATGGACCTCCTCCTCGGCGAAGACGAGACGGCGTCCAAGAACAGAATCGCCCTCATCTGCAAAAATTGCAGGCTCGTCAACGGTCAGGCGCCACCGGGCACAAAGGCCCTCTCAGATATCGGCACGTGGAAGTGCATGGGCTGCGGGGCCACGAACGGCGAAATGGAGGAGGGAAAACGCATCATGCAGGAGGTCCTCGGCTCGCGTGGGAATGTTCCCACGGGCGAGGAGTTCAAGGAGTCTGATGAGGATATTTCTAGCGTGTCGATCAAGGAGGAAGATTCTGATGAGCAAGCTGCCGGCGCGAAGACCACGGGACGACAGGGCGGGTCGGCGGCAGCGAAGAAGCGAAAGGGCAAGGGTGGGAAGTGAAAGAGAAAGAAAAAAAAACGGGTTTGCGGTGATGGGGGACCGCTGCTGGCTAGGTTCAGCCGAATATATCATACCATAATTGCGGTTCACACAAAAGTAGAAAATATTCACAACAGACGTGTCTGCTTTGTTGCCCATTACGGAGCTTACGGAGACACACTTACGCGTCAATGTCCACCCAGTGTTCCGGGATCCGGGGCGGTTTGACGGCGGGATACACCGAAGCACCGGCGGGCCCCAACGTGGATCGGAGGACCGAATGTGGCTAGTGCTGAGGCTGAACGCTAAAAGGTCCCCACACAACGCAACGCACCTCGGCGTCCGTGCTGTAAACCTTGGGGAGCGCCGCCTGCAACAGCTGCTGCTGCAGGCTGAGCACCGCAGTAAGGACACTTGTGAATTCAAACCCGACGCATCCAATGTACGAAGGGTCCCTTGGATGAAATTCCTCCCCGTCCACACCACACCCTCACACCTCTCGCATCTCCCGTCCCAAACAACCCTCGTCGAGCAAACGCTGCTCCAGCCATCCAGAAACGATTCTTTTCCTCTCTCCCTCTCTCTCTCTCGCTCTCCCTTTCTCCACGTAGTGCTTGCGCCACCAATAATGCAGCGCCCTTCGATACTCAACATCGACCATTGCGCATAGCTCTCTCACAGACTCTCGAACCCATTTTACCATTTGCCTTCCCTGCACCTTGGAATTGTAAACGACACAGAGCACATGGTCACAGGGTAATCCCATCATCCCTAGATCGGCAACATGTTCCAGGTTCGTCTCTGGTTTTCTCCAAACCCTCTTACTCTCTTCCACAGACCCGTTTCCCGAAGAAGGGGAAAAAACAAAAGAAAAAAAAAACCTTGATCTAGAACTACACGTGTGGTGATTTCGATTCCCTTTTCCCACTCCCTTCCCACTCTCCGATTCCGCCTCTCTGTTTCCTCCACACCAAGCAGGACCCTGTTCCCCGCTGACAAGAATGGGAATCCAACAGAGGCTCAAGGGCGCCATCGATCGGACAATTGCGGAGGAACAGGCTCGACAGGAGCAAGCACGACAGCGCATCGAACCAGGAGGCACAGGCACCCCGCGCAGGTCCGACTCCACCTCGCGGACCAACCAGTCGCCCGCCCGACGACCCCGTCCCAAGAAGACGGCAGCCGACGCCGGTGCTAAAGACGACGGCGGGAGCCCTTCGAACCCGGACCCTGCTGTCTTTGAGGCGGCGTTTGCGCTTGACGATAGCGAGGAGCCGAGCCGTGCTGGCACACCGAAGCCTGGGGCGGACAAGGACGGCAATATGGACAAGAGCGAGGAGAATGTGAAGGATAAGGCGGAGGAGGGCCAAAACGGAGACAAGGAGCAGGAGAAGGGTGCCGAGGGCGCTGCTGTTGCTGCTGCTGCTGCTGCGCCGCCGGCTGCCGCAGAGCTGTCTCCTGAGGTTAAGATGAAGCTTCGCAAGCTGGAGAAACTTGAGAAGACGTATCCTGGTGCGTACACCACTCGCAGACAAAATACCGTGTTGACGGTCGGGAGGCTAACATGACACTTTAGAACTCCTCCGATCGTATAGAATCGCCCACGGCCGCGCCACCTCTATCGAGCCCTTTGAGCGTGTGCTTAAGGAACACACCAGCGTCGGATCGATCCGGGAACCCGAAGCCCTCGTCGAGTATCTCAACTCCCTCAAGCAGAAGGAGCAGATGATTATGGACGAGTACAAGCGGGTGTCGATCGAGAAGGACGACTTCAAGAAAAAGTGCGAAGCGGCCGAGAAGGACGTGGAGAAGTTCAAAAAGGAGGTTGAGGAGCTCAAGGCGGCGCAGACTGCGGCGCCTGCAC